CAACCATGCTAGCAGCACAACGGCAATGCTAACATGCTAACCATTAGCATGTTACCATTCTTCACCATGTTGGCCGTCTTAGTTTAGAGTGCTAGAATGGTGACATTAGACTATTTAGCGCGAAACACAAAGTGCAGCTAAGGCTGATGGGAAAATCCGTTTTTAAGATGAAGGTCACTTGAACTCCTTATCTAAGGTTCTTGGAGTTTGAATCAATGCTTTTTGGACATTGACATTCAGACCTTGTCACGGTGTGGTTCACTTGCTGTCTTATTTTGTAGTTTTCTGCCACTCGTGTCCGCGGGTAGCTTCACTTCCTGCCTTGTCCTGTCGTCCCCTGTGATCGTCTGATTGTTTCCACCTGTGTCCAATCACCTGCACCTCCCTAGTGGTTTGCAGTGTGTGTCTCTTGTCACTGGATGTTCCTCGTTCCTGCCAGCCTTTTTCCCCCCGATACTTGTAAGTGTTTTTGCCCATTGGCCTTTCCTTTATTTTGCCTTTTTCACTATTAAAGTCGTTTTTCGTTAAAACTCTGCATTTGAGTCCTGCCTCCCACGCACCCCTGACAGACCTGGTGGTTGAGTCAAGTTTTCTTCAACATTATTCAAATTCATTTACGTCTGTACCAGATTTCTTGGCAATACATTCAAAGCGTATTTCCCTAAAACCCCTCAAAAGTCAGAGGATCGCCACAGCTGGTACGTGATTCATCCTCTGAAGATCATGAACATCTGCACTAAGTGCAATGGCAGGCAATCCAGGGGGGTGTTGAAGTATTTCAGTCAAGTGGTGGACTGAACAGGTCAGCTGACCCAAGGGCCTCCCTAACATGGCTAAAAACAAGGTTATTTTTACACAGGATTTCCTTTGATGCATTCCAGTTTTAGCGTAAGATCGCCTCCACAAGTGTTTGTTTGGAGAAGGCGCCTTTATTTTTAGCACAGCTTTGAGAGGGATGCCGGTAACTCTGCATGTCCCTAGATGGAAGTTAACAAAGATACACGTATTCGGAGCATTCAAGGAAGGAAAACAAACTGTATTGTGTTACCTTAATAGAAGATTGGGAGTGTGTCTCAATGATGATGTAAAAAGCAGAGGCACAATGGGAGCAAGGGGAACACTTTTCGGCCACTGACGGTGTTTAAGGGACGTAGCGGAGGTGGTGGGGAAGACTAAATCCTACATGTCCTTGTAAATCCAGAGTATAAGTATACATACGTACCCCTTGCATTTTACAAGAAGCTGCTGTTGATTAACTACAGTGACACACACACACACATATGTCCAAATCCCTCCGACGTCGCTGCTCCCCAACACTCGTCTCGGCGGGAGAGCAGGGTGACTCTGACCCATTTCCTTCGTGCCGTGACCCACTTCCTGACTCTCTTCCCCTTGACTCTGCACACAAACACTCTAATCCACACACGCTGTACTGACACTCCGGAGAGAAACTGAGAGAGACTGAGAGAGGTCACTGGCTAAGTGCGCCAACGGTTGCATAACAGGCTTATTGCAGCGCGAATGTTTGGCCTGCAGCTGGGATATCAAGAGAAAACATATGAGGGAATTTCTGCTGAACTCTCTTATGCTGACTGCAAAAATGTAAATTAAGAAGCAGTTAGTTTTCCCCACCACTGTCCACACCGGCTGACAATTTAAATATGCAAACTCAGGCAAATGTGCCATCATATCAGTGGATTCAGGTAATTACGATGCGCCACACTGCAGGCCATTATGACGGCGCCTAAACGCTAGTTAGCTGTTATGAAGCACACACACACACACACGACATTGAATTGTATCAACACATACATTACACAGCAGTCAGCATTGCACATATCTGTGAATGACAAAACAAAGTAATAATAATTGACGTAAAGTCAGCATGTTATTTTGTTAGATTGCTACTGATATAAAACAGCAGCTGTTGGTGGTTTTGTCGCTTCAACCGTCGCAGTATAAAAGAGAAATTACGAGGTGTTCTTAGAAAGTGTGAATCAGCAGGCGGGTCCTTGAGCAAGGCAGCCATAACAGGTCGCTCAAATGGTGATGCCGTTTGTTGAAGGGAAATGGCAGTTTAGAGGTGCAGGAACACTCGCTCACTCACCCGTGCAAACACATAAACCGAAAGATCCTCCTGGCTGAGATACAAATCCGTTATAGAGAGAAGGGAATGTGCTTAGTGTGTAGGTACATTCTGTCTCACAACGAGGTACCCGTTAATTTGGGTATTAAATAATATATATATTACCAGAAAGTCTCCCATTCATTGTCCGGGGAGCAGCTCCGCACCGTTTTGAGTGACTTCACAAATATTGATTGAACTTTCTGATGTTCCCCTTTTAAAGTAGGCGATCCGTATTTGACAAATGTAAACCAGGCTAACTGGCAAACTTCCCACTTCCCAATAACCTCACATTCACCCTCCCTCCGGGAAGACAGCTTCAGGGACCAAAACACAGAGGTATTTGTCTGTGGCTGCACTGGCAGCAGAAGCGTTTCCTGCGGGAGATTCTCCCGTGCTGACGCTCGCTGCTGACAGTGACCCCTTGTCTCTGTTTGATGACCCGGGCCGCTTTACCGGAAAGTGTCACTCTTGCAAGTCAGCAACAAAAATGTGCTAATCGCCAAGAAGGCACAAAAAAACAGTGGTAGCGTTTGGGTGTAGATTGTACGGTGTTTGACGTTATGTAAGAGAGAGAACAGGTGTAAATGCCAAGATTGCAAGGGGTGATTGACCTAACGGCCCACAGGGAAGAGCAGGCAGCAAAAATAACGGCGGACAGGAAATGAAATGTGTCGCACAGCCGCTCCCTTGTCCACAAAGCGTGTATCTGATCGTGCAGGTGGCGGTGAAGTGTAAAGCGTGACCTTCACCACGACTTGAAAACAGGTCGAGGCGGACTGCTGTTCATGTCCTGAGTGAAACCAGAGGTCAACATTTCAGCGACGTCAGCTGCACAGCTTTCTGGACCCGAGCCGTAACTGTGTCTCCTTTACATGAGCTCGCTTGTAGTGAACTTCTTTTGAAAGTTGAAAATGCGGCAGCATGCGCATGTACTGCTGACGTGCACATAATCCCTGAAAAGCGTTGCCTTGGTTACCTTATGAACTCTGCAGATCTGCCGATGTGTTTTCAACTGGGATTTAACATGCCTTAGCCTTTAACGCCACCCAGTGTTGGGATTTTGGAACTGCAAGCTACTTTATTTTGATAAGAAAATATAAGTTCTGTTGATTGATCAATAGTTTCTATATCGATGCGGCAGGGGGCTTTTTTTCTCGCTTCAGTAGCATTCGTATGTACAGGTAAATTTAAATATGTATATTAAAATGCACAATATATACAAAACAGGGACAAGGATATTAGATTTAATTAATTAATAAAACAATAGCGCAAAGATCTAACAGACGAACAAGCAGCAGCGTAACTGTGTTGTAGTAGCGTGAATGATTTGTCTCAGGCAGGAATGAATGTACGATACAGGACATGAAACAACCAGAAAGCAGCCAATCGAATGGTGAATTTATGCTATTTTGTTGAATTCATATATTTGTGAATCTGACTTGAGAGCCACCAACCTCACCGCATGGCACTGGTGAGATGTAACTCACATGTAACTTAGAAGTTGCATGTACAAGACTTTCCCTGTTTTTATTCTTCATACTTCTATTCTGTTTTAATGTTATTTACGTAATATATATTTTTAATCCACCACATATCTAGTATCTTAATGATATATGTAAGATTTAACATTAAAAATGTGAAATCCTGTTATAAAAATTTTTGAGTGATTCCCGGCCCTGGTGACTTTTGACCCTTCACAATAAAGCACTGTGTCTACTTGGGGGCCCTTAAATCATGTCTCGGATGTTTGTGAGTGTAAGTAGAGTGATTTCCTATCATGACTTACCAGAAGAGTCTGTTTAAATAGCTTTCTGAAGTTTGAAGGGGTCAAACTATTGACCAACAAGTAAAAATTCCCAGAATGACATTTGCGTTGCAGAACTTTTGGTTTCGTTTTCGTTTCTTTTTTAAAAACCACAAGTCTAAACCACCAAACAGCAAATAGTGTAATGTAATAAAAACTAAGTTGATTTTTGCTTGTGATACTTACATTTTTACTTTACTTTGTAATTTGTACGTATATGTTTTAATTGAGGCATTTACTTTTTGTGTAAGAGTTGACCCTTTCCTGGAGAAACCCAGCCTCAATCAGTCAATGAAATGTTTCCACTAAAATGGTTCTGTGCTGTCAGGATTTAAGCTCAGCCGTTGCTGAAAGGATTTTAGGCCCCGGGGAGCAAAAAGACCCAACATGCAAAGACATTTCACAGAAAAAAGTTGAACAGAACTGAAAACACTACAACAAAATTCTTTGTAAAATATTTCAGAATGTGCCTGGGAATGAAACTGGAGTGCTACTCAAGAAGAGGAATCATGGTTCTTCTAAACATATTTATTATGTGGACTATATATATTTTAAGACATAAAAAAAGGTAGAAAGGAAATACTCCAGATATCAGCAAAAAACCTACCCACAAGGATGACGAGACAATGTGCGTACAATGAGAGAGAATTATAATTTTAGGTTTTTATGCAATATATGCATTATCAAACTTGAGGCAAATTAAATAGAAACCTACAGGCATCCTAAAATAAAGAGGGAAATGTGTAATCGAGTAGCCCAAAAGAACACACTAAAAATCTAGGTTTTTAGGTGGTGATGTAATTGGCTGATCAGTTGCTTTATTTTTTTTTTATTAAAAATATATTTTTCGTATTCAAATAATTATTAGGCATTAGTGTTATTACTTCCTGTGCGCATATATATATATATATATATATATATATATATATATATATATATATATATATACACACACACAGACACACACAGTATAAACACACACACATTTTCATATTCTTTCAGGAGAAGGGCAGTGTTAGAATTCCTCTCGCCTCGATGCATCATGTCATCTTTCATGAGTTAATTTCATTCCCGGGGATCCATCACAGGATCCATCTGCATCGTGCAGATCATCTTTTTTTGTTGTCTTGATTGTAAAAACAAGCAGCACTTGGCACAGTTTAAGTAATATTAACAGTTCAAATAAAGGCAATCGCTTGAACTTCAACTTCAGCTCTTTAACTCTTCTACTTTTTGCCAACATTGAGTTTAATTTTGTCACGAGCTGTGAACTTCAGAAACCTTCAAAATAAGATCCAATTCCCCCCATAACAGAAAGTCAGAAATGGAAGAGGAGTTCTAAATGGAATGGCATCATAGACTGGTCCTGGTCCCCGTATGGAAATATCGTATTCAGTCTGGATCATGATGCTGGAGCAGCATCTAAAAACGAGGTTGTCATGATCCCCACATGGGCCACAGCCTCCGAGCCGGAGACGACGTCAACACATCCGGAGGAATCCTGATGGAATGTCCGCTTCGTGTCACGATATCACGCTGCTCGAAGCCGGACGAAAACGTGACGGCACCCATGCAGGGGGGGGGGGGGGGTTCTCAGACAAGTAGAGGGTTGTCAAGCACGGCCACGCCCGCTGCCACGCCCCCATCAGAGTGCTCGGAGCTCTTGGTCCTCAGCAGATGTCCCGCGCACTCGTTCATCACCATGTCTTTGCCGTGCCTGTGACAAAACAAGGTGAAGGTGAGGTGAAAACTCACGTGGATGACATATTGAGTTTTGAAAACAGCAAATTTAGCCGGAAAGCCTTTGCAGGCGTGTGTATGGGGGGGGGGGTTCTACTCGTGCTCGGCACTATAGCAAGTTGAGAAGGAGAAATGAACAACAAACCTCTTTTTTCTAAAATTCCCTAAAAAGCACAGAAAAAGTTGCGTTGGAGATCCCATCTTCACTTCACGCACAAAGCATTCTGTGGCAACGACAGAGGGGTCACACACCTGACGTAAGTCCCAAACACCCCCAGCTCACTGAGGCAGTTACTGATCTCCAGAGGGCCGTCTCGTCTCAGCAGGTAGTTCTGCACGGCGGCGGGCTGGATTTTGTCCATCAGAATGTAGGCCGTCCTCTCAGAGCTGCCCTCTGCTGCCTGCAGGACACGGCAGATCTCCGCTCCGTAGATGTTGTTCCCTGGAGAGACGAGGACGGGCAAGAAACGGTCACCCGGGAACTGTTATCTGTCTTGTATCAACCTCTCCTGGTTTGAAAAATTGTGGCCAATGGGCCCTTTTTTTAGGGGAGGGTGGGGTTGCACCTTACCTCCACCTTCTCGTTGAGGCTTCAGGACAAACTGGTCCGGCGCTGCCAAAGCCATTGCTACGGTTTTATCTCCCTCTGACCCCTAAAGACCACGGCAGAAAACAAAGTCAATCTAGCTCATGAATGAAGGCAAAGCAAGACCCCACCCCTCCTCCACCCCCCCTCCACCCTCCACGCTGCTCCAACACGACTGTGGCTCCGTAGACGCCGTGTTTTCTCACCATGTCTAGAGTGTAGAGGCCCAGCGAACGTCGCTCGGATCTGCTCCACTACGCCGGGCTGGTCGGGGAAGAACCTCTCCAGGACTCCCGGCCTGGCGAGCACCTGCTGGACCTTCTTGGTTCCGGCCAGGTGAGTGCTGATGTCCGGACATTTCACGGCCACGGAGCGCTCCATCAGGAGACGAGCGTCCCAAGTCTACCATTCAAAACACACACACACACACACACACACACACACACTTTTACTTCTGACCCGCCAGCTGCTGCATTCAGCCGTCTGAACATGTGCACACACTTGGTGGTTTCCTTTTAAGGTAAAGGCCGACTTCCTGCTGGATACATTGGAACAGTGGCTCTTTCTAGGGCCAGCGTTTGATTGGTCGGTTGTGGGCGGTAAATTTAACCAGCTCATTCCAAGCTGACAGAATCACCACAATTAAGGATTAATGACAGAATTGTGCTTATTTTTTCATTTCCCACTAAGTATTCCCCCAAAATCCTACACGCTGTCACTAAGTCTTTTATAGCCCGTTGAGTGATGATTCCACATGAATGTTGTGCGCTTCCTTCCCCATAAACGGTGGTGATGATGGAGTCATGAAGGCAGTCTGCATTAAACATCATTGTTCACCTGGACTGCACTTCTCAAAGTCAATAAGGAAAAACTACTAGAACCTGTAATAAGTGTAATAAAATGTAAAAAGATTAGAGGAAGAACCTGTTCGGAAACGTAGTTCTGAGGCATGTAGCCGTTCCTAAAGTACACCACCGCAACCTCTCGGCCGTCACTGCAAAGAGAGGAACATGAATGCACGCTCAGTAGGATTTGTCATCTTATCGATGAAAGTACACTTCATTCACTGCACAGCGTTCACCCTTTCAGAAACAGACTTACACAAACAGCTTCTTGTCCTGATCCAGGGACCCTGTTTTACTGACATTGTCGAACCGCTTCCTTATTGTGGGAATGTTCCTGAAACACGTAATGTGAAGGTTACCTGGGACGCATTCCACACCATCCATCCAGCATTATGAACATAGTTAATTATGTTATGTTAAGGCATTACCATGTAATGGGAACTAAAAGTGAATCCACATACTGCAGTCAGTCCAGCTTGCAGCGTTTACACAGCATCTTCCCTGGAGCTATTGGAGACCGGCTTAGCGCTTCGCTAACACCTCCTGCTCCGCACACATACCTCTTCCACAGGTGGCTCTCGATGTACCGCTGATCAAAGATGTTCCTCTGGCTCTCCTCCACCAAGAACATGACAGCTGCTCTGTAACGACACACGACAAACTCCTGCGTGTAAACGTTGTCCCGGACATTTGGTGGACCTGAAGCTCACGAACGTTCCCTTAATTCCTACCTGTGGGATCCGTACAGCTCCCAGGCTTTGGCTACAGCGCGGGCCAGACCAGAGGCGGGGTCGTTGTCTAGGATCCGCCGGCTCTCCTCCAGTTTACCGGCCACCTTCAGGACATGTCTGTCGGGCCGGAGGAAGCACACGTATGGGGATGGAAACCACAGCTGCTCCTCTCTCTACGTAAGTGGAATTCATTAATCTAGCTAAAGCAACAGCTCAGTGTGGTTTGCCTCGGCGTAAAGGGGCCACCACACTGCACGACAAAGTTTAAGTTTCCCTCCAGGCATAAACGACATGGCTCTCCCACATAAGACTTTGGGAGCACATCAGCATCTTGCTGAAAGGTCGGGCAGCGCGCATCAACTTTGGATGAAACATCGGTGAACTTCAGCGATACACGTAAGACTCGGATGAAGAATCTGCAACAGACTTCTGCTCTAATGTTTGGTTTAGTTCTCGTCAATTATTTGTTTATGCTGTTTGCTAGCTTTTAACTGGTAAGTGTAGTTTGCAGGTAAGATTAGCCAGTAGGACCAGTAGATGTCCCCCACCACCCCCACCCTCAGATCCCTGCAGCATGTCAGGTACTCAGGTCAAACATGTTTGTAGCGGATCTTGTACATGAAGACTGCTGGTGAAATGACTCCTTTATTTTCTTCCTTTGGGTGAAAGTACATTCAATAAAGGGGCAAAGTATCACCGTCATAAGAGCACTAGCCTTGCACGGGTCCATTCAACTTTTTAAATACCATAAATACCATAGCCATACTGTCGAGTTCAGATTCACACAAAACGAATCGGTGATACCTTTTAACTTTTCAAAATAAAAGTCCTATTTATCTATGAGAGAGAAGCCTCTATAAATTCTTCACACAATTTCATCCAAGCACACATGAAAAGTCAATAATGCAAATACAAACTGTTGAGCACTTTTGACTTTTGTCTGTGAAAGTATTGTATCTGTAAGTATTAATACATTTTGCCTACTTTGTCCCATTTGTTTTTGCTTCTTTTTTCTTTTTTGAGTCGGACCTGCAGGGGCTACTGTTGTCGGAGCTCGAGCTTATTAAATGAAGCACAGTCTACGGGTTAATAAAGTTAATGACGTCTTACCGGTGAACATCCGCCGTGCGTGATGAGAGACCTCCAAAACTGGCAGCGATGGTGTTGATCTCCACCTGCTTCAGAGACACCGACCCGTCCTTCGCCTGGTCCAGCATGTAGTCGGACCGATTGAGACCCAGCACGATGGACTGAAAAGGAGGCCGAGGAACCAAACTCAAACTACTTAAAGGCAATGATGAGGGCACACTGGTGTCATTGAGCCAAGACCATGTGCAGGCCTTTAATTGAGCCAATGGCGCCGGGCTTATTGCGTCGTATGATTCCTTCGGTGCGTGTGAATCTCTGTCTGTCCACAGTTAAGCTCGCATTCTGCCGCATCATATTTCTATTCTGAACTATATAAATTATAGTTACATACTGTATGATGTCACTATGTAAGAGAGGGGGGGGTCAGAATTGCACTTCTCCTTCTCTGTATTCCTTCACAAAACATGACATTGCTAGCTAGCTATTGAGTCAGTTACACTACGGTGATATATGGGGACATGGGCGAGATTTATTTCTCCTTGTTTGGTAAAAACCTTTTGGCAGAATAAAGTGTTTTATAAACGTTTGTGATGTACTGGTGTTGCGTTAGAATCACGCAGCCTCAGACGCCAAAACGACAGACTATCTTCACTGGAAGGCCAGATACCTGAGCTCTTCCTTCTTTGAGGATTTGTTGGTGGATCCTGAACAACCTTGCAGTGAAATCGTCCACTTCAATGGTGCTAAAAAACAAAGAATATCACCCTGTTAAAAGCCTGAAAGGACACTTTATTAGAATGTTGCGTGGGGGAACGTAGCTAGGTTGTGATCTCTCGTGTGTTCGCTGGTATCTTGTACCTGGCTAGAGCCTCTTGCAGAAAGTCCGGGTCCTGGCTGATGCGGTCCACCAGCGTGTTGTAGTGCGTCTGCACCGCCAGCGCCTGGAGGAACACGGCCTTGGGCACAGGCGTGGGGAAGAGGGTGAACGGAGCGTACGTCACCAGCTGAAATGCAAACAAAGTCGATACCGGTGACAAAATGCATCTCTGAACTCAAGCGGTGGAATGAAAACCGGCGCGTGGGCCAAACATGCCGCTGACCACAGCCGCCGGCACGATAACAAGCTGCCACTAATCCACAGCCCTAAAGGCGCACAAATTCCAGGCGTGACTTCCCTTTGACCGCGCCTGTTGTAGCAGCAAAAGCTGCACCGTGGAATCATGTCCGCTCCCTTTGTCACATCACAAAAATACACAACTGCTTAACGAGCAGTTGTGTATAGAGTGCTGTACATTCTTCCGCCGCATTTTCAGCTAAATAGACGTTTAAGCAATTTGCTGGATATTGATTCAGTAATCTTGCATGGACATTCAGGCGGTGTGCCCGGTCTAACAAACATTGGGGTTGGATACAGGTTTGTTTTCCCTCCCACAAAATAACAAAAACATTGATTTATCAGACACATAATCGCACCAACGGTTCTCTTGTTTGCTGGATTGCTGCGACAGGTATTTCCTTTGTGCACATTGTTGATAGTCGTTGCGCTCTGTGTGTAATTAAGCCTCTACGTTTAGCTAATAACAAGAAAGGTCCATTTTTTTCTTTACAATGGGCTACGTGTAATATCATCGAAATGAGCGTAGGACTACGAAGGGTTTTCACAGCATACCTCCGACGAGTTGGAGGCCTCTTGGATCCTCATGAGGACGCCCTGCAGAAGTGCTTCATCTTTTGCCACCTCTGCCAAGTCCGCTATCAGCGCACGGTCCATCGTGATGTAGTCTGGCATCCCCTGGGCCATTCTGATGGGGGAAAGAGGACGTCACAGCACATCAAGGACATAAGTGCAAGTGCTGCTTGGCATGAGTCAGCAAATTTCTATATTTGCCAGTTCATTTGGGAATCGTAACATGGTCCAAATTTGTTTTTTGAGTATTCCTTTTGAGGTTACCTTTCTGTTTTAGATTACAATTAAGTTTTTGGTATACCTGTAGAACTACATTGGAAATACCTCTTCTATGTCAATACTAGTACTACTATAACTAAAATATTAATGACAACAATAAGTTATGCATAACAATACAATAATGTGTGTACATATGAATACATACAAGCATTGTTTTTATATATATATATATATATATATATATATATATATATATATATATATATTGTTGGGATATAAATAAGATATAATGAATATGACAGCTGACTGAGCGGCGTTACGGTTCAACAGGTGACCCTGTTAACCGGCGACTACGAGCAGAAAGCGTCGGCTGCTGTCGTAGTTATGACAGCTGTTAAAAAATAGGAAGACAACACAGAGGAGCGAGTTGCCCTTCCTTTTAAATAGCGTGTATTGTTTTTCCTGTGCGAGATATCCCAAGTCAAACATGTTTGGGCAAAAACAGGCAGTTCTTTTTTAACAAACTTCTTCAAAACGAAGGGCAACTCGCTTCTTTCCTGTTTCAACATCGGTCGGCGCCTGGAACTCGAGTCCTCAAAATAATATCCAATGTGTAAACCGGTATGCATGTCTCTTAATGTATAAATAAGGACTGAGAATTTAAAATAAACAATCCGGCATTCACGAGGACAGCTACGTGTTCTCTTCCTATTTCCAACAGCTGTCGCGGTTTAACCGGGTCGCCCGTTGAACCGTAACACCGGTAAGCTGACGCTAACCTGCGAGTCAGACACAAGGAAGTGTAGCGCGTGAGCATGATAGATGTAGAACGTGAGATATAGAACATTCGGCATAAATTAGAAACAAAAACCCCTGCCAATCAATGTGGTCGGTAGTCTGTTGTTAATAGTTCCTAGTAATACCTTCCCGCTTAGCAGCTGTCTGCAGTCCGTCTGTCAGGTTCTGCTCTTTAAGTCTCACAGGAACAATGTTGGAGTCGGCGTTAACAGTCTCTGTTAACCACCTTTCAAAGGAAAATATACTGTATTATGCAGCCGCTGCAGTCAGAATCCCATACATACGCTAACCTCCGGTTCCGATCAGTCGGGAAGGATTCCTCCTATTGGCCAGTCCGAGTTTGTTCAGCCAATAAGGGCTCTGAACGTCACAGAAACGGTAAACGTCCGGTCCAACCCCAGAATCTGTGCCGCGTATCTGACGTTAAATGCTGACTGAGGAATGAGACAGCATTTTTTGGACTGAAGTTCTCCCGGGACTATACAAGGAAAGCTTAGTAATATATTCGTCGACAGAGATATTTATGCCTCAAGCAATGTGCGTGGCTTATGAGGAGATAAACATATTCATTATATAACATCAAGTGTGTTTCGGACCGCAGACATCTAAAAAAAATCTTCGTTATAAGGGAAAGTTTAGTTTCACACTTAAGTACAGATAAAGAGAACGCATATGTAGATATATGAAGAAGTATGCAGTAAATTTATTCTAAATTTAAAGAGGTTTGCAATTGGCCAACATACTGCAAATGCCAATAAGAACGCTCAGTGCATGCAGGGATTCCCCTACGTGTTAGCCCACTACTCACCAGCAGAGGGAGCCATAGCGTTATTAAATCACACAGCTCTTCCTGTAAGCTTCTTTCTTCAGCAGGCCCTTCCATAAGCTTTAATGTATGCAAACCTAGAGGCCCTGCAAGCTAGGGTTCAGTCAGGTCTGTTAACCCAGCATATTAGGGACCGTTGGGGAATTACAGAAATAAATCAAGTCTAACAGCACTTGACAAGGGGCCAGAGTGATTCAGCAACCCTGAAATGTGCCTGTGAAATTCTGCCCTGTTGTCTGTCTGCGTGCATGTAGATGGCGAGCGGACAGCTGTCGAGGGCCGAGGCGTTGGCGTGCTCAGGCTGCAGGCACGCGTGCCACGTGATGCTCTACTGTGACACAAATACTCTGCTGTTTGGGAGCATCCCCATCCGACATATCGTACTGGTGAGGAAAAGTCACAGTGTGTGCTTCTACATGCATAATAACTCATGTACAGTGTTTTGTATTGTTTGTACAGAAAACTCCACTCCTGTTTGTGTCTCAGTGCGTGTGTGTGTGTGTGCGTGTGTGTGCGTGTGTGTGTGTGTGTGTGTGTGTGTCTGTGTATAACAGCCTCTTTTACTTCCACAGATGCAGATGCGCTTTGACGGTCTTCTTGGTTTTCCTGGAGGGTGAGTTTTTTTCTGATGTTCTAAAGAAAAAAATCTTTTTATGAGCACAGGTACATTTAGCACAAGTTTCTTAGTTTCTCTCTTTTCTCCTGAGATAACTTCGGTCAAAAGATATACATCCGTGCAGCACAGAACAAACACCATTATCATTGGAGTACTCAAACAACAAAGACGAACTGATCATATGAGAAAATACACTTGAAAGGTTATTCTGTAAGATGCCTTTATCGTGCGATAAAATAAATTACAAATACTACACATGCTTTTTCAGTACACAGCTCAATATGAATCAATTGTGCCTTTTGTGTCTGCGGTTTAGTGTAGTCTCTGCCAGAAATTCGCCAACACAGTGAAATTATGTAACACAGTGAGAAGAAAATCCTGAAAAAAAACATAATGTATGCAAAACAATAATCAGACGCAGCACTATCCCAATTTCCATGCAATGCATATCGGATACAAGTAAAGTAATACAATTGGATGATGTTGTCTAATTGTATTACTTTACTTGTTTGCAGTCAGTATAGAAGAACATTTGCACACTAACTGTTTAATACATACAAGAATTGATTCGATACGTGCGCCCATGCGTGTTAATCAAACTCTGTGTTTGGAATGTAATTTTCAGTTAAAAATCACAAATGCTGACAAATGCTTGAGATGGGGATGGATCACGGGTTAGTTTGTTTCAGACATGGGTGGTTTACCTACAGGATCAACGTAATCCCATTAAATGTTTTGTAAATATAGTCTTCACAAATCCCAGCTGTCTTATTTGTGAATGCAATCGGCAGACGTTAACAAGAGACCAACATGAGCCGATCAGAGTCAGATAACTCAACGAGGCTGTAAAGGCGACCAGTTGGCGTGACGGCGTTTAGTGACCACTTTTAGCCTTCTTGGATCAAAATGTTAACTATCTGTTTAACTAGCTATCTCCAGCTTGTGCATCGATCCCCCCAAAAACCAATTCGAAAAACCCATTTGCTTTAAACCGGAGAGCAAAAAAACTGCTGATTCATTTCCTGATCATTTCTGGAATCATTCCTGAAGCAGTATATTAGCATGCTAACAGGCTAAACAAAGGCGGTAAACATGTTGTAACATTATGTCTGCTAAACATACGCTTGTTAATCTTGTGTGCGTGATTAGCATGATGTTGCTAGCATTTAAAAAGAATGGCCACTCTGCTTAAATATTAGCCTATATAGTGCAAACCTGCTAAGAATTGACGTGTAGCGTCCGGACACGGCGCAGCAAGTCAATGTCACACACTTTATTACTTCAGATCACCTTTCAAGCAAATCAAGATATTTTTGCTAAAAGACATGCTAAACACTGAGGGACCTTCCATTGGATGTTGGTGGTAATATAATTCTTCCAATATGGAAGTAAACAACATCAAACTCAAGAGAAGAAGAAGAAGAAGAAGAAGAAGAAGAAGAAGAAGAAGAAGAAGAAGGGCTGCCATCGGTCAATCAGTAACAAACAATGTATTTCCATCACTTCTTCTCGTTTGAGTTGAGGAGGGAAGTGACGGCAGAAACTTTGGGCGCTTTAACCGTGGCCGTAGGAACAGGAATGTGGAACAGCTTTTCTTTGGTAAAGGATGGTCGACTGTAACCACAGACTGTACAAGAAGTAGTCATAGTCATTGTGACGTTACGCATTGTGGTCAGCAGTTTACAAGCCTTGAGTTTGGCTATTCGGCTTTTGCCATCTTGTAATACAGTTGTCGCCATGTTGCAACCATGAACGGATCTTAATATAGTTGATATGCCGAGGAGTGATGTGGTGATGTCTGAGAAATTAAATGCCAGGTTTTAAAGAAAGTCCCGCAATGTTTTCCCGTCAGCAAAACTGGAGGTTACCGCCGGGCCGCCACTCAGACACTTTCAGTTCATTTCACTCAGTTAGCAAACATCAAAGGCTAAAAGTACTATTCGTCCACAGACCAGAAGTATGTGAACGCGGAGAAAGACGTCTCTCAATGGTTCCAGGAACAAGAAGTGTTTGTGTTTGGGCTGCTTCGTACGAACGAGCAATGCGTTAGACGCAATGTGACCATTTTGCCCCGTCTCTAACTTGACGCTTCATTTAATATACTGTGTCTTTGCAAAGGCTCGGGGTCATCTCAGCCAAGTAATTGTAGGTTTTAAAAATCTGATGAGCTTTTTAATCAGCGCAAGGAGTCGACATTGTGCGTCTACTCATCTCTGGTCCTGACCTTTGACCCCCGCCCTCCAACGCCTCAGATTCGTCAACCTGTCGGAGGAGTCCCTGGAGGCGGGGCTCGGTAGGGAGTTGTTGGAGGAGCTGGGCGTGGCCTTTCAGATACTCGAGGAGGATCACGTGGACTCCTGCTTTGCCCCTGCTTCCTCCCCGGCCTCCTCCACCTCCCCCCGACTCATCACTCACTTCTACACAAAGAAGATGGAGGAGGGACAGATTAGGGCGGTGGAGACGGCCGCCGTGACCACGGCAACGGATCATGGTCAGGAGGTGTGTCCTTTTCCTTCTAGGATGACCGGTTGCGGCCATTAATCTGTTCTTGTGTTCCTCATCACCTGTTGGACTCTCTCTCCAGGTCCTTGGGATGGTCAGAGTGCCTCTCCACTCCACCAAAGGCGGAGGAGGACTTGCATCTTTCCTCTCGCACTCGTTCGTCGGCAACGCCCGCTTCCAGCTGCTCCACACCCTGCTGCGCCTCCACCTGGTCGCCCCGGAGGAGCTGCGGGAGGCCCTCGCTCGCTCGCTAAAGATACAGGCGCGCGCCTCAGAAGAGCTGCGGGCCGCCCTCGCGCGAGTGGAGGGAAAGACGAATTTGCCCCATCACAGTCCTGCACACACTGGGTGACTAATAATCGCCTCGTCCATCAAACTGTTCGAATGCTTCACATGAATGCAAATAAAATCTTTTTCGCTATCTCTTTTTATTCCTGTTGCCGATTTCAAACATGTCTGTCGCAACCGTAACACACATATCAAAACTTTCATTTAAATTTTGATGCACATCAAAATCTTGCCAATGCAGAATGACAGGCATCAATAAGAAGCAAGCAGTACCATTGAAGACGTGGCATTGCAGTTCCACCTTAGACCGTAATGCACGAGCACCTCGTGGTAGTCCACAACCACCGAGATTGAAAGACGGCAGCACTCCTTTAAAATCAGCTCGAGGTCCATCTATGTGCTGCGGGGCTCCGTTTATGAAGCTATATTGGCGGCGAAGCCCCCTGCAATCGGAGGATTAATTATGCCTGTGACATACTATACGGCCTGCGGTCGAAGGTGTGAATCTGTTTTAAGAGCACCCTGGGTGCACGTATACACGCATGGACCAGATGCTCCTATCCTCATTCCCCGGCAATATTACAGCAGTGGGCAGAAAACAGAGAGGCGACGCTGCCTAGTGTCGACTGTCAGCGTACAATGTCTTCAGTTGTACTGTTTTATTTCGTTGCAGCAGGTGAATCAACCTGTATAATGTCCCGTATAACACATGAAATCACAGAGTTCATAATAGATCCATTACACCACATTCATTGTGATGAATTAACTCTCCTTGTCTGGCAAGTGGGATACAGAACGTACCAATTATTCACCTTATTATGATATCATAGCTTTATTATAGACAGCCTCGTTCATCTGAGCCACAGCAGGTGTTGATAGAACAGATGCAAGTTGGATTTATTAGGATTGTTACTGAGGGTGTGAGTGAACGCGTGTCCCTCAATCAGAGTGTTTTTCTAACTATCAAAAGGTAAAACAAAAAGGATGCACCACATCCGGCTCAACAGACAGGAAGCGGATGAGAGACGAGGTATTATGAAGAAACACTTCTATGCAGCTCTGCATAGTCTGTGGGTCTTATAGCGCGTGAAGCGCGCATGGAAACGGTTGCACTCCGCAGGATGCAGTCATGTGATGGTGTGGTAAAGACAGCGAAGAATACAAGGTCATCAGAAAAACATTGGGAGGGAGATAGAAAGGGATGGAAAGCGTGAGTAAGGGAGGGATGGAGAGAGGTGGTGAAGCAGGGAGGGAGGGAGGGAGGCAGAGCGGGAGCGATGGCTGCTGAGGGAGAAAAGGCGGTGTATTCATAGCAGCAGCGGTATTTATAGCCGCCCGAGGAGAGGGGAGAGCAGGGGGGCGTGGCTTGGGCCGCGGCTCTCGCGGACTGCTGCTCCATGAGGGAGAGAGTGCGAGGGAGAGAGAGAGAGAGAGAGAGAGGGAGGGAGAGAGAGGACAGCCAGGAGGGAGGGCTGTTTTTGAGTGTGTTGTTTGCCTGACAAATGAGAGAGAGCGGGAGGAGGGCACTGCGAAGAGAGAAATCTGTCACATTCAAACACACTGCTCTCCCTGTGACTGCGCGCGCGCGTGTGCGCGTGTGCGTGACAGAGAGACGGAGAGAGAGAGAGAGAGGGGGAGAGGCAGCGCGAGGGATGAGAGGAGGAGGAACAGATAGAAAGAGACAGCAGAGGACCACAAAGTGAGGTACGTACGGCTGCCCCGATGCGCGTGAACTCGATAACCTGTGCGTTCGTGCAGCCCGACGCGTGCGTGCTCGTGTGTATACTCGCGTATCTGTGTGTGTGTGTGTGCGTGTAAAAGTCTGTGCATAAGCTAGTGGATTTGTCTTGAGTTTTCTGTAGGTGCGTTCACTGCGTTGTGTTGACCTGGACGTGTGCGCTGTGTGTGTTTGTGTGTTATGGAGGGGGCGCGCGGGGGGGGGGGGTAACTGGACAAATGGATGCAGGCTGTTATCAATTATGTAATATGTGTGCACCATTTCTAGTGTTGTGCTCTCTGTGTATGTGTGTGTTTGCGTGGCCATTGTGTGGAGCGCCGCCACAGCGCCTTGACCATATGGGTCTTTTTATTGGGGGGGGGGTCTAACCCCCCCAGCCCCTCCACCCCACATACCCCCTCTGCAAAACCTCTGGCAGCTAATTCACGTCCCCTTATTACATCCTCCTGAGATACTGTAACTCACATTTCTGTATAACAATAAGCTTATTTTAAGGAAAAAGAGGTTGATTTTGATTTAAAATGTTTATATGTGCTGTATTAGGATTTGTTTTAGTGGCAGCATAGGGAGTTAAATGAGTTTTCAGAGATTAGTTTATTCATTGTCATAGGAAAAACAACTCATTTATGAATGTACACTGCTGCACATCAGGGGTGATTTAATGGTGCAATCCATTTGCCTAAAATGGTCAACAACCCAAGTCTTTACAGATGCAGAATGCCTGGGTGCAAGCGGAGACTGTTTTACTTTGTGCCTCGAAAAAATCCCAATGCTTCAACAAATACCTTAAATGAAGGAACTTAGCACTCTCGGTTTGGGAGTTAGGCACCTTTCTGTGATTGATCACGGCGGCAACATAGAGGCCGGTTGTTTTTACGGCTGGTAACTCTTCAAATAAACACAGATGATGCAGAATCCCCCCCCTGCAGCGGCAAGGAACCACAATGTGTATTTTGTGTGCATTTTCTATTGTTGTACTCTGCCCATGTAGTGAGGAAGTGCATGAAGTGATGCTGATTCCGATCTCAACCGTAGACCTGCTAATCTGGTGTCTCGCTTCTTCTCAAACACCTGCATCATTGCAAAAACATACATTTTCTTTTCGAGGGCAGAATTTGAATTGAGCTCTCCTGAGCAAAGGTGCTGGTGCAGAAGCAGTGGAGGTCCCAGCAAGGCACATGGATGCAGATTTGGCCGACCAAACGGCCCCTCGGCCCTCAAAGCGGCCAACTGTTTAAGACTTAATGCTCTCTGCCAGAATATTCGCAGGTATGCATTCTGCAAACATTACCTGGAAGTGATCCTCCATCTAAAACTCAGGAAGTTGCAACCTGTCTGATATCAAACTGCCCTCAATGCTATTGCAGTTAGGTAGCATATATGGAGCCAAAAAAGCATTTATTTCATCACCGTGGGACCACGCTTTCACTTTATGTGATGCGGTCGAGCCGCTGCCGAAAATCTTCTGTGAGTCCTGTGCCAGCGTGCTACAATGGGGTTTCCTGTTTTGCAATGGCGGCCGCTAAGAAGGGTGCACAGGATTGTGCAGGGACTTCGGCAGGAAGCAAACTTTTTGCGTTGCTAATCCTGCATCGCCCTCAAATTGCTCTGGTCAGGCTCTAAATGAAACCCGGGGCCAGAGCTGCCGTGACATCGCTCCACCTGTTGTAGTAGGCGTCAGCTGCTTTTCACATTTGTTGCAGTCCGGCAGCTTATGAGGGAGCCGCCGTTTCTGTTCCCGGCTACCTGGGGCTTCAGAGTGGATCAGAATCTGATCGGTCGTGTTTCAGCATATTCTCTTTTATTGTAGTCGTTAACTGAAGCTCTGTCAGCTAGAAACATCACAAAATTACGGATAATCCATCACAAACACCCCTCACGAGAAAATAACAGTCTAAAATGAATTTTCATTGCCCCCTTTTGCCGATGTTAACATTGTGTTTATTTTTATATACTTGATAAAAAGTGATTCAAGAAGCTGTTCAGATATACGCAGCCAATAAGAGCATACTGGGCTTTGAGTCAAGCTCTAAAACGGAGCATTTCAGACAAAAAGTGAATACAGGATGTGAGCCGCTACTAGGCTGAGTATTAGGGGCATTCCCATTCAAACCAAAGCTGCAGGATGTCAGAGAGGCGGCCATTTTTTTCAATTTACGGCAACACTCACTGCGGTTCAGTTTTCAGAGTGACAACTAAAAAGAGCAGTCTAATAGTCACATAACGGACAGAACAGCTCAATGCTTCACACCAGGGTGGCTTTAAGTGTTCTGGATTTAGCAAGCAGCTAGCTGACTGCCGCAAAGCTGGCTGGTTAGCTATTTAGCTTATTCATTCTGCCATGCTTTAATGCTGCTCTGTTGCTAGACAGAGGCAGCCGTTTAACGGCCATTTAACCTCGCTCCCCAATCGTTCCGGAGCAGCTGAAGCTACCTTGCTAACTAGCGACCTGCACTGACGCTTATGCATGTCTTCAACAATAAGAACTGAATTTTTGTTCCTGTCTAACGACCATGAAAAACTGTTAAATGTCCATGACATTGGAAACGTTTGCCGTCGCCATCTTAAATTACCGCTGTGCTGTGTCGTTTTTTGGGAAACCTATGAACAGAAGTTACAACATTTGCACTGCAGACGAGTGACATGGAGATTTTGGACGGTTTTGGTAACGTAAGTGACCTGTCAATCACAGTAAGCCCGCCCATACTCAGCTTCATGGTGTCTTTGACTCTAAATGGACCATAATGTTTACCGAGCTCATACAGTGTTTTCCCCAGGTTTACAACAGAGTTCGGTTCAGCCTATTGGGGGGTAGTGGTGGGGCAAACGTTTCGGGGGGTGTAAGTCACCCTGGTGCTCTCTGCCCCACTGCTGCGAGCAACACGGTACACGGACATATTTGCGACAGATTCATGCGTGGAAATATAATTTTTTTTTTTAATTGCACCCTTTTTCGGGGGGGTAAATGATAAAATAATACTATTCTATATATATCAGACTATAGTGATTCTATACAATCAGACTTCTTTTAGCAACCAGACGAGTCGCCTCTCTTGACCCGGAGGTTGGCGCGTGGCCACACGTGACTCTTCCTGACTTGCGTTCAGAGCAGTGAACTCACGGATCTCACAGCACAGATGAGCGCAGCAACCTCACACACACCTTTTTTTAACATTTCTGTGGAAAAGGAGGATACTTTCAACGTGCTGTCATAGTACATTATCTCCCCAGAAGTACAACTGTTCAGAAAGTGAGATCATCTGGACGAGGGTTCCATTGACACCCACCGATCAGCACTGGTGTGAGGGAATTAGGGTTGCATGTTTTCTCAGCTGTTGAGAACAAATGCAGCTGTAAGGTAAAAAAATGAAACACAAGATGCAAGATAACGGCTCAATGTCGCACAGTAGCGTCAGCTCTCAGGAAATCCCCATACGCTATCGGTCATATGATCAAACACAACTTCCAACTTGTGTTACCGCAGCTTCAATTCCAAGAAAAAGTCCCCCGAACAGCAATACAGATCCGTCTCACGTGGTGTCAATCTGCTTTATATTCAATATGTGAGCCACACAACCTCCTCTTGCCCTTGACTGAGTATCGAAAAGCATTGTTCCTGGATAACCTCCATCTCTCTGCCCCCTCTGCCCTTTTTGCCCCCCGCCTCTTCTGTTAATCAGCCTTATCCGCGCTCCTTCACTGAAGCTCTCACCCCCCCTCCCCCCATTCCCTCAGATCATTTACATTCGCTTTGTTCTGCGCAGATTAAGGTTGCACGCTGATGAAGGCCTCGCAGTCTCATTTTTCGGAAAACATCTCCGTTCTCTGTGAAACCGCCTCTGAGAAGTGTGTCGGTGCCACATCCACCGCACGTTTTTTGGAAGAGGAAACGAGGCGTCTAACAGCACTTGAATCACTACGAGTAAAATAGTCTAGTTCTGATGAATCGGATTCGTGGTGGAGATCTTTTTTAAACGACGCTCTCACGCTTTCGGACTTGATACAGCAGTTCCCGTTCGGCCACTTTCATTCGTGCTAAAGTGAGTTTATTTCACTTCAGCTACCGTTTTGGGTTCAAGCAAACCCAAGTTATCGCTTGAGGCTGATTGAGGAACAATGTTTCCAGTGAAACCGACACACTTAGACACTCATTACAAAGCGGTGAAACCTGTTGAGAAACTGACACAGGATGTCGGATGAGAAGTGTGTGTGTGTGCGTTTGTGTGTGTGTGTTTGTACTCGACTCGAGTGTGTGTGAAGTCCCCTTCTAGTCCCTGACTCATAAACCGCCTTGTTAATACCTGTGTCTATTACAATGTAAGCATTTAGTCATTTGTAGGCCTTAAATAGATGAATCTCATTTAATATTTAAATAAATCTTAACCTGTTAGTTGGCAGGGCTTGAAGCTGATTTTATGTATTGTCTTATCTGCTTTCTCTCTCAACAGCATCCAAACGGTTCATGTCATTTAAATGGAAAAGAAATGTGCCTTTTTAAATGGCTCGAGGTAGTTTATGAAGATCCGTAAAGGTGGAAGCCTTGCGTGAGTTAGATTTCGACAATATAGCGACCGGTTAGATGCTAACTGCTAACCAGCTAGCAGAGTCCTCAGACAGGTCTGCTACCTGACGTTTGATTTCCCTGCAGTTCTTTTCCTTTTCCCTCTTGTCTCTGTACTTCTACAAAGACCGTAATACAGAGGCTTATGGGTGATGTTATATTCAAAGGATCACTGCTTTATCAGATACTTTGGCATGTTTCTATGTTAAGTAACCGTAGAGAAGCTCATTAAAGTAAAACTTGCTTTTATTCTTTGCCTGAATCCGATAAGACTCGGGGCAGGCTGTCGTTTCTGTCCCCGGGTTTAAATCCAGTTTCCTATCGTTTTGGGCTGTATGGACCAAGAGAAGAATTCCTAAAGTCTTTAAAATGTTGATTTGTGTGGACCACATTTGTGTGAATGTGGATTTTCAGCTTTGGGTCGGGCGGGTTCCTTTCAGGTCATGACATCATCAGGGTTATTTAGAATTCATTCGTATAAAGACATGATACAATCGGCCTGAGTGGAACTGCTCATTAAGTTTTAATGTCGTTATCCATTTAATAAATTCAGGAAAATGTGTTATCAGGACATCGGTATGATATCTAGACGTGCGGCCAGTTTCATGTGGGTCACCAAAGAGGCTTCATGACATCCTATTGGGACTCCAGAGTCTCATCTTTGGCCATGGTACAGTTTGTGTGGAACTCTCATTCTTCATTCCCTCACATCACTGTCCATTTGGTGCTGTCCTTCTTTCTCACAGTCCCACTTCTCTGGTGTCACTGTCCGTTTCTGTCTCGTAGCCCTGGCCTCATTCTTTCCTCAGCTCTCTTATTTTCCCGCCCTGGTCTCAATAAATCTCCCCTTTTTCTCAGCTATCCTCTTCTCATCCTCCTTCACACCCCGCTGTCCTCTAACCCTGTGTCTGCTACTCAGGTCAGCTCACCTATGGATCAGCATCCGCCACAAGCCGAAGGGTTTCCACCAGCGCATCGACCCGACCGCCACCCCCGCTGACTGAAGGGCCGGGGGAGGGGTGGGGGGGGGTCAGAGGTGAAAAAGGTCGCGGACTGACAGAGGCGAGCAAGCGCCCTGAGGCCGAAGGGTCTTTGCTGGGGCGAAGCGGGGAGTGAGGTGGGGGCGGGACATCGGAGAGGAAGGTCCCAGTGACGGGCGATCATCCGGGGGTCCAAGATGATGACATCACATGTGAAGCTGAGGAGGGAGAAGGGCAGCCTGGCCGAGTACGAGTCGCAGATGAAAGGTGAGAGTGTGTGTGTGTGCGTGTTCGCCTGTGCCCTTTATTGCACTTCCCTACATGCATGAACGGATAAAAATACAGCACGCATGAGTGTGTGCAGCTGCTCCACACGCTCAGCCAACCCTGGACCCGTGTTTGAGCCCATGTTTGCACGTATGGACACAAAGGGCTCTTTTCACAAACCAAAATCTCTAGAAGCCGGCGGCAGAGAGCAGCATCGACGACGGCGCTTCAGGATTTTTACATGACAACAGCCGTGTGTGTGTGTTTTGTAGCCGTACTGTACTACGAGGAGGTATTTATAGCCAGTATTAGTGATGCTGTCTCCTCACATCCACTCAGCCCCGGGCCGTGTGCTCACACAGACACGGGGGAAGACGAGTAAATAGGGGAGAGAGGGGAAGCGAGAGGAGGCGGGTGGGCTGTGGAGCTGGGGGAGCGAGGAGCTAAAAGACGGAGAACAGGTAAGCGATGAAGGAGAGAGAAAGAGAGGTGAAGGCGGGGTTATTCGACAGAGCCATGTTTGTATTGGCCTTTTCGAAACCAAAGTGCAGCATCGGACCACATCGCCGCCGGCTTGGATGCATTTTAAATTGTGTGTACAATACATAGCCTCGTGTTATGCACACACGCCTGAATGTTTGTGTACCTATATTATTACAAGCCGTTCCATTGTTGGAACATGACAATCGCCTAAAGCTCACACGAGCTGCCTGCATGATGATGTGATGATAGGAAGTGTCCCGCCCTCTGCAGACAACATGCCAGACCCCAGGACCAGTCTGTTGAGCTCTGAAACTTGTTTATCCGATGTTTAATACCATTGAAGGTGTCGCAGTCTGTATTGCACGCAATTGGCCCCCATCAATACACCCGCCAAGTGTGAAGTAGATCAGATGAACAGTGACGTGCGAAGCGCACAATGATGGTTAAATGTCAGGGTGTCTCCAGGGTTAGAAACGTATTTACTTGAATAACTGCCCCCTTTCTCTCCTCGTGTCTCGCTCTGTTTGTCTCTGTCAGACCTGCGGGCCCAGCTGACAGACCAGATCAAGATTTTAGACTCTCAGGTGGAGGTGAAGCAGCAGCAGCTTTCAGACCTCTCTGAGTTCCTCCGGCGCCGAGGCGACATTGAGGCGGAATACGCACGTGCCCTCGACAAACTCACTGAGCGATTCACCCACAAGACGAAGAAGTAAGTCTGGACAAAGTATTTGAGCGCCTCCTCTCTCGGGTGATTCTTAAAGTGTCCCATCGAGCTGTAGCTCAGTAAGGTTGTCTGTTTTTCTGCAGGAAGGAGCAGTGGGGTCAGTCGGTGTGTCAGGTCTGGTCTGTTTTGCTGACTCAGACTCGTCTGGAGAGCCGGGAACATGCAGCGCTGGGAGACACCTGCTGCAACACACTCACACAGCGGTTGGCTCACAGCACGGAGGATACACACCGGCTGCACAAACGGGTGAGTGGATCTTTGGTGCAGCGTGCAGGCAGAATCAGAGGCGCAAAAAGGGTTGTTACTCCTATCACTGGAGGTCAACTGCCCGCCTTGGAGCCCTGTGAAACAAAGCAAAAAGGCCCTTTCATGTGGCCCTATAGTAGATAAAAAGTGATGAGGTGCCCTTCCAGTGGAGAAAACACAATAAACTGCCCTCTAGGTAACACAATATCACAGCATGATGTTCATTTAGTAAACTATGGTGCATTTAGAGTCAAAGACACCATCATGCAGAGTATGCTTTAGGGCGGGCAAACTGCGATTGACAGGTCACTGCCACTTGCAGAGCCGTACACTACGTCACTTCTTGGTATTACAAATATGGTAACTTCTGGTTGCAAGGAAACAAGAGGGCACCGGCGAAATCACCAAACTGCTTGTGAACAGATTAGTAACGGCAATTAGTTGCAGAGTACTGTATTAATCAATCAATCGAAATGGACCCCAGATGATGTCCCGTTCGGGGGCCCTTACTAAACGCTGTGCTCAACCTTTGAACAACTGTGTTTTAACATAATAGCAACAGGTGAGTGTTAAATATATCTGCGTATCTTTGACATTGCAGAGCAAAGAAGTTGGCATCCAGATGCAGGATGAGCTGCTGAAGGTCACCACCGAAATGCAGACGGTGAGCCTGTCGATTATTGACATCCGCACAATCCGCATAATGATGAAACGTAGCGGCGATGCATTGTGGAGTCTTCCTAATGTGACGTATGTGCTACTGAAGGCTCTCAAGACGTACAACCTGTACCACACGGACTGCCTGATAGCCGAAGGGAAGCTGAAGGAAGCCGAGCGGTTGGAGGAGAGACACACCGGCAAGTCGGCCGAGCTCGGCCCCGGCCAACTGGGAGGCCAGAGGCGGAGCTCGGTCAAGAAGATGGAGAGATTGATGGAGAAAGTGAGTGTGTGTGTGTGTGTGTGTTACAGGAAGTCTCAAACCGGATCCCCGTCCCCGTCCCCCCACAGAACAAACCCTTTCCTGTTCCTGTTTGTCAGTAAATGCACATCTATTGTCTCGTGTTCTTACCTTGACCTGTGTGTGTTTGCACAGAGGCACGGCAGAGTGCAGGAGAACCAGCTGAAGTGCACCAAGGCCCGTAACGACTACCTGCTGAACCTTGCAGCGGCCAACGCAGCCATGAACAAGTACTACCTGCAGGACATCAGCACGCTCATCGACGTGAGCGACACTAGATTAGCGTTGTGTGATTTTCTGGGTCCATTTGTTAGTTTGACAATACCCTTTTGTGCCACTCTCTCCTGTTATTATCTGAAGAAAATGGATCCAATATGGGGAGAGGGAATAATTTCTCTCTCTCTGTCCCACACACCACGATCACACAATTCAAAACCCTTCTTTCTCCCTGTTGCCTCTCTGGTTTGGCCTCCCCTCCAGTGCTGCGACTTGGGCTTCCATCTGTCGGTGGAGAGGGTGATGAACTACTACCTGGCCAGCAGGGGGCGGATCCAGAAGACAGAGGAGGCGGGTCTGAAGCAGCTGGAGGCGGCTGTGACGTCCCTGGACCCTGGCGGGGACAGAGATGCGCTGCTGCAGCAACACGACGCCGCCTTCTGTCTGCCGTTCCGATTCAGCTACCATCCGCACGAGGGAGACCAGGTGGAGAATGAGAATTACTGAGCAGCAAGGCAACCTAAAGACTAAAAACAGCTAAAGAGAAGGAAGCAATATAATGAATATGTTGGAATGTATTCACGGCTTTACCTTACAGCAAGACAGCACTGTCTAATGTGGACCTGCAGCCTTTTTATCATCTGGGCCACATGTCGTTTTTTGTCTTTGGCTAACACTTTAAGGCACTCCTTTTGCTACAACCCCACAAATGAAATCAAAACCACTCCTCTAACTTGTCAGTGTCTTTTGAAGTTGTGCCTCCATCTCTCTGGGATTAACATGAACTTTAACTTGAAGTTAGAAGTAAGAAGAGTGGAGTTGCAGCTTTCTGTTTTGTTCACGTGTTTCAGGTGTGCGAGGTGAGTGCGGAGAGCCAGGTCAGGTACGAGCTTGAGACCAGGTACCAGCAGCTTCAGTCCCGACTTGCTGCCGTTACCTTGGAAACAGAGGAGGTCAGCAGAATCATTCTCACTGCCTGTTTTTTGTCAGCCACGAATCGTAAATGAAAAAAGGAAAAGTGAACCTATCGGCATTCCGCTCTCTTTCGCAGGTCAGTAAAACGCTGAAAGCCACACTCGCAGCCCTCCTGGAAAATATGTGTGACGGCGACTGTAACCCCTCCCCCGACGTGCCTAGCAGCCTATCGCACGAGCCGCCTGGAGGAACCGCCGCCCCAAAACTCACGCTCGCCAAGCGCCGAGCCAATCAGCAGGAGACAGAGACTTACTACTTTACAGTGAGTCTTTGCAGCTGCATTAAGAATACCCTTAAAGATATATCTACATTTGTATTCTGCATGTGTGTAGCTGCGACCATTAACAAACTGGAATGTTACACAATCAGCGTGGCTGTTGTTTTGAATGCGTATTCTATAATATGCCATAAGCGATTGTTAATTTGAATGTAATTTTATCGGATCAATAGCATTTCTATGGGATTTCACCCTATAAGTAATTCCTTTCTCACTTGCTGTGGTACAACCCATGAATGACTTTTTTTTTTATTTCTTAATTTTAGAGTTCTCAAATAAATGCTGATGTTTATTTCTCTGGAGGGTTCTTTTGATAATGTTTTCACACTCGTCATTGGTACATCGATGAGTAGGAGAGGCCCAATACAATAACATTGCTTACTTCCTTTTGGATCAATTTGAATCCCTGTTTGCCGCCATTTTATGCAGAAAATAGAATAGAATAGAAAATAGAAGAATACTTAAGTAACCCTGCAAGCAACAACAAAGGAAACATCATTTTGTTTTAGGTGTTGCACTCATTAATGCACTTATTTACCGCTGACACTTGAGTTAAATGTCACTTTATTAAATGCTTAATTTTAACATTGTTTAAGAAATTGTGGGGAAAATTCTTTTTTTCCTCTTAGAAAGTGAAAGACTTCCTCGTCAGCAGTTCTCTGACCTTCAAACTTCAAGCCAAACACGACCTTCTACAAGATGCCATACAGAAAGGTAACATTATTCCTACCGCGATAGATGAAGGGCGGGGACAACGTCTGCTACTGTCTATGGAGGTTTGAATCTGTGATTAGTTTTCACAAATAAAGCTACTGTTCTCCATCGATGTAGCATTGCACTATAGTATCTTCAGAATCAATGGTTATAAAATATACATGTCAAAAACATCGATCCACCAACCAATGGATGGCATCACGAGGACAACATCCACTTCCGTTTACAGTCAATGTGTCATTTTAAAAAAGGGATCTTAACATCCCTCAAAGACATTTATCTCAACACTTGTAGTTTAATATCAGTGCAGTTCCCCTTTTAAGTCACCTGCACATTGTTTGCACCAGAACCCTGAAGCAGGCCTCACTCTCTCGCCTGTTTTCTCTCTCTTTCTTCCAGCCGAGGCTGTGGACACCGACCCCTCCAGGTAAACAGTATCTTCATGTAGCTGGGACTGAAGCCAGTGTGACAGAGGGGCGTAGAGACATGAAGGTAGCAGAGAGAACAGGGAGGAGAGGAAAGAGGCCGAGCAAATTGGAACCACAAAGGCCTTTTGGCCAATTCTTTTCTCATTTTGTAAAAAGAAAAGTTGATTTTTGGAGGGGGTGGGAAATGAAGTGTAGTGTAACGGATGATACCAGTTCAATGTAAGATGTAGTATTGCATTATGCATTTCATTATTATTATATTTCCCAGAATGCAATGTGCTCGGTCAGTGCGCATTTGGAAGTCCAGACCTGTTTCCCAATTCTGCCACACACTCTTCACCACAGACATACTCTCCTACATACAGGTAACACACTCTCTCTCACACACACACACACACACATGCGAATAAGTACAAATAAAGAAACGCCCCTTGCCTTTTCCTCCTTGCTGATTGGCTCGCTGCACTGCGCTGCTGTTCACCCGTCACAGGGGAACAATTTAGTAAATCCTGTCACAGCGAAGCAGAGGAATTGGCGCGGGGCGTCTTGCAGCACATGCGCTCTGCCTTCATGTGTACGGCGATGCTTATAGTTTACTGCTGGCTTTTCGCTCCTTTTAAATCCACCCCGCCCCCCCTCCTCCTCTCTGTTATCTCTTCCTCTCTTGTGAAGGGATTAAAATGCACTGGCCTCTTTTTTGCCTCCTCTCTCGGCTGCTCTTCTGAGAGCGTGTGTGCTTATTGTGGCCCTCTTCCCACAGCTTCTAAATCTTTATTACCCACTTATTTCCTACTCTGCCTTTTTCTCATCTGTGCCCCCCCCACCTCTGTCTTCTCTCTGCCGCCCGTGGTTCGGTTGCAGGAGAAGAAGACGAATGTCTCGGACACAGGTAGTGAACCCCAGCTGTGAGCGCTCACAGTCTCCGAATTCAGCACCACGTGGGGGGTTTCTAGGGGGTTAAAAGGAAATAGTTTTTCATTTTGTTAAGCAGACTTCTATGTGTGTATTTGCAATATAAACATATATATGTATATACATATATAAATATAAAGGCCAAGTGTTACTTTTTTCTTTTCAGTTTTATGGATAGATTCAAAAAGACATTCGTAATAAAAGACATCATGACGGAACTTTATTTTTATTTTCTGAAAGGTTGTGTTTCAAAATGCAAATGAGCTATTATCCTATTAAATATGTGTTTATTTTTAGACGTTCCCGGAATGGAAATCTGAAAATTGCATAAATCCAGGTTCAAAGATCTTGTTTCATTCTGTTGACATATCCGAGTCAAAGAGGAAATCAACTTCCAGTTAAAAAAAAAAGATTCCGCACTGTTTTTAGAAACATTGTTCTATAAATCGGCTATGAATGATATATGAACAAGCCTCTCGGTGCTGTTGAAGTGGAGATTTCTGCTTTAGAGTCTGAGAGAACTCATTTTGAGAAAATACATTTGGGTCAAAGAACGAAATGAATTTTCAGTTGATCATTCATTGTTTTTATATATGCAAATAGGCCCTATGTAATGCCCAAACGTATTGCCCTGGAATGTTAGAACCTCCTCTGTTTAATCGTTGTTCGCTTTGCATCGCATCTTCCTTTACCGCTTATCCGGCCGCGGATTATGCCGACCTTGCCTTTGTCCTCATTGACATCTACATCCACGATCTCATCTCTCTTCACGACTCATCTTCTGTCTGCAGAGCTCTGGGCAGCAGATCCCTGTGGTGGTTGAGAGCTGCATCCGTTTCATCAACCTTCACGGTGAGTAAGTCTTCCTGAGGAAGCTTAGGACACAGAATGAGGCGGCCTAAAGGCTTGTTTGTGTATCTGAACATGCAGCTGCAAATATGCAATATGTTGTGCTTCAGGTCTCCACCATGAAGGTATATTTAGAGTTCCTGGGTCACAGAGGGAGGTTAACCACATCAGAGATGCCTTTGAGAGAGGTAAGTCAGCTTTCACATTGCATCACTTTTGTTTTTTTTTGTTTTATTATCATTTTGATCCCGTTCTTCATTTTTTTTGTTAATCCTTTGTAACGCTTTATGTGTGTCTTAAGTGTGTGCTGCTACAACATGTGTGTTAAACTGCCCGCAGGAGAGGATCCTCTATCGGACAGTGAGTGCGACCTGGACTCTGTGGCCGGTGTGTTGAAGCTTTACTTTAGAGGCCTGGAGCCTCCTCTCTTCCCCTACGACAGCTACTCTAAGCTGCTGGAGTGTGTCCGTAAGTACCCTGTTGGATCTATCCATACGTAGGCTTCTTATTTCATCTACATTTTGCAAATTAATAATCCTGCTAATTGTGATTGAGCTTGAGGTCTCATTGCAGCCGCGGCGTCCCATCGCCAATCACGGGTTTACTATCTGTTTTTGTTCTTTTTTCTTTGCAACTTTATTGTCCTGTTTGTGTCCGTCAAATCAGTGACTAATCAAACACATGCACATGTTGTTACACATTTTTAACATTGTTTGTGGCTTTAATGAAACATTTGGGGCAAACTAATCGAACTAGTAGTTTCAACTAAAGCAATATGTGTGCAAACTTGAGCGAAACTTGGTAGTTTGCTTAACAAAGCTGGTGAGCTATTCAACTTTCGTTGTTGCTGATAGTTTAATAGTGTCCTCCCTTAGCATACACAAGATACGTATTGACATTGAGTGTCATAACATATGAATTAAGCTCTTCTTGTTGCCTACAGTACATACGGTAGGCCTACGTGGACGAGACAATTAGCTTTGGTTAGCTAGCGCGCCGCTCGTCAACCTCAATGTCGTCAATGAAGCCAATCAGAGTGGTTGTACTCCTTTTTAAAACTGCGCAACTGGCAGTTTGTTCCCTGTTTCTTCCTGTCCAAGTCAAAGTGTCCTCAGGCAATCATAAGATCTGTTTTACAAGGATACTAGTAGTGGTTGCAACTGTACGGATGCTCCAAGCACCAAGTTACTTGGTGAGGGGATTGTCTCGGCTGTTGATGCAAGATGGTGGAACGTCGACTGGTGGTCTCTGTTTCTCTCTCTATCTGTGTCTCTATCTAACTCATTCTCACACTATATCCATCCCTCTCTCCCTCTCCCCCTCTCTCTCTCTCCCTGTTATTCCTTTAGGCCTAATTCTGTTTTCCAAAAGCAGAAAATCTGAGTCAGAATCAGCACAGCTAATTAGGGTTGTGAACCTGCCTGCTGGTTGTTTATACCGTTAAATGCTTGAATTTCCTGTCAGCTGCATACTAAATCAGCCTAGCTATCGCAGTAGTACTGACTTTAAGTCTAAATGTGGAGGGGCTTATGCATGTGACACCGGTTGTGATTGCCGTGGGCATTGTGATTGATAGAAACACAACTTGTTGTAAGTGTTACATTTTGACTCACCCTGCTCCTCTCATCTCTATGATCATCAGAAATCGAGGAGGTGACGGAGAAAGATGCCCAGATTAAGGCAATCATCTCCACCTTCCCGCGGCCTCTCCTCATTGTGATGCGCTACCTTTTCGCTTTCCTCAATCAGTAAGCTTCATCGTGACCCGGTGCGGGTTGTTCTATCAGCTAATGTCTGCTATGGTCATATGAGTAACTAAATACATTTATTTTTCCAAGTGTGACTCAGTATAGCGACGAGAACATGATGCAGCCGTACAACCTGGCCGTTTGCTTCGGACCGAGCCTGCTGAGGGGGTTGGACTCGGATGACGCTGTTGCCATGCAGCCGCAGGTCAACGATCTCGTCAAAACCATGATCCTGCAGCATGACATTATCTACCCCAGCCAGTCGGAGTTGCCGGGTCCCGTCTATGAGAAGCACATGACACTGGAGCAGGAGTACTGGTGAGAGATGACTAGTCACTCAGTAGTTGTTGTAATGAAAGAGTGATGCAACGTCTGTTGTTGCAATTGTTTGACCAAAAATATGGAGCTGCACAAGTTCATTTAGTTTTGGAACATCACGTGACAAGTCAATACCATTTTTGTTAAATTCTTTAAATAGGGGCTTGCATCTTCTTTATTGATAAAATGACATACAGCGTTGATAAAATAAATAAAAAGCTTAGCAATTCTTTTTTTTCGCTGACCAGCTAATGCTAAAAGTTGTCAGGAAGCTGAATGGCGGGGAAGGTAGGACTCAAACGCAGAGTTTTCCAAAAACGAAAAGACTTTAATCGTCAAAAAGGGTTTCAAAAGCAAAAGGCCAAGGGGCAAAAACGGAGACAGGAACCGAGAACGAGAATGGGGACTGGGACTGGGACTTGGACTTGGACTTCCATACATTGAACAATGACGCGACAGACACACATGGCTTCAATACACTAGGGAGGTGCAGGTGATTGGACACAGCTGTAAACAATCATGACATGACAGACAATCCAGGGAGACATGATGCAGAACTACAAAATAAAACAAGACGTGAACCCAAACCTTGACAAAAAGTGTTAGCTAGGTAATACTATTTTAAATGATCAAAAATAATTAAAGTGTTTGGACAAATTGGAGGTTAAAATAAAATTCAGTTTTGTTTTATTTCTTTATATTTTCGTTTTTTGTTGGGTTAATAACAATTTGCAACATGTGGTCAGTTTCAGGGTTTGATATGAAGATGGTCTTGATGCATTTTGGTCAAATCTTGTTTTAATGATGAATTGTGATGAAATTGGCTTCCATTATCGACGTTGAAACTAAATGTCATCTCCACTTATTTCTGTCCTCTTTTTGTAAATAAATGATTGGGCAACAGCCTTACGTTGAGACGAAGGCGTTTCCAAGTACGTAATAAACAAATTTCATACCACGCCAAAGACACTTCTGTGCAGCTCACAATCCTTGGTGCAAATACAGCTTAAAAATATTAGGCTGATGGCTCACAAACACAAACTATCAACGTTGTCCATGGAAACCTTTTAAAATGCCAAAATCGTATCTTGTGTAAAAACATGAATTATGAATAATAGCCTTTACATTTGCCAGAGCCTTTTGTTACTTGTCTTTTGAAAAGTTTCACAGCAGCAGAAGAACATTGATGACCACAGACTTCCATTTTCTTTCTCTGTCTGCAGTGAACCGATCACAGAGGAGGGAGAAGGGGAGACCGAGCATCTGCCCAGTGAGGAGGGTGAGGACATAAAGTACACAAACGACTTCCATTAGACACACACTGAATTCACAGAAATGTAGAACAATGCACTGTGCACATTTTCTTCCTTGTGTAGTTGATTGTCACTGTGCATTTGTGTACAGAGTGGGAGGCGGTGGCTATGTTTGACTACTCAGCGAGATCTCCAGCAGAGCTGTCCTTCAAGCAAGGGGAGCTTCTCATCCTCCACAGCAAGGCCTCCTGTGATTGGTGGAGAGGCGAAGTAGGCGGGATTAAGGGTCTTATCCCTCACAAGTACATCAGCGTGCTGGAAGGGTGAGTGAGCTTTTCATTTCAGTGTCGTTAATCAAACTCTGTGAGATTCGTTCAGAACAGCTGCCAGGACGATGATGGGGATCTGGAAGTGGATCACTTGGGCCTCCGCCCCAATTTGAGACACTACATCCAATAATTCACTTTATTGGTCTCTCAGAACCTGAGTTAGAATCTTGCTTCTAATGCCAAGGGACGTGTGACAAGATGTCGGCTAATATGTACTATGAGTAAAGACACTCAGATCAACGTATCCTGATGGTCAGAGGGGTGGACTGTATATAAGAGGTAGACGTAGTCATTGTGACATCACTCACGGCCGTTATGAAGCCTCGATTTCACGAAATACGGCCGTTGCCATGTTGTAAAAGAAAGTTTAATAGTGAGAAAATGACTGTACTCTACTTGATTCATTCCCACAGTAACACCGTGAACATGAGTTTGTGGTTCTTCTTCAATAGAGCATTAAGTTCCATTGAGAATCAAATAGACCATAAAGCAGGGTGCGCTTTAGGGCGGGGCTTACTGTAATTGACAGTTCCCTTCCGCTACCATAGACGTAAACAGCGTCGCTCGTAACATCTGTTCAATGACGGCTAAAACCCTGAACTCAAGGCCAAAGAGGGATGTCAGGATGGTTACATCCACTTCTTTTATACATTCGAGGAGATATAGTGAAAAAGAGGTTGTATAAACAAGGGGGAACAAATTAACAAAAGTCGTGTTGTTACATGGTATTTTATTCTGCATTATTTTGTCCCCATCTTCAAATTGTTCCATAAAAAAAATCAGATCACATCTAATATCAGTCCGACTCCCCCCTTATTTCTACACTCAACCTCATCTTTCCGTAGTGAAACTATTTTCCAAATATGTGTCTCTCTTCTGCTCCTCCCTCAGATCAGAGCGAGGGAAAAGAGAGGACAGAGAAGGGGGGGGCAGTACTGGGAACCTGACAGCAGACGATCCGCAGACAGAGAACCCAACCCGGTACACTCACACTCACACACTCACACACACACACAGACCTACTCAACTGTACACTGCAACATGTGAATGTATTCACGCACAATGGATGTGGACAGCCCAACACACACACACACACACACACGCACACGCAAAGACCGGAACACTCAATGTTGCACACGTTCACACGCGAGCAAACTCACATGGAAGCACAGAAAGATTTGCAAAGTTTCTGTCCCCGTCTCGACAGGATGCGGGTGAACAGCGACAGCGCTTCGTTGCCTGGGAGACAGAGAGGAGGCGAGGGGAGCCCCAGTCAAAAGCCGCCAACCTCTCCCGCCGCGCGACACCTGCCAGTGTAAGACTGACATGGCTCCGCGAGGCGATGCATGTGCTGTACAACGCTCGATAGATAGCGGTTGATAGGAAATACAGTATAGAGATGAATGGGGAAAAAATGTGGAATCATTCAACATAAAGGAAAATAATAACACAAAACATTGCTAGTACCACACTTAAGCTATGATACATTTTTGGAATGAATATTGGATCATGTGACTTTGTGTATTTCAAGGAGTTCCTCGTATTGGCAAACACACAAAGGGTTATTATTAAATCTCGGTGGCCGTGGCGCTCTGTGTTCCTGTAACTCGGTGTGCGTGCTGCCATGTGAATGAAATAAATAGTTCACTGGTCTACAGGTCCAGGGATTCTACAAAGGGCACTTTGATTTTAAATGCTTTAGAAATAACAAAAGGGCTTAAAAATCTTCACATGACTAAATATTCTGCAGCCAATTCAAACTGTTCCTTTCTTCATAATGCATGTGATGCACTACTTCTTTATTTTGGTCTTTCTCAAAGGCAATAAAGTAGTCCACAAATATGAGGTATGACTTTACAGATGCATCTTCTTCATTGTGGAAGCCGGTTTGTTGCTTTTTTCTGGTTCCACCTGCAGTCTGCGAGCGTATCTATGATTTACGCTCACTGTCTATTTGATTCCTCAGTGCTTATTTTGTTTGTTCGCCCTCTGGTGTTTTCGGAGAGCAATGCAGCGCAGAGAGTGTAAAATGCCTCCGCTGATGCTCGGCGCTCGCGCTGCTCCAGAAACAGAGCTTTGGTGTCTTCAAGGGCCAATTAAGCTGTTACAGAGGAGCAAATACATTCAGCATTCCCTTTTTTAAAAGTTGTCAAAAATAAAAACGAAGAAAAGCGTCTCTCGCCAAAACATGGAACAAGGCTTCAGATTCTCAGTCGGCTCCGTCTTTCACTTTCACTTCTTCTAAATGCTTCTGACCCGAGTTCCCTCTCATCTCTAAAGGTCTCAGGAGCGAAGACACACCTTGGACACTGTGAGACAGGGCGGCTTCCGACCCCCGGACAGACCAGCGGTCGACAAGGTCTGTAACGTGAGTCCAGCCGGGAGCCATCGCTCCTGTGAGGGCTCTTAACAAACCTGTTGGTGGTAGCTCGGGGGAAATGATGGATATGGAGCAATTAGTTACTACCAGGAGAAGAGAATTATTATGTTTTTTTAGTATAAAAGGTTTTGAGAAATAAAATAGTATTATTATTAGTTTGAATATTTTGCATGAAAATAGATTGCACAGTTAAACCAGTAGTGAAAGTGGTGCTTGTAGGTCTGTATATTCTGAGGGCGGAGGTCATGTGATCTTCACATCACGTGATGTGCGCGTTCACAGCGAGTGTTGTGAGGACTGAGCTGACTATATAACAGTTTTATATCCTCCATGTGCCTCCCACTAACTGTCTGCCTCCCCCCCCCCCCTCCCTCCCTCCCTCCCTCTCAGGACATGATCAGCCGTCAGATGAACTCGGTGTTCAAGGAGCTGCTGTCTCGCCAGCCTTCCGTGCCGCCGTCCGGGCTCCCCGCCCCTGCTGCCCCGGCTCCCTCTTCCTCCTCCTCCTCATCCTCTCTTCCTCAAGCTGCCCCCACTGCCAAAAAAGTAGGATTCGGCCTCAGAGGACGGACCCTTTTCAGGCCGGTGGACTGAGAGAGGGGAGAGTTGGAAATGCGGATTCATTGTTTAACATCAGCTGATTATGCTGATGCTGATAATACATTCTGTGAAGATGTTGATTTATTTTTCTTGACATGTGTATGACATTTGCAAAGCTGCCATCTCATAGTGCCAGTCGCGGTGCCGTGTTACTGTGCGTCCCGTGTGTCTGTTCTCCAGCTGCTTTTAGGTTCCCGTCACTTTTTTGGTTTTCCAGGCTTTTGTGATTTATTTTTATTTTTTATTTGGAGCACCGGGGATGTGACTTTACCGGACAGACTTTTTTAAATGGGTGCCATGATACCAAGAGCAGCAACAAAGTACTTAATCCGCTTCCTAATGGCAGGTTCTGAGATCAGCTCTCCCCTTTGCTTCATTGGTAAAAGAGAAAACTGATCCGGGGCCTGAGTGCCTTCACGTCTTTTCTTTTCACAGTTAATTCACTTGAAAAGATCCAGTAGGTTTTGAGCTCTGCGTATTATGTTAAAAAAGATCTTGTGTTCCATATTAAATAAAACAATATACAATCATTAGGCCTTCACGAATAAACAATATAAATTATCCGTAACATAAATAATATATAAATATACATTTTTGTTAAAGGGAAATTAATGAAAATACGAATAATTGGGAAAACTAATTTTCAAAGAAAGAAAAAGGTTCTCATTTGAATGTTTCATTTATGGGAAAATACCATTTAATTACAATGATAATAATTTAGTAGTCATGATATCATGGTTGCTTCATGTATTTCACACAGGTTTATTCAGCTGAATATTTATTTCACAAAGATGCATTTATTTAATATTGAACATTTTGCCACCCTATAGATGCTAGCGGGTGGTTCAGTACTTAATAGCAGCATGCATCGTTAAAACGCACACACAAATACCAACACAAACACGCACAGGTACGCAAAGACAGAAAACGCATTCCCCTTCATATGTGAAACGCGGCCTGATCCGCAGGCCGAAACTCAGGGCTTTTTGCAGAGTTAGAGCCGACTCAGGTTGGAACAAGGAACTAGTAGGATTTTCTACCCTCGGGGCTTTTGGTTGACTCGCTCTTCAACTGGAAACACGTGCCCCAGCCTCAAGAGCCACACAACGGCCCCCGGACGGGAGGATTCGCCCACTTCCGCTGGTTTAAACTGTGAATGCAACGGCCAACATTTTTTGGCGCCATGGTGGAATCTCTCGTCTCGTTCATCCACACATTTCGGCCCCACTCCGGAAACATCCACACACAGCGCACGGTCCACAGCTCTCATGGTGGCAGTGAATTGTACGTTTACTTTGATTCTGAAAGCATTTGAAGCGTTCTCGTGGCATCTTCCCCCTCTGTCGTGTTTCAGTATCGGAAACATAGAAGTAGAATTTTTTTTTTTTTTAAATGGATTTTTCCTCGATGATTAAAACAACCTGTTAGTCTGGATTACTGTTAGATGATGTCACTGAATTTGCTGTGTGTGTATATGTGGTTAAAAAAAACTGAATTCAATAAAGATGGTGAAGAGAGGAATGATTAAGGGTTGTCGGTGTGTTTTGATTGCCGGTTTGACTCGAAACAGGTATAATCAGCACTATGTGTCAAGCAGCGCTGCAGCTGGAAAAGAAAAGTAACTTGCTGTAGTCCACAGGACCGAATTGACCAACAAATAATACAAACAATGCCCTGGCACCACAGCAGGCAGATTCCTCAGCTTTCTTCGCTTAGCATCAGTTCACTACGCTACACATTTTGAACACAGCTTTGATTTTATTGAAGTTCATGCACAGATTTCCCTAATTCTCTCACGATTTAACCCTCAGTGTACATTGCACACCTTAGTTTATGGTCTCAATCTGGAGTTTCAAGTCTTCTTCATCTCAGCATTATGACCATTCCATAAGTTTTGTTCATTTAGAGTCAAATAGACCAAAACGTAGGTTATGTGTTAAGGCGGGCTTACTGTGATTGACAGGTTGCCAGTGAAGACTTCTCATCCAGACCATTGCTCTCTGCTGGTTGTGCTCAGGGCAGTGATGCCCCGCCTGTGTGTCGGGCGCCGTCTGAGATAATGACCACGCCTTTCTCAACTCTTTGCTTCTTGTGCAAAATACTAAGCTTTTTTCCCACTTTTAGAAAACGTTCAATGACATGATCTATGAAGAAAACGGATTGGACTCGCTCAAAAGTGATAAAATGCAAGCTCAGACAAGGCCGAGATGCGACAAGGAGGGATAGTTCCGTTCAATAGGGAGATAGCGAAGCGTTTATTCTTAGCGATAGGATTTTTCTGAAGATCTTACTGGAACAAAGCTGCACTGTACGTGCAAGACGATTATCTATTATTAGAAAAAAGCTAATATATCAATAAATATACTTCCATGGGACCTTGCATGGGATCGTTTAATAATTTAAAACATAGATTTCAATCATGAGGTTTTATCACATCTTGACTGTTAAAGAGTAAGTCAGTATTTTACAGCAGGATGCAGCGTTAGCCAGCACGAACACACACACACACACACACGCACGCACACACACACACACAAGTATAGCTGGATAAGTAAGTCTGAATTCACACTATAGTTTCCTGTTGGTAAGTGAGTTTGATTGTTTGAAAGCATGCGTAGCCACGGGTAGCCGGGTGCTGTAACGCAATCTTTTTCAGACCCAACCATTCCTCCAAAAATAAACCCCTCCACCCAACACACACACACACACACACGGAATAAGAAGCACTGAAACACATTATCACTCGTGGGGTGTGTGTGCGTATCTCATGAGCCAGCTCACCTCTCAGGGACACTTGTGATTAAGCGGTTGAACTGATCTCACTGATATTTCAGATTAGCACTCTCTGCAAGGCTCCGCTGTCTCTGACTGACACAGCAGGATTCAGACGGCACTTTGAGTGGGGTAAGTCAGACACGACTCCTCGTTTCCATTCCCTGTGGATCTGCTGAGATGCGGGTAAGAGTTGCAACTACAGTTTCACATCTCGGTTCATGCACATTTCGTATATCAAACCTGATGCATGCAAGTCGATAAAGCGTATTTCAAGCAAGCTGTTAAGGCTTTGAATCCTATATATAGAGACAAATAAGACAATTTTGCTTTTGGAACGGCCGGCAGCTATTTACAGATTTTAGTGTGGCTTCTTTTTTTAGGTGCTAAAGAACAGGTGTCAGCACTCGATGTTGCACACTACATGCCGTCTGCAGGAGCGTGGATGTGTGTGTGTGTGTGTGTATGTCAGTGGTGGGCGGTGGATTTCTACCTGGGCCTTCTGTGCCGTCTTACTACAGTTAAATAACCTAATAACCTCATTATGACGCCACAGTTGCAGGTCACGATTTGCTTCATGTAAACGCCTCATATTCACATAACACGTAACATTTAAAGTGAAATGAAATAACGCCACATTGCAATGACTTGGTAATTCAATTGGGGTAAATCAGCTTCCAATGCTGATTCATGGAAAGGCTTCAGAGCTACACATAAAGACAAGAGCTGTACAATGACAAAATTGGCTAATGGGAGTAATAATTACAATTTGTATAATAATGATATTAATTAAAAAAATAACAAAAATAAAATAGCTATAACTTTGCGATTCTGTTGAGGCAAGCAGAGAAGGATTAACCGGCACTGACCACTGGTCTGCTAGTTCATGTCAACACTTAACCACAATTTTTTGTCTTATTTTTTATCACATCAGTAATAAACATTTATGTTAATGAGCCAGAAGGCTTTTTTTCATCTGTAGCCCCCAAGGAGCAGATGTTATAAAATAAAGCTAAAAACAGGAGATAAAATTAAAAAGGTTATACGGTATTGGTATTTCAAAATGCGTGCACAGAAGAAATGAAAAGTGAGAATGAAATTCAAGTCAAGTGGTAACAAGACGTGCAGCACAGAGTCTCTCACAGACAAAGTGTCCCCGTAGCTGTGACTACGGTGTGGTATGAATGTTAGATGGGCAGGTGTCACTGTGTGTGATAGCTCCTGTCACCAGTGTATAAATGGGTGAATTATGACACGTAGTATTGAAGCACTTTGTCCATTTACCATTCATCACGTGCCTCTGTGTTCCCTCAGTGAGGTTGATGATGATGGTGAGCGACGACTGCCTGGTGGAGTGTAAGATCGACGATGATAGCGATGAAGATCAGATAAACACACCTCCTCCTCCTCCTGAGTTTGCATCCAAAGCCTCGACCCCCGTGGCCGTACCTCCGACCCCTCCCACGACCCCTCCCACGACCCCACCCACGACCCCTCCCACGGCCACACCCACCTGCACCGTCAGCAGGGACCCATATGGCATAAACCTGCACCTTAAGGTTTTCTTCCCCTTTTCCACCCTCTGTCTGCATTGTCTGCCAGAGCTTTGTTAGCGTTGATTTTATATATAATTCCACTTCAGTATTTATGCTAACATGTTAGTAGGTAAACCCAAACCCCGAAGTAAAACCCAGTACCAGGTATTTAAAAGTGTGAAAGTTTCACATTGTTAATCTTTACTGTCTGTGCCGTTTAGCGATGAGGACTTGTTGGGTGTACCCCAGGGTTCTATTTTGGGCCCTAATTTCTTTAGATATATGTTTGGATTTTTGCAGAAAAACAAGCTTTACGGCACAAATGAACCCACTTTTATGATTTTGAAAGGTGAATGCTGCAGCCAGAAGTAAAAACACTAACTTCATAAAGAGCTTCAGAGTTAATGGGGAGGATATTTGCTGACGTAGAACTAGAAGACTTCAGCATCAGTCTCTCAATCTCTCTGCAGGTGGAGGTCAGTGACGTACTGGCGGAGCCGGCCACACCTCGCAGCATAGACCAGGTGTGGCGTTACAGTGTGGCTGGCTTTGAGACAACTCGTATCTGGACGTACCGCTGCCTCTCCCTGCTGCTCGCCGTGCCCTTCGCTCTCCTCTGCGGGGTCTTCCTGGCTATTCTCGCCTGTCTACACGTCTGGTACGCCGGCGCAGTAAAAAAGCCCCCTTGTGTCACGCGTCATTGTCATATGCTCACTCATCCATGCAGAATATGGCTCGCTGCTCAGTGGTTCCCGATGTGTTTGGCTTAAGACACCTGATTTAAATAGACAATTGTGATTGGATTAGCATGTCTAAGACAGCTGGAATTTCTGTAAAAAGAGGAAGAGGACCAGAGTAAAAAAGCTTGCAGATAAATCTTGTTTCCTGACAAATCTGGCCGAGAATCATATGCGAAGATTAACACCACTTTCAAAGCGTACTATGAAGCTACAGCAACAGGTGATTAGCTTAGCTTAGCACAAGACATTTAAATCACTGGGTAAACAGCTTCTAGCACCTCTAAAACTCACATGTTCCCTTTTTTTTGGTTTATGACCAAATAAAAGTCATGCTTCATACGTTTACTACTACCTTCCTGCCCTCAAGAGACAGGATCCTCACAATAATTTACACTCCTTCAAAATGATGGGTAATAAATCTGTCTATCTTTCCTCGCTCTAGGTTTGTGGTGCCTTGTCTGCAGCTGAGCAACACGTTCCTCCCATGTTTGCGGTCTCTGTGCATGTGTGCTGTGAATGCGTTCATATCTCCCTTCTGCACGTCTTTGGCTCTCTGCTGCAGTCAAATTGCCATTTCCCTGTCGAACAAGGACTGGCATCAAATGAGAGACAAAGGGATTGTATAAATGTGAGAAAAGTGATATTGTGTGATGAGTGAAATTATTATTGTGTGTTTTTAAATCGGCATAGTTCCACATACTATGAATGCAATTCGAAATGTTTTCTATATAAAGCGAACTCATGAAAAATATGTGTATTATTGTGATTATTATTCAGCCCCCCCCAATTGAACAAAGGAGCCCCCCCCTCCATCTAAGAAAGTCTCGAATTTAAAAAAGAATGTGCATACAGACACGTGTGCACGCTGCACCAAGGACCCCCCATCTCCCGTCGACACGGTATTATTGAATTTATATTATAATATAATATTATTGGTATTATTGTTGTGGTGGCTGCATTTGTCTACCACTATGTGAATAGATTTTACAGATATTTGCTCAGATGAGATTAAAGTTGATTCAATCAATGAACAACTAAAGCTTTTTTTGCTAATCAATATGTATCAGTACATTTGTCAAGGACATTTGTTCAATTGTATTAAAAATGTTTTTTGCTTTTGATTAATCAATCTATGTGTTCTTTCTGTTGCACATTCCATTGGAGATTCAAAATCAACAATCGAAATAAAAATACTGTATCTTCTCCTCTCACATCGATATGCCTGGTGGAGCATAAATCCGAGGTTTTCTGAAGCACCTGAAGGCGTCATATATAGTCATCCATAACTACCCATCATGCACTTTGTCGCCGCCATTTTTCTTGTTTTGGTGTACCGGGAGAGCTGCGATCTGGCTTCAGTGGGTCTTGGAAGATAAAAATCTGTTCCATTTCTACATCTAACTTTTCTCTTCGTCATTTGCGGATTAAACGTTCACACAAGCGAGCGGCGCAAGTAAAGAAGGCGTCATGGCGCAGTACAAAGGAGCGGCCAGCGAGGCCGGCAGAGCCATGCAGCTGATGAAAAAGCGAGAAAAAGAAAGAGAGCAGCTCGTGCAGCTCAAACAGAAGATCGCAGAGGTTCGTAGCTGAACCTTTTACCCGGAATTCTAAGTTGTATATTAAAAATACATGATAAATTAGCCCCGTGGTCGTTAGCTAGGTGTAGTACGGAGAGCGCTGAGGGTCAGTGAATAAAGTCCCCTTTGCGCCCCGCTGTGCTTCAGAGAGAACGTTAACCGACCTGTCTGTCCCCTCGCAGGACAACATGGTGAAGTCCAACATCGACAAGAAGTTCTCCGCTCACTACGATGCTGTAGAGGCCGAGCTCAAGTCCAGCACAGTTGGTAAGGTGCTCCTCTTGTTCTGCGTCACGTGATCCCTTCACATGTGCACTACCAATGCACACTCTGCTTCTGTTTAGTTCATAAGTAAACAGGACCCAAGAGGATGAGTGACTTGTTTGTGTCCCTCTCGATCAGGTCTGGTGACTCTGAATGACATGAAGGCCAAGCAGGAGGCGCTGGTGAAGGAGAGGGAGAAACAGCTGGCCAAGAAGGAGCAGTCCAAGGAGCTCCAGCTGTGAGTGGGCTCCGCTTTCACCCCATAGCTGATATAAAACAAAGCAAAATGGTGACGGCGATGCATTGTGGAGAGACAAACTATTAATTGCTGCTCCTAGTGGATATATAAATCATATCTGATCACACAGTAACACTTTCAGATTGTATCCTGAGCAGATTTAACATATTAGATCAGACAAATCTGTGTAACGTTAAAAGTGCTTGTTGTGGCCACTGACTGTTTTTGCAGGTGTCTGATTACACTATGGAACGAAATACGGGCCGTTGACAACAAATAGCTCACATTGTTGTCAGTGGAAAAAAAAGAAGCACATATTGTTGACCTAAATAACGGAGCATTGTAACTTCTAAAGCTGCTGCTGCTGCTGTTGTTTTGATGCTTTCGTTCTAATACTGGAATTAAAAACGAGCGATATTAGGACAAAAACCAAACCTACACTTGAATGCTGCCCCCTACGATGATACAGTGGTTCCACACCCGGGGGGAAGGGGGACACAGGGACCGGCTGCGAGCCGGGCTTTACATGATGGTGGACTTCTGTGATCAGGAATCAGGAAACATTTATTACCGAAATATGTCAAACATGCAAGGAATTTGTCTTGGCGGTTGGTGCGTGGCAGTAGACAGTGTGACAATAGACAACAAGACAGCAGTGCACAAGTAATGAAATAAAGTAAAAATGAAATGCTAATGCAATGGGTTAGTAGAATAAGGCTATGGGTTAGTCTAAAACAAGGGAATAAAGTTAAAGTTAAAAATTAAAAAAGTTTAAAACTTCCATCTGGCAGTTTAAAACTGCCAGATGGAAGGGGCACAAACAGTTTTTGTCCGGGGTGAGAGGGGTCGGCCACGATCTTTTTAGCTCGCTTCAGGGTCTTGGAGGCAAACGAGTCCTGCAGGGACGGCAGATTGCAGCCGATCACCCTCTCTGCAGAGCGGATGACGCGCAGCAGCCTGCCCTTGTCCTTGGCTGTGGCTGCAGCGTACCAGACGGTGATGGAGGAGCAGAGGATGGACTCGATGATGGCCGTGTAGAAGTGGACCATCATCGTCTTTGGCAGGTTGAATTTCTTCAGCTGCCTCAGGAAGAACAACCTCTGCAGAGCCTTCTTGGTGATGGAGCTGATGTTCAGCTCCCACTTGAGGTCCTGGGTCATGATGGAGCCCAGGAAACGGAGGGAATCCACAATAGTGACAGGGGAGTCGCACAGGGTGATGGGGGAGGTTGGGGCTCTGTTCCGCCGGAAATCCACAACCATCTCCACTGTCTTTAGAGCGTTGAGCTCCAGGTTGTTCTGGCTGCACCACGACACAAGATGGTCAGACTCCCACCTGTAGGCGGACTCGTCCCCACCAGAGATCAGTCCAATGAGGGTGGTGTCATCCGCAAACTTCAGGAGCTTGACGGACTGGTGACTGGAGGTGCAGCTGTTGGTGTACAGGGAGAAGAGCAGAGGGGAAAGAACGCAGCCTTGGGGGGAACCGGTGCTGATGGTCCGAGAGGCTGAGACATGTTTCCCCAGCTTCACGTGCTGCTTCCTGTCAGACAGGAAGTCTGGGATCCACTTGCAGGTGGAGTCGGGCACGTGCAGCTGGGAGAGTTTGTCCTGCAGCAGAGACGGGATGATAGAGTTAAAAGCAGAGCTGAAGTCCACAAACAGGATCCTGGCGTAGGTTCCTGGGGAGTCCAGATGCTGGAGGATGTAGTGGAGGGCCATGTTGACAGCATTGTCCACAGACCTGTTGGCTCTGTAGGCGAACTGCAGGGGGTCCAGGAGGGGGTCGGTGAGGGACTTCAGGTGGGTCAGGACTAGCCGTTCAAAAGACTTCATGACTACAGAGGTCAGGGCGAGAGGCCTGTAGAGGTTGGTGGAGCTGTGGGGGATGGGATCAGGACATTGTCTTTCAAATCTGCAGTAGAACTCATTGAGCTCGTCTGCCAGGCGGAGGTCATTCATGGAGTGGGGGTTTTTTGGCTTGTAGTTGGTGAGGTGTTTGAGGCCTCTCCAGACCAAAGCAGAGTCACTTGCTGAGAACTGTTGTTGGAGTTTCTCAGAGTACAGTTGTTTAGCATCTCTCACCGCCTTGCTAAACTTGTATTTTGCCTCTGTGTACAAGTCTTTGTCCCCACTCCTAAATGCCTGATCCTTCTGCAGGCGTAGTGTTCTGAGTTCCGCAGTGAACCAGGGTTTGTCGTTGTTGTAACTCACCCAGGTGCATGATGGTACACAGCTGTCCTCACAGAAGCCGATGTAGGAACTTACAGCCTCTGTGAACTCATCCAGACTGTCTGTAGCCGTCCTGAAAACTTCCCAGTCTGTGCAGTCAAAGCACGCCCGAAGATCCTCCAGCGCCTCACTGGTCCCCTTCTTGAATTCCCTGATGCCCTTCCAGCTGAATTTTGGAGCAGCCTGGTTCCAACATCTGGTGCAAACCTCTAAAGAACATTATTACGAGATTTACAACGCTGCGTTATTTCTTTAGGAGAATCTGCTTCCATTAGAAAGGACCTTAACAAATAACATCAAAAACAAAACTGCAGCTGAGACATGAGACCAGATGAAGTCAGCTGGCAGCCTTTGCAGCAGTTTCACACCAGATGCATGAAAGCAGTTTGAAACGATTGTTCTGTTACTTTTGTACGTCTAGCTTTTCTATTTGAGGGTCATGGCTGTTTTCTCACTGTTCTGTCTGCAGCAAGCTGGAGAAGCAGAAGGAGAAGAAGCGAAAGGAGGAACAGAAGAGGAAGATCGCCAGTTTATCGTTCAACCCGGAGGACGAGGGCGAGGAGGAGGAGGAGGAGGAGAACGAAGACGAAGAGCTGGACTGTGAGTTTCATGTAGGAGAGGATCCGTCGGGGCTCCGTGCTGCTCCTCCTCCCTCTAACGGGACGAGCATGTTGTGTGTCTCGAAAGAAGAGTGCGGCCAGTTTGCTGTACGAATGTCCCCTTTGCGGTGTTTCTTGTGCGAGGTTTTCTTTTAAATCATTTCACTTATTAAATCTGAAATTATAATTACCGAGCGTTTTGTTCATGGATTTTGGCCAAAATATAACCACTATCAACAAACATAACATCAACTTTTTAAAAAGGTTTTCCAATAGTAGCTTTTAAGGGTTCGATTCGATATTCTTGAGCGCTCATAACACCCCCGTATCCTTCTACCGCTGTCTGTCTGCCCTATAACACGTTTCTGCTGTCATTCACTTATCGTTCCCAGCTTTGGGAAACAAAGAGAAACAGCTGTGACTTTTTCTCGTAGACTGTCCGGCTAGGAAGAAGTATCTGGGGAAAAATCCAGATGTGGACACAAGTTTCCTTCCTGATCGAGACAGAGAGGTGAGTGGAATGGAAATCACTCTCACCATCTTATCAAACTAAAAAAACGACTGCTACCGTGTGTAGCAAACACACACTGCACTTATCCCTCACAGCTGGAACATCTGTTTGTCTATACAATGGTGATGCTGATGCTGAACACAGGCTGACCGCCAGCCGTTCCTTTGAGGTGATGAAAAGACTTTCCCACTCTGCTCTCTTTGTTTAGGAGGAGGAGAACCGTCTCCGAGAGGAACTCCGGCAGGAGTGGGAGCTCAAACAGGAGAAGATTAAGAGTTGAGTGAGACTCTTAATCGCTAGCGCACATTCCGTGCACACTGTGTCCCGCTTAGGTCAGACGTGTCAGCGGTGAAGAAGGCCTCACCTTTCCGTTGTCCTTAGTAACGGAGCGCTCCTTTGTCTCCAGGTGAGGAGATTGAGATCACGTTCAGCTACTGGGACGGCTCCGGGCACCGTAAGACTGTCAAGGTAGAGCCTGTTGTACACGAGCCCACTGTACACAAGCTACACTATACTCTACTCTCTTTGTGCCTTCATGGCGTCTTGGTGTGTGTTTCTCTCCGGTAGATGAAGAAGGGGAATACCATGCAGAACTTCCTGCAGAGGGCGCTGGAGGTCCTCAGGAAGGACTTCAGCGAGCTGAGGTGAGCAGAACGGAAGGAGCCCCAAACAAAGCCACTCGCAGCACACGGACCTGCTCCAATGTGTGAGTGAATGGGACGTTGTTTTCCTCTGTGCAGGTCTGCAGGAGTGGAGCAGCTGATGTACATCAAGGAGGATCTGATAATCCCACACGTAAGTAGGTTCGCTGCCTTTTAGCATTGTGTTGCTGCAGCCCTTTGCCCTCTGTAGCTGCAACGATCGACTTTATATTCCACAGTCAAATAAAGGAATAGATCTTTTAATAAAAAATAGAGGGTATGACACAGAATATTTCTCCATTATACCGAGCCTTCACAGTTCAGTCTGCTCCAGACAATGAAGGACAAACACAGGTTTTATACATTTCAACATGCTGCGTAGCCTCTCATTGGTTAAAACCAGCCAATGTCCGACAAATTTGATGAAGAGTTTATGTATCTTGGATCTTTTCTTGTGCCACACTGGGGGTCATCCTCATGTCCCCTCATGTCCCTTCATGTCCCTTGCAAGTATGCAGTCAGTCCGAAAGGGTCCTGGCGCTTCATTTCAGAGAAAGATGCTCAACAACATTTGTCGTACACAAATCATTACATGGTGTCGTCCCTGCAGAAAGCATTAATGGCTTACACGTGCTCAGACCGACTGGCACCAGTCATTTCTCAACAAATCTGTAAATCCATATCTATGATCATTTGTGCTCTAGACTACTGGTACGTTTATAATATTTAACTTAAAAGGGGGTTGTTGTGGCGCATGGGTAGAGAGGGTGCGCCAGGAACTGCAAGTTTGGCGGTTCGAGCCGCGGCTGCTTCATGTCCCACGTCGAAGTGGGACATGAAGTTGATACATGCACGTTATATTTAGACGGACAGAATGCTCTAACGATACTAACGGTACTATTTTATGGTGGATAAGTAGAGGTATGAACTTGAAACTCTTGTTTGCGGCGCCCCACTGGTTTGGAATAAGAAGGTGGGGTAGAAACTGAAACCTTGACGTCTCCCCCAGAACTCCGCTGTTGACAGGATATTATAATTGAAGACAGAGTTCATTTGGCATTTTTCTTCTCTCTGTCTGTTTCTCTTTTCAGCATCACAGCTTTTATGACTTCATTGTAACCAAAGCCAGAGGAAAATCTGGTGAGTAAACAAGCTTTGAGCACATTTGTTCCGTTTTAAAAGAAAACAATTTCGGCGGCCCACGAGCATTTCTTTCTGCACTAGAACTGCAGCACGTTTCAGGCTAAGTCGGCTTGGTTTTCTCCCACAGGTCCTCTCTTCAGCTTTGACGTGCACGATGACATTCGACTGGTGAACGACGCCACCGTTGAGAAAGACGAGGTGACATTAAACATGGCAGCAAAATCACGATTGTTAGAGGAAACAAACGGAATTCTCTGGTAAATCTGAACCAGGGCTGACCGTAACCACAGAAGAGTCAGTCAGGGGGGTTGAACGGAAACAATCTGGGCAGCAAAGGGAGGAGAGGAAGGAAACGTTTAAATCAAGGGTTTTATTATTAGGTAAAACCTTTATTGCGAAATATTTAAGGGGACGAATCTTCAAATTACCAGAGGTTTGTTAGCAGCTGTTCTTCAATAGAATAAGCTGCTCAATTAACACAGGACCTTTATCATGAGGAAAATGATAAGAAATAACCACAGAATCTGTTAAGGGCCGCACTGAAGTGTGTAGCAGGGATACCCATCTGCTGCATCGGGTCACAGAACAAGTGGACTGAAAACTGAAATCCAAATGCATCTCGAAATCGACGGACTCGTTCGTAAATGAGATGAACTCAAGCCAGCGGTTTTCTGCTGCATATTCATGACGCTATTATTATTGTCCACACATTCTATTTTCTGATGTTGATCAGTTCATACGTCTCAACTTGAGGAGGGACTTTGAATTCAAATTAACTCAATTTTAAAAGGCTCACCCAGTCTTTCTATTTTTGCCTTCAAGTCTCACGCAGGTAAAGTGGTGCTGAGGAGCTGGTACGAGAAGAACAAGCACATCTTCCCCGCTAGCCGCTGGGAGCCGTACGACCCCGAGAAGAAATGGGACAAATATACGGTGAGTCTGTTTCCTTTGGCCAAACGCCAGCATTCCTCCACCTGCATTCCTCGCCCAGCTTCCCGACGAAAATCTGATTCTGCTTGAGCGTGAAAAGACTTCCAGCTGGTAAATGGATTCTGCAGACTGACAGCGTGGCGTTTAGCATGCCGCTGCTCATCCGACAGGCTCCGACTGCTCCTCGGACTCCCCACAGTCGTTCTCTGTGTGACCTCTGCGAGGGGAGTTTTTGATTTTCATTTCACCAAACTAAAAAGTTATTTGAAAAGGACGTCGTTTGTCTCCCGTTCACGTTTGCGTTCTAAATCTAACGTACATTTAAACGGCGGTAGATGGTTTTGGATGTGCTGGTACATGTCAGTGATCTGCTGTAGGTAGTATTACGCAAGTAGCTCATACAACACAACTGGTCGTTGCGCAGGGGGTAGAGTGGGTGTGCTGCGAACCGCAAGGTTGGTGGTTTGAGTCCCGGTTAGCCCGTGTCTCAAGTCAAAGTGTCCCAGAGCAAGATACCTAACCCCTAATTGCTCCCTGGGCAAAAATGTAAAAGCCATGGGTTGACCGATATATTTAAATGTACAATTTATTAGTGAACGTGTTCCTTTGTTCTTTCAGATCCGGTGAAGCTGCTCTCCGCTCCTCCGGGATCCACCAGCCAAACCTTTAGTTGTTAACCTCCTTATCCTACTTTCCATATTTCATCAATTCTATCAGGGTTTGATAAAAGCACTAATTGATGTTTTTTACTTGGTATTTAAAATACCAAAGCCCCCCCCCCCCCCCCCCCGAGAAGTATTTGACCAATGTTTCCTGTGAAAACAAAGGCCGCCCCCTCATGTGTACAGCTCATAAACATCCGTGCTTAATAAAGATGATCCTGGCTGAGGATTCTCTTGGCTCCCATATCAAGGATGTTTAGTCTTTTTAAATCAAGCACAAAACACAAACAAACAAAGCAGCACAAAAGAAACAAACGTCAGTCTGGCAGCGCAACTGTTAAATAAGAAAGAACGTACGCTGGATTCACCTCCACCCAGCGCCCGAGGACACCACTCCGCCCTCGTCCTCTGCTCGCTCCCAGCCAGCTGTCACTTACTCACTCTTACCCAGCAGGGAGAACGCGCTGCCTCGGAGCTCCTCTTTCCCACCAGCACTGTAGCTTGTCTCAGGTGCTCATCGTTGGACTATAGCACCATGTGGAAGGCTACTCTTGTTCTGTACCAGCTCTTTGCACTTGGTGGGCCCCTCCGTGCTGAGGATGGCGACATCCACCCCCAGGACTGCAGTCTGGACTGCGTGCGACAGGTAAACAGGAGACACCCCCCCCGCTGTGTGTTAGGTACTCTTATGTGGAAGTGAAAGCTCCGCTGAGATGGAGCTGTCACGAGAGGAAAGAACCACACAGTGTTGGTTAAATTAGCAGGTGTGTGTGTGCATGTCCCTTAATGTGTGAGCTTTAAAGGGTAATAACTTTCGATCTTGAATGATTCCTTATGCATATGCACAGCCGTTGGATTCATATTATATTGTTTTTATATATTATTATAGAGTTCTGACTTATTCATATAACAGAAGGAGAAAGAGGATAAGAAACTCCTACAATCAAAGGCAGTGGTTGCCAACTCGGGGGTCGGGGCCCCCCACAGGGCCATAAGATTGATCAAAAGGGTCACGACGGAAAATATTAAAGCAGAAATATATATATATTTATATCTAGTGAAAAATTATATTTGGTGAATTTAATGTCTTCATGCTCTTAGTCTTAAAATGTCAAATCAAATCTGAGGAGGACTTTGCTGATTTGATTGCTCTTTTCTTCAGCAGGATAAATCATCTTTATTTAAAGGGTCCCAAGTTAAAAATGGTTGTGAGCTACTAATCTTTTTCTTTTTCCATCTGAACAAAGTTCAGGGGTAGAAAAAAAAGGCAATTTCATAAATAACAGCGGGGTCGGGTTCTAAACAAAATTTCCCAACCTTTGAACTTCTCACGGTCCATTATAAAAGCAGAAAGCGAAGCCACTCCACCCAAACATAGAAGTCGGACAAGGAGAAGAGAAATCAGAGAAGCAACCAAGGGGCCCACAGGAACTCTTGAGGAGCCGCAACGATCCACAGCTGAGGGGACAGAATCCGTCCACAGGACGACTATTAGCCGTGTGCTCCACACATCTGGCAGTTATGGCAGAGTGACTGGAAAGCCGCTGTTGAAAGTGAACCTGTTTTGAGTTTGCCACAAGTGAACATGTGGAAGAAGGTACTCTGTCAACATTTTGGCTTCAGCGCCAAACCCAACTGCTGAGGTTCCTCAGCGCTCATAGTTTGAGGGTTTTACACTCCATCATCATTTTAATTTCATCATATTTAATGTAGACATTTGTCCTTTCCATCTAATTGTTTTCTCTAAATAAAAGTGCATTACAAAGTGTTTTTCTACTTTCATAGCCATTGTAGACGGTGTATCTCAGAACAGCTCTGGCCTTCCTAGGAAGGGATATCGGGTTCCCGGCTTGCGTGTGTGCACGTAGTTAGACTGAGGCTGTCGCAGTTAGTACCCAACCTGACAAGTTAAATTCCATTGTTTGCACGCTCCCTTTCAGCCTTTGATCATATCTGCCGGTTAGTCTAGTTGCGGTTCCTAAATGCGATAATTATGGCACGCTATGTCCTCTCCAGTGACGTGCAGGTATACCAGTTAGTGGGTTGGCACTGAGTAAAAAAAAAAAAAAACTTATTCTACCATTTTTTGTATTTGATTATGCGTGCTTAATAGATTTGTCATCGTAATGTCTAAACAATTAGAATAACACACATATTGCATATTCAATTATAAGATATTTTTATGTCGGAGTTCTGGGAGTTGGAGGCAGCCTACCTGACTCCACGTCACTGTACAAATCTAAATCTGCAGAGAAACATGTGTGAGCTGACTATAATATTTACTGTCTGAAAAAGGGTTTGACTGTTTAACAATTGAATCATGTTTTGATTTAAACATTCAGTTGAAAATGCCAAACTGAGTATTGAGTATTGATTGAACTGAACTATTGCTTTCTCCCCTTCAGGGAAGAACTGAATGTGAATACTGCAGAATAATCCGAGCTGACGTAGAGACGGCTCTTGGTTTTAACTCCATCAACGCGTTTGGAAGTAAGTCTGATTCCGATTCCACTGGAACTGGCACATTCCTCTGAGAGGCAAAGCATTGAATGCACTTGCACAAAGTGCACGTTTTTGGCAGCAGTGAGATCTTCTCTCAAGTCTTTTTCTTCCATGTCCTTCACCTGAAGTGGCACTTGACCGCATCAGAATGAGCTGATACCGCCTCACAGAGCAGCTGGTGTGGCCTACACGCGTCGCAAATACAGAGACATTGAATGTATCCATGTTTTCTTCCTCCACAGGTTGTATTCCCTGGCCGTGTTTTGCGTTGCTTGGAAAAGAAGACAGTGAACTCTGTCAGCACTACGTCCACGGGCCGAATAACGTCACGGTCGAGTTGGTACATGATCTAGACCCCAACTCAGACACGGTGGTTGTCTCCTGGAAGCCCAGCTGCCATGGTGGGTTGTTTTGGATCATTAAAGCCAATTCCTGCATGCGGTTGACACCGTGTGTGTTCACACACACACACACACGTCATGAAGGGGGTTGGTGTGTTTTAAAGTCTCTTTCAAAACTCATTCATCAAATTGGATACAATTGGTCTCCAAAAAGTAATTTCTCGCCGTCTCTTTCTCTCTCCCTCTCTCCCGGCCTCTCTGCTGCGCTCGCCCGCTTGTAACCTGAGCCGCTGTGGGTATCTGCAACTTGGATGTTAGATTGCCTTTTTTGTATTTTTTTCCGCAGGGATTGCCTTCCTGCGAGGCTTTCAGGTGTTCCTGCAGGCCTTGGGAGGGACCAGCGTGGCCTGTCAGCTCTTTCTCTTCCACCGAAACGTCTCCCTCCCGGCTTCACATGCTCAAAGGGTAGATGGAGCCCCGCTGGCTTTCACCTTTTTCTGTTGAGCACGTCGTTTGTGACACCAATGCTTGCAACAGTTCCCACTGATTTTACACATAATGTACGTGCATGCTCAAGTTTTATAAATAAACAAGAAAAAACAAAGACAAAAAAAATAATTTAAAAGTGGGTGTAGTATCAACATTTAAGGACTTGCAGCTCTTTGAGGATGATTGTACTTCCTGGGCTGGTGCAGGAAGTATATCTTTGCCTTCTTCCTGATGGTGTCGATGTTGGAGGCTCACTAGATTCACTGGATTCGAATGTTTAAGAAATGACCCCCTAACCTTAGGATTCCTTAAAGTCTGTGGAAAACATCATGGGGTTAAGGAAAGATGGTTAGGAGAATTCATGAGGAGTTAGGAAAGGACAACTGCAGTATTCAGGGAATCCGACCACTTACACTACTTCCCGGGTCATTTCACTTAGTTAGGAACCTTCCTAAGCAAATTTGACAATGTGAATCAAGCCCAGGTTCCAGGAGGTTGTGGATCCCTGAAACCTGAAGGTCTCCAGAAATGTATCACTAAGGAGTTCAGACTTAAGTTTCAAAGATGATCTGGTTGCATCATGGAGGTGAAAGGTTAAGGTCAACCCTGTTCTCAAGTCACGTTCGGTCACGTTTGCTGCTGCATTCTGCAGGTGTACAAGTCGGACCCTTTCCCCGGCCTTTCCCTTGGGTCCCAGTATGCTGTTACCGTCATGGCTTTGCCAGTGCCTGAGGAGTGGGAGAGATTCTACCACAGCGAGCACTTCTCCACCCGCTGTAAGACCACTTTTAGTTATGAGACTGTTGGCGTAACACTGTTGGATTTATGACAATGTGCACATTGTGGTTTTGCAGCGTGTGCAGAGAAGAATGGTCTTGAGCAGTGCAAAAAGGGTGAGAGAACATATTTTTAATTTTTCACAAATAAACTGGTACTGGAGACGCTGGTACAGCTTTACATCCGTTACTATTTAAAAATTGTAGCACTTAAATTGTACTTATAACGCCACTTATCTATAGCAAATTGTAAATTGGCTTATTTGAGGAAATTGCACCTTGTTTCTTGCTCTTCTGAGTTTGTACTTGCACTTATTGTAAGTCGCTTTAGATAAAATGGCATGTGATGTAATGTAATCTATTTCATGGTGTGGTTGTTGTAGATTGGCACCCCGAACATATCGAGGTCCAGCAGGAAGGTACAGCCATCACTGTGACCTTTAACCTGGCTCCCCCAAGCCTGGGCATCAGAGCCTACTTCTCACTGTGTTACGCGAACGGCATAAAGAAATACACGGACATCACACCTGTAAGTGGTTTCAATTTCTGCAGCAATGTCTACATTCATTGCAGTGATATATTGCTTCTGTTTTTTTATATTGTAGAAATATTTGACAACCACGTGAACGTAGTAATTGTATTTTATATGAATTTGATATGATCAGAATTCCAGCCAAAACCAAACTTACCACAGCTATCAGCTGAACGACCTCGAAGAAGGAACCAACTACACCTGCGAGGTAAACTGAGCTGTAGTTTAATGAATGCTTGACACATCTATTGTTTACATACCTCAGAGGGCCTTGTATTTAACATATATTATAATGCATATATCATATTCATGTGTTGTATGGGTTATACTGATGTGTTCATTCAACTACCAACAAAATATAAAAAGATGTCTTCCTGGTGAAAACCCCACAGACATTTTCTTGTGTCACAGATTGCAGCTAACCAAGTTGATGCAGTGAGGAAGAAATTCAATGTTCAGGTCTTGCAAATTCAAAAAGGTAGGACAGGTTGTTTTGATGTCTGAGGATCTATCAACCTTTTTTGTTGCTGAGTTTTAAAACCAAAATGAAAACAAATTAATTCTATCATGTGTATGAGCACATTAACCAAAATGTTACTTACACTCACTAAATTGTCACGTAATGCCAACGTCCTAGGAGGCTCCTCTCCGGCCTCTGTCTCTCCCTCCTTGGCGCTGATTCTTACACTTGGCCTGGCCGTGGTAGCCATGTTTGTAGTCTTATTGGCTGCATTCACCAGAAGGAGGCCGAGGCTTTGGATGAAGAAACTAGACATCAAACCAGGTGCCGAGACAAACCACGTGTTTTTGCATCTCATGAAAGCTAATAGAATAAGTCGTTGTTTTTTACACCGTTTGAACGACAAGTCGTTCTTTGTACCTCCTTTTCCTCATCGCTGAGACACCACATTTCTGTGTCATCCATTCAGATGTTATCGAGCAGCATCGGGAGAGCAGGACTCCTGGGGAAGTGATGTCATTGGCCAGGAAGAGGCTGAACCCTCCTCGTCTTTTGATTTGCTACAGCAGCTTCGATGGCCCTGCACACGTCAAAGCCGTCATGCAGTTGGGGGCCTTCATACAACAGCACATGGCCACTCAGGTAGTGGACACGGCATTTCGTGACTAATTTGTTCTTTTTTTAGTGGAAACTGAAATTACAAGCGTATTACTTTATTGTTCATTTACATTACATTACATGTCATTTAGCTGACGCTTTTGTCCAAAGCGACTTACAATAAGTGCATTCAACCATAGGGTACAAACTCAGAAGAACAAGAAACAAGTGCAATTTCCTCAAATAAGCCAATTTACAATTTGCTATAGATGAGTGGCGTTATAAGTACAAGTGCTACAATTTGTTAGTCTTTTAGTCGAAGTAGAGTCTGAAGAGGTGTGTCTTTAGTTTGTGGCGGAAGATGTGAAGGCTCTCTGTGGTCCTGGTGTCTTCAGAGAGCTCGTTCCACCATTTCGGCGCAAGGACAGCAAAGAGTCGTGATCTAGTTGAGTGTTTTGCTCTCAGTGAGGGAGGGACGAGTAGTTTTGCAGATGCAGAGCGGAGAGTGCGGGTTGTGACGTAGGGTTTCACCATGTCCTGGATGTAAGCTGGACCCGATCCATTCACAGCATGGTACGTGAGCACCAATGTTTTGAACTGGATGCGGGCGGCCACCGGTAGCCAGTGAAGAGAGCGGAGGAGTGGAGTAGTGTGGGAGAATTTCGGAAGGTAGAAGACCAGAAGAGCTGCTGCATTCTAAGCTGCAGATGTCTAATGGCGGTAGCAGGGAGACCTGCCAGGAGGGAGTTGCAGTAGTCCATGCGTGAGATGACAAGAGCCTGAATCAGTACCTGCGCTGCCTTCTGAGTGAGAAGAGGACGTATTCTCCTGATGTTGTAGAGCGTGTATCTACAGGATCGTGTTGTCGCAGTAATGTTGGGAGTCAGGGAGAGTTGGCTGTCAAGTGTGACGCCGAGGTTTCTAGCGGTTAAAGTAGGCGTTAACACAGACTTGCCAAAGTTAACAGTCAAGTCCTGGGTCGGAGAATCTTTTCCCGGAAAGAGAAGTAGTTCAGTCTTGTTGGGGTTGATTTTCAGATGGTGGGCGGACATCCACTGAGACAGGCAGAGATCCGTGCCGCCACCTGGGTGTCCGAGTGAGGGAAAGAGAGAGTTAGTTGGGTGTCATCGGCATAGCTGTGGTAGTAGAAGCCATGCGAGCGAATGACAGCGCCGAGAGAGTTGGTGTAGAGCAAGAAGAGAAGGGGACCCAGGACGGAACCCTGGGGAAATTCCGAAGAGGACAAGGTTGCGACACAGATCCTCGCCAGGTTACCCGGTAGGTGCGGCCGTCGAGAGAAGGGAAAGAGCAGAGCCTGAGACACCAAGTTCCTGAAGTGAGGAAATAAGGATCTGGTGGTTGACTGTGTCAAATGCAGCAGAGAGCTCCAGAAGGATGAGGACAGAGGAGAGAGAGGCGGTTCTAGCAGTGTGGAGTTGCTCTGAGACAGCAAGGAGAGCAGTCTCTGTGGAATGGCCTTGAAGCCTTACTGGTGGGGGTCAAGTATGGCGTTATATTTGTGCCACATTCCTGAGCGCGTAATTTTAGGTTTTGAGCACAGAGTACTATATTTTAGCAAAGAAAAACATATTCTGTGCGCGCAGTTTACTCAGGTGCCCTCTCCACAAACTGGTTTTCTGTGCGCAGGCAGCCGTTGCTGCGCTCTCTCCAGCTCTTCACTCTGCACTCGCTCGACGCTTCACTCACGCGCTCGCTCGACTTAGCGTTAAATTTGTGCCACAAAACCAATCAGAGAATTAATGAAGGTCAATTGTGATTGGCTGTTGGTCTCCAATCACAACGCTTCCTAAAGAAGACGAAAAAAAGTGATATTAGAAGTCCGGCTAGCCACCATCAGACATGAAGCAAATGATGAGAACAGCAAGTGTTTTAATCCAGGCCGTTAGCATTTAGCACAAATGCTGCAAACTTCAACAACTTGCTGAGCTTCCACGATGCTGTAGGTAGTTCTACTAGCGTTGTGATTGGAGACCAACAGCCAATCACAATTGACCTTCTTTAATTCTCTGATTGGTTGGTTTTGTGGCACAAATGTAACGCTGCTACCCAAAGTCGAGCGAGCGCGTGAGTGAAACGTCGAGCGAGTGCAGAGTGAAGAGGTGGAGAGAGCGCAGCAACGGCTGCCTGCGCGCAAAAAAAACAGTTTGCGGAGAGGGCACCTGAGTAAACTGCGCGCACGGAATATGTTTTTCTTTGCTAAAATATAGTTCTCTGTGCTCAAAACTTACAATTACGCGCTCAGGATTGTGGCACAAATATAACGCCATAGTCAAGGAGGTTGTTACGGTGGAGATAAGAGGAGAGTTGGTTAAAGATCGCACGTTCAAGAGTTTTGGACAAAAAGGGAAGAAGAGAGACCGATCTGTAGTTGTTTTCTTCAGAAGGGTTGAGGGTAGGTTTCTTCAGGAGAGGGTTAACTCTTCCTGCCTCCTTCAGAGAATTGGGAAAACAGCCAGATAACAGAGCATTGTTGATGAGACAGGTGAGGAAAGGAAGAAGGTCAGGTGCGATAGATTGTAGAAGATGTGATGGAATGGGGTCAAGAGGGCAGGTGGTCGGACAGGCAGAGTTTACTAGGGTAAGAATTTGGTTAGGAGACGGGGGTGAAAGAGGGAAGTGAGGGCGATAGATGTGAAGCCAGTGGGACGCAAGAAGTAGGAAGTGGGTTTGAGAAAGAGGAGCGTATGTCAGCTATTTTCTTGGTAAAGTAGTTGACAAAGTCACCCCTGGAAGAAGGGGGGAGGGGGACTAGGGGGTTCGAGGAGGTTGGAGAAGATCAAAAAGACTTTTTTCGGGGTTAGAAAATGAAAATTCATTGTTTCTTTAATGTGAGTTTGTTGATTTTGGATACTTTGTCTCTAAGGTGTGCCTGGACCTTTGGGAGTCTCTCAGCATGTCTGAGGAGGGCAGCATGGCCTGGTACTGCCGACAGATTCGGGAGAGCGACTTCATCTTGGTGATCTGCTCTCGGGGCCTCCACCACTGGCCGAAGACTCCAGATGATGATGATGATGACGGCGGCGGCACCGGCGACAACGAGGAGGCCGAGCAAGAGCTCCCCTTTGGGCCGAACTCTTTCAGCACTGACGTAGCAGTCCAGCTTATTGGTGAGGAGGTGGGCCGCGCCAAAGCCGGGGGCCGGGACCTCTCTAAGTATATGGCGGCCATTTTTGATTACTCAGAGGAGGCAGACATCCCCACCGAGCTGAGGCTGGTGTCTCACTACACACTGACAAGGGACTTGCAGCTGCTCTTCTCGCACCTCCATGCAGTGGCTCTGGAAGGGCCGGGGCGCTACCTGAGGATCGGCCACATCTCAGACGAAGGTTACACCGAGTTACCAGCCGGAGCAGCTCTGCAGCGATCTATCGGGGAGGCTCGGGCGGCAATGACGGCAAAGAGACATCACTCTGAGCTGGGTGTCGCTTAGAGAAGTAAGTCGCTTTCACCAGTCCCGAAACCAATACTTTGGTCGATACCCAACCGGTGAATGGATGCTGTGTGGCAAAGCACTCCGGTGATGGTGTGGCCTCCTTCTGGCTGCACCAACACTCGTCATCCTCAGAGGGTGTTTGTTATGATTGGCTGCGCAAAAAAACGCACCGTTTGGCCTTTTCTCTAAATCTGGGGAACAAAAAAGACAGATTGCTATTAGAAGTGGGTTATTTCAGACAGCACTGATACGCTGCTTTCATTTTAGAGGTAGTTCTCCACCGGAAGGATTTATAAATAGAAGAATTATGTGTGTAATGGTAAACTAGGCTTGCTCAGTCATAACAATGTACTTGGACATTTCCTATTCTTTTTCTTACTGTGTCATTTTGTACATACAGTATATTCACAATATGAAGTTCTTCTGTGAGAATGTTTGAAGTACACATTGAATGTGCGTAGTTTATTTATCCATGTGCATATCTCAAGGAATGCAAGTAATGTCATATTTATTATTTTATTCTATGTTGATGTGGGGATAAGCATTTGTATAAAAGTGTGATGTTTAGTATTATGCATGTTTCGTATTTCTATCAAGTTTTCTGTCATGTGAATTGTATATTGTGTATGTGTTGAAACAAAGAATTCTATGCATGACACACTAAGAAGGTATTTTACCAGACTGTATTTTGGTGATCGGCGGACGGCTGTGATGTTCTGCTTGTTGAGATCAGGTGCATGAGGACCACAGTCCTGCCCTGGAACCCAGAACAGATCACGGGGCGGTTGGCTGGATGCACTGCTCCCGACGATGGATCGGAACCAACCCTCGGGAGTCTGTAATGTAATGGGACTATTTTATTGACATGCTGAGCGGAGGGATCAGGTGTATCAGAGGGGGGCGTTTACCGTCGGCACTTGGGGTCGTACGAACCCACCCGGTCTGTCTCAGTGTTAATGTAGAACTAATAAAGTTAGCCGAAGACACCACAGCTTCCTAGACTTATTTTACACACAAAGATAATATATATATAAATATATTATATATATAATTTTTGTATTATATATATAAATATATTATATATATATATATATATATATATATATATATATATATATATATATATTTTTTGTATTATATATATAAATATATTATATATATATATATATATATATATAATTTAATAATAATTCCAGACTTTCTCAGCACCCCCTGTTATAATGGTCAAGGAAACACTGAAAAACTGTTCCAGGCAACCGACTCAGAAGCAGATGCGGTAAGGAAGGAATGAGGCGCAACTCGCTCCATCGCCTGGAGCGTGAGACTGGAATGAGAAAAGTCCGACGGCGGTGCAGACTTGTTGATCTCCCTTTTTTTTTTTCTACCAACGACAATTTTAGAGATTAAGTAATTCCAGAAGATTGAAGTGTGGCAATATTTCAGGGCGGTTTTGGCACAGCCACTAAAATGATCATCTTACTTTCTTGATCGCATCTGTACATGAAAACAGACTTTATGAAACAAGCTGTGACAGCAGAATACAATCTTTAGAACACTATTAAACTTCAGGCTCCCTCATGTGGATAGAAGGTTAACCGCAGATGAATAAATGCACAACAAAAAGGCTGTTGAAGAAATAGAGCAATTAAGAACATTTGAATAGTGCTGACTGAAGAAGCAGTTTGATCATTTACCAATACGAAAATATAACGAATACAACTACAACTTCAAGCTTTCACTAATAAACAAATGTGAAGTTATTCAACCTGGAGCTAAACTTGAAACCCTCAGGGGCTGAATTATAGAGTGAAAAAAGTGGGCCATATCATTTGAGTGAAATAGGTGTTTCAAGCGGCGTATTATTATTATTTCCTAATAATGAACCATTTGTGTATAGTTTACGTCTGAAATGGAGGTGACGGGTGGCGAGCTGCTCCCCTGCTGGAGGACTCGTCATTGTGAGCTCACACCGACACACAGCGTGGACTGAAAATGGTGCTCGACTTGGACCAGTTTCGCTCCGACAAAGGTGGCGACCCAGAAACTATCCGTGAGATCCAGCGGAAGAGGTTTAAAGATGTCACTCTCGTCGACAAACTGGTCGCCGCAGACACGGAATGGAGAAAATGTGAGCGCACTTACCTTTCTCTCGTTTTAGCCAAAGTGGCTAACGTTAGCGCAGTGGCTAATGCTGCTAACGTAGCTCCGGCCAAATTCCTTTTAGAAATCTGTCGTTTTCATTTTTAGTACGCAGAAATGTCTGTCTGTTACGTGCCATCTGGGGTAGATGAAGACTTTAAGCATTTTTAAGACAACGTCTTCTATTCGGTACCTTAAAATGTAAGAATAACTTACCAAAAATGTATTTTCTTTACGAATGGCTGGTTAACTACGCGCTGCCCTGGTAGTAACACAGGCTGAAGGCTCGCTCAATACACTGCAGCGGACTGCGAAACATTTCACAACATTAACTAGTGAAATATATATATAAAAATGCTGCTTGGTGCATTACACGTATGCCGTATTTATCAGTTGTTACTATTTTAGTAGGGGGTGGAAGAATGTATTCTGTACAATTAGCGAGTTTTTGTCAGTAGCGTTGGCAGATCTGTTACAGCCAGATGTGAACGAGGTTTGGAATAACGCTCTCACCGACGAAGCGCACAGAGCTAAACGGGGCTAATGTTAGCCCAGCTGGCAGCGTCTAATCAAATCAACCATGTGGTCATTCTCCACCGAGTGAACTGTAGGGACTTAATATCAGGCTTTTAAGAGATTGGTTCTAAACTCCAGTTAATAAGACATTCCTATCGTTTTTAATGGCAGATATGATACAGGAGGTTGGCTAATGCGGGTGTTAGCTTAGCGATGCCGGGTAGCAACGTGCAAACTGATGCAATCACAGCCTGCAAAATGTCAGGTTACCTCGCCCTGCGGTGTAGCTTCATAAATAGTCCTCCTCACATCAGTCACTTGATTTGATCCAGTTATTTGTTGCTAATGTTGAACTGACGAACATCAGTTGTTTTCAACAATTTTGACAGCTTCACCTGTTACCAGTCATTCATTTACACACACATGCACTGACTGACTTTCATTGAATTTCCTAACAGGCCGCTTCACCGCAGACAACCTGAACAAAGCAAAGAACCTCTGCAGCAAGAGCATTGGGGAGAAAATGAAGGTACAAAAAGGAAAAAGATGGAGAATGAGTTGTTGAGATTGAGGTGGGAGCAATAGAAATGCTGTTATGTGTCTGCTAACTAGTCCTGAGGCTGGAGTTTTGAACTTTATTCTTCATGGCATTTCATTTTTCAACGCATCGTTAATGCGTTGCAGAGAAAGGAGCCGGTTGGCGAGGATGAGTCGGTACCAGAAGAAGCCCAGAACCTGGAGTCGCTAACAGCTGATGTGCTCTCGGTATGACGGGTCACAATACCCTCACCTGCACTGTGTCCTCTGCATTTTGCTACACACACGTAAATAAAAAAAACACGTTTGCACGTCTGAGTGTTTTTTTCTTCTCCTGTGTCAGCCCCTGACGGTGACCCAGATCAAGAAGGTGCGTCAGTTGGTGGACGAGGCGGTGGAGAAAAGCGACGGCGAGAGGATAAAGCTGGAGGCGGAGCGCTTCGAGTACCTGAGGGAGATCGGCAACCTTCTGCACCCGTCTGTTCCTATCAGCAACGATGAGGTGAGCGGTGTCACACCGTCTGCTTTTATAAAAGTAGGAGCCCTTCACGTGACTCTGATTCAGCAAATCCATCGGTGCATCAATTGAAGGGGTCTTCACCAATAAGTCGGATCAGATAAACAATTGTTCAGCAGTTATCAGGACATCTCACACCTGAATATGAATATTACTAAGCAGTCATTATCTACTTTAAATCACGTGTTGATAGCCGGGTAGGAAATTTACATACTATTTAGGAAGCAATTTCTGCCCCCCACTGATTGAAAACCAGAGACATTTTATAACAAATTGGGGGCATTTCTTTTTTGAAGGAGAAAAAGATGAAACACTATTCACAAATAATGTTACTTCAATGAGTGAAAATGTAATTGTTGTTTTTTTTAAAGCAGGTTGTGATCCACCATTCTGCAGAACGCTGTCTTTGCATCCAATTCACAGCTTCCACAGTTGTCTCTCTGTTGTGGAGCTCATTACTCCATGCTTCTGTAAAAACAAAGTACACAACATTTAAACCTTGAAACACCCAGACAACTGCAGTCTCAACTAATTGTATTTTACCCAAATAGATGATTGGCTCTTAACCACAAGATGGCAGTAACGTCTGAGAAGAGGAAACGTCTCTCGCTGGCTGCACTCTGGCCAACGTTAGCTAGCTAACAAGCCTTTGTAGCTCGTTAAATAGCCAACGTTAGCTGTCTAAATACTTTCAAAATAATGAATACTTAACTAGTCGTCACTCACTGTAGGCGACGGCACGTTGCTCAGCCGTCCAGTGAGGAAAGGACACATATTCCTTAATGTTTTCACTCCCCTTGATAAAGTCAGAATTTGCGGTGCTGGTTGACAACGACGTGGGCAGTTTGTTGTCGGCAAGTTCGAGTCCTTCACGAGCAAAAAGTGCAGATGGTTCTCTTGTCGTCTTCCTCCACCCAAAGATAAAGTGTCTTTTATTTATCGATGGTCGATGGGTGCGTGGATTTTTTCTTTTGAGCCTGAGGTGGTGATGGAGGCTGGATTTGCTCTGCGCGCACTCACAGGTCTGATTATGATTGTCCTCCCGACAGGACGCTGACAACAAGGTGGAGCGTACCTGGGGCGACTGCAGCGTCCAGAAGAAGTACTCCCATGTGGACCTGGTGGTCATGATCGATGGCTTTGATGGAGAGAGGGGAGCGGTTGTTGCTGGGAGCAGAGGTTACTTTTTGAAGGTGAGTGCAAATGTAACCCCCCCCCCCCTCTTCTTTCTGCTAGAACAATTGCTCAGCCATAAATCATTAAAAAATTGAACATCTATATATGAAAAAATGGGGCTGTACCTTTGTTATAATTGAAGCTTCTCCTCTCCTCAAAGCTCTGAGCAGTTCTGTCCAATTTTCAAACTGTTGGTCCCGGCCCAAAACATCAGGGCATCTTAGTTTTTTCTTGGAGAATGTGGTTTATTCTGAATGAGACGACTAGAATAAAATACTTTTCTGACTTTGTCACGCATGGTGTGTTCAAAGACTGTCAGAAAGATGAAACTCTCACAGCAATAGTGGTCTTTTTTTTGTTGTAGGTGTAGTTCTGGGGATTATTTAAAGAAAACATGTTCTCATATGTATGTATGTATGTATGTATGTATGTGTGTATATATATATATATAAAGTTCATCACTGCAGACGGAAAACCACGTAGAAGGAAAATGTATCTCCGTTAAGTAAGCGCTGTGTCGTGCAAATGAAGAAAGCGGTTGTTCTGCCCTCCTCCGCTGTGGTCAGGGTCCCCTGGTGTTCCTGGAGCAGGCCCTCATCACTTACGCCTTGAGGTTACTCCACGGCAAGAACTACACCATGCTCTACACGCCCTTCTTCATGAGGAAGGAGGTCATGCAGGAAGTCGCCCAGCTCAGCCAGTTTGACGACGAGCTTTACAAGGTACGGAGACACTTTTACCCACTTCGTTCTGATTGCTCCTAATTCTGATTGATATTCTGGGCTTCGGATGATGCTGCCAATGAGATGCCGTTACTTTAGGTAGCTTGGAAATTGAACACCAGGTGCATGGAGGCCATTGCTTGGGAAGGCGATGTTCAGGTGTCCACTTGCCACCTGAGGCTTAAAAGAAGAAAATACTTTCAGGAGTACATCCACTGCTGTGTAGTTTTCAGCTTTTTTAGTTTCCTTTAATGTATACGTGATAGAGTAAAATATTATTTTGTGGTATTTATTGTCAAAGATGGTGAATAGTTATAAAATGTAAAAAAAAGATACAACTGTTAAATGTCCTCAGATTGTTACTTGTAGTATAAAGTTATTTCTGAAAAAATATGCTTGATTAAGCTTGATCGTATCTGCTAGTTTCAAAGTATATAAACATTACAGACGTAAAAAATACGTATTTGTTTTCAGTCACGTTTAAATCAGACTGAATTATACATGGTCTGTATGTTGGAGCTTTCAGTCTGAGAATGAACTCACAAGTTATTGCTCCTGATAATTATTGAACCACAGCATATTTACAAAAACGCTTCAACGATTCTTCCCAAAACTTGGGGGAGTTTTTCCAAGCCTCGTCCTGGAAGAAAACCAACGTTTTGCATGTGAACCTCTCAGCCCGTCGCTCCTCCTCCTCAACCCCCTTGTACTTTTTGTATCTACCCAAGGTCATCGGCAAGGGCAGCGAGAAGGCCGACGACAATTCCGTCGACGAGAAGTACCTCATCGCCACCTCGGAGCAGCCCATCGCCGCCTTCCTGAGGGACGAGTGGCTCAAGCCCGAGGACCTGCCCATCCGCTACGCCGGCTTCTCCACCTGCTTCAGGCAGGAAGTGGGCTCCCACGGCCGGGACACCCGCGGGATCTTCAGGGTCCACCAGTTTGAGAAGGTGGGCGGGGTTTCCTGTGACTTTTCCCGCTTCGTTCGGACCGATGAGTGACGGAGGGTCTCTCTGCAGATTGAGCAGTTCGTCTACGCCTCGCCGCATGACGGCAAGTCGTGGGAGATGTTCGACGAGATGATCGGGACGGCAGAAGAGTTCTACCAGACGCTCGGAATTCCTTATCGCATCGTCAACATTGTCTCTGGTGGGTTGTCCACACACACACACACACACACACACACACACACACACACACTCACACACACACACACACACACACACACACACACACACACACACACACACACACACACACACACACACACACACACACACACACACACACACACACACACACACACACTTACAGACCCTTTCTCAGAATGGCAATGATTTGGAGCTGGGGGGGGCGGGACCACTTAAGATTTGGGATTTGGGAACCTGAAGAGACCGGATCCTGTAAAAAATATTAAATTAAATTCTGATTGATTTGACTAAAACCAGAAGTCACTTTAAAATATTTGAAACTTATTCTACATATTGTACGAGAAGCGTCCATGTCCCTCTAAAAGTGTTTTTATGAGGTGAGAAATGCCTGCGGTCACAGAAGGCCACGTGTTTTCAGTCAAATGAGTTAATAAAAAAAATGAACAAAAGTAATAAGCAACAATATAGTTTATAACGATTAAGTCCATTTTAGATATTTAAGATGATTAAATCTCTTGGTTGCAGTGTGTGGCTTAGCTGCTTTTCCTTGTCTCATATGATAAATTGTCTTCATATTGGACAAAACCAGCAGTTTTCCCATCAGAAACAATGTTTTGCCAAGTTTGTGGGCACAATTTGGCCTGGTGATCTGGGCGTGACAATAAAGAGTCCAATAGTATAAGGCATCATTTAAACATTGTGAGATATTAACATTATTTAACAGAATATGATGAACAAACATGGCAGACATCACATTTTCTTTAGAGTGTAACGAATGTTTTTCACAACAGGACCAATCGATAATGAATCTTTAATACAGCATATGCATAGTCAATAAAAATGTTTGTCTGCTGAGACACTGATGTGAACTTTGAACAGCTGATTTCCAAGCAGCTGTTCAAGTCTCACCGTCTGCTGCTCTGAGGTCAGCAGAGAGAAAGTAGTGTTGCGTGCAGATCCCGCGGCTCACCGCCATGCCGCTCTACGTCTGCTCAGGTGCCCTGAATCACGCCGCCAGCAAGAAGCTGGACCTGGAGGCCTGGTTCCCCGGCTCCGGGGCCTTCAGGGAGCTGGTCTCCTGCTCCAACTGCTTGGACTACCAGGCCCGGCGCCTCCGCATCCGCTACGGCCAGACCAAGAAGATGATGGACAAGGTGAGGGGCGCGGCTCCATGAGCATACAGAGAGGCTCCATCCCCGCTAAACACGCCTCCTCTCTGTGCCGCTCTATAGGCGGAGTATGTGCACATGCTGAACGCCACCATGTGCGCCACCACACGCGTGATGTGCGCCATCCTGGAGAACTACCAGACCGAGGAAGGCATCGTCATTCCAGAGATGCTCCAGCCGTTCATGCCTCCCGGTAAGCTGTTAGCAAAGGGTTTCACATGCGTGTTGGAGGTTGAACTAAAAAACAAATAGTCTATAAAGCATTTTGGTCAGTCAGAATTTGGCGGAATTTTAAATTTTATATTGTATGGATATTTTTTTTTCATTTGCATTTTTGAAGGCTTAAGTTGATATTTTCCTCTTCAGGTATGACCGAGATCATAAAGTTTGTCAAGCCGGCTCCCATCGACCAGGAGATGTCTAAGAAAGCCAAGAAGCAGAACGATGGAGGGAAGAAGAAGAAGCAGGGAGGAGGAGACCAGAACCTTCCCGTCGCCATGGAGACCATGTCCGTCAACGACTCGTAGGCAGCCTGCACGCGCTGACCGTGCCGTTTCGTCATGCTGATAGCCCCCCTCGTGTGTGCTGACCCTGGGTCAGTTTCGCCGGTCGTGTCCTCGCATGATGGAGGAGAGCTCCGTCACATCCGCGTCCATCTGAATGGATGGTGTTCATCACCGCTGTTCCGCACCCACATTCACAGAGTGCTCTGAGAAAGGGCTGTCTGTCTGTCCCTCCCTCTGTCTGTCCCTCCCGCTGTCCCTTTCTCACCTCCCCAGGGACCCACTGACTCCTCCAATGGGACTGTCTGATTTGTGCTTCACTTTGTTGCAGTAGTTTTTAACACTTCTACGTTACAAATACATGTTTGTCTGCATTAAATCCATAATGCTTTTCCATGCTCACGATTGAGATGTTCTATGAACTCGTTAATATGAAGATATACATACATATGATTGAGCATTGAGGAAGTGGCACTTACTGTAAAACTAATAAAAGTTCAAATGGAAGATCTTTTGTCCACGTCCGTGTTTATGCAGTATGTTTAAAGTTACTGTGAATTACCTGAAGTATGCATGTACGCAACAAAGTACACAAATGTGATTCCTCTCAGTGGCAGCTTGACACGACGGATCGAAGCACCCGACTGCAGGAAACACCAGTTGGTCATGTTCGGAGTGGCAAAAAGAACCTCAAGTGTGGTCTCTGGTCAAAGAGCCATAACCAGGTTTTCATTACAATCAATAATTGAACATTTATTTTAGACTCGAGGGTTCTGTTTCATTCTAGAAGTTAGCTTTTAAAAAAACCCAACATGACCCAGTTTAAAATTTTGTTTGTACTTCACATTAAATAGAATACATACAAATTCAAGAGTAAAGGACTTAGACCTATGAACGCCTTAAGAATATCTCTCTGCAGTGTGTAGATGATTTCATTTCAATGGAATCATTTGATTAAGATGGATAAGAGGATTTATTTGGTTGAAAAGTTTCTCCAGTAAAACCATTACCCTTTAAATTCAACTATAACTTTCCAATGTAGAAACTACCATAAAAAACGAGCAATAAATACCAACCTCTTAAACATCTGACTGATAAAAGCACAATAAGGAAGCCAGGAGTTACTGATTAATCCTAACAGACTTTTCGCCCTATGTCTCCAACCCAATAACAGGCCGTTCCGTCCGGTGAAAGTACGTGTTCACACAGGTAAGATGCATCGACATTACCTCTCACCGTCCGATCATGTAGGAATCCATTGACGTCATCTTCATCTTCATCTCCACCTGCAGAGTTCGACCCAACGTGATCACAATGACCGACTCCTCGGAGGAAGATAATGAAATTTCCTTTCCGGTGAAGGTAAATGCGCATTTTTTGTCAGCTCAAAACGGACCCGTGTGACTTCGATGCTCAGCCTTCATTCTCCAAACTGTAGTTCCTCGGCCGAGTTGAGGTGGTGCGTCCCGATGGACTGCAGGTCCTGTCTGAAGCGGTTCAGGGGTTAAAGGTCAGCCACTATCGCTCACGTTACTTAATTTCCACGTACGTCCCTCGAAGACTCTTAATGTGTGTCCCTAACGTTGTCTGACCCCATGCTCGTCCCCCAGACGCCGCAGGGGGACATGTCTAAAAACGCAGCGAAGAAGAGCAAAGTGCTGCTGTTCCTGTCGCGCGACGCACTGGACGTGTTGGAAAAGAAGACGAAGGTGCGCGAGGAGGCGAAGACCCCCAGCTCGCGGGGGCTTGACCTTTACGAGTTGATTGCCTCTTTTTCTCTGCGTTCATCCCTCTGGATGCTCTTTTGTCCCCCCCCAGTACATGTTGTACACGTGTCCCCTGTCCACGGTGTCCTTCTGTGCCGTCCTGCCTTCCTCGCCCAAAGTCTTCGGGTTCGTGGCCCGCCACCCCGCTGCCGACGCGAGCCACTGTTACGTGTTCCAGAGCCGCGCGCTGGTGAGTCGTCCCCACTGCGTCATTCAGCAGACACTCGTAGTGCACCCATATGCTGCATTTACGGTAATAAACATGCAACCAGAATAAAAACATTTAGAATGTATAATTCCAGACGATGACTGTACCTCTCTTACTACTTGCACAAAAAATGAAATGTTTGTATTTCACATTGTATAAAATGTGACCAAACTCAGCAGATTTGGTCACATTTTCATTTCACCAAAATTCATTGATGTTTTTTGCGACGGGCTCCAATCATTCCATCACAGAAAAATAAGAGTTTCAGAAATTCAAGAAACTCAAGACAGCATTGATATACATGTGCTTTACAAGTGTATGTCAAGTTTTGACCCCAACTACATCAATCATTGTCTGGAAAGATTAAGAAAATTCATTTTATAACACCTCAAATATTGATATATTGGCTTTTTAACCGTTCAATTGTACAGTAGAAATATTTCCATATTTCAAGCATGAGAGTAGTTGGAGATGAACACATGTCAGTCATTACATTTGGAGTTATTGAAAAAAACAGCTTTTAATAGGACTTCAAATCCTGGGATATTAGCATTTCGATCCTACAAATAGAGGACCTTTACTTTGGAGAAATCTCTAAATTTGTACAGTAAAGATATTTCCTTTTCTGTACAAGAGTAGTCAGAGAGGTCCTGAACACACATACTTCAGTCACTGTCTGGAAGTATTGATTAAATAGCTTTTTTTCCGGTTAGATGTTTGATACCGTAAATGTCATCATACAAGTGCACTGAAATTAAAGGGCCTGCTGAGTTGGCCGCAGTGTCACTTCGGTGGCTTGTTGTTCTCTTATCTGATGTGACATATTTATTGGAGTGTGAATGTTTCAGTCTCACGTGCTGGTCTCGGCTATCGGGGAGGCCTTCCGAGCTTCGAGAAAGGAGGAAGGCGTTGGTGTGGGAAGAGACCTGATCGTGGAGGCCCTGCGACTTAAGGTCACTTCTGCTTTCCCCGTTACTCTCAGAGCTCAGGTCACATTTCATCTTTTATTTCTTGGTTCTCACTCATCTTTGTTTTTCTTATTCTTTTCTCTCTTTTTTTTAGAACAAAATGCTGCAAAGAGAGAATGCTGAGCTGAAGGACAAACTAGCCAACTCCAAACCATAATATATGCTGGAATTTACGCACACATACGCACCAAACAAAGAAAACACATATGTACCCTCACAATTAATAATAATAATAATAATAAATTCTGATGTTGTGTTGATATTCCTTTTTATGTTGACTCAATATTGTTATTGTGCTTTTAGGAAGAATGAAAGAAAATACCAGTATAGTGTATATACACTATATTTAAACACATTACATACAAAACTAACAGATACATTTGTAGCAGTGGCGGATGGCCCACAGAGGCCAATGGGGCCGCACCATGTGTGACGCAGAAAAAAAAAAAGTCCTCTCTGCTTGTCTGCATGTCTCAGCTGGGCTTGGGCCGGGTCCCAAAGGGGCCGGGCCTAAGAAGCAGTTAGCCAATCACTGATAGTTAATGAGTGACATTATAATTTCAGCGTCCTAAAATCCATTGAGATTTGGGCTCGCCCTTCGCCGCCCTACGCTGCGCTCTCGTCAGGGCGAGTCTTGCGAGAAACGGAGAAACTGGAGCGTGAGACCGGCGTGAAAGGGAAGCCGCAGATATATGGCGCTTCTGTAGAGACTTCTATGTGCTAGATATGCGTGCTATCGGCGTATGTTTGCGCACCGTGCCCATGACGTTAAAGTTAACAACGCTACACAGCTGCGACGCACACAGGACGTGGATGAAAACAGGCACATATTATCCAAGTTTTGTGGGGGTTTTGAGTTGGTCTTTCCTCAACACACTGATTAGGTGTTTCCCCAACAAACTAGGCTCATAGGTGGATCTCAACATATACATATACATGTTCTAATAGAATTTATATGAATATATTTGTATTGAAATATATTTATCCTGTAATATAATATTTATTATATGATATCTATATTGGATATTTATAATAGTTACATTAGTTATCATATTCTGAATATATATATATGAATATATATATATATATATATATATATATATATATATATATATATATATATATGTATACTGACTTGTTTTCAGTTTATTAGGTTCAAGCTCAGTTTCTATGGAGCAAAATTCAGGTCAAAAGGTTTGTTCATTTGAATTCAAATGTGAACCTGAAAGTTTTGTTGTTGAAGGTATTTTCGGTTTGAATATAGTTTTGACTCAATTCTATATTTCTTTTGAATAAAATATACATTTTCAATCTTCACTTATTTATATTTTTTTATATTTTCGGTGTATTGTATGTTGCAGATTTTGTGTTTTCAGATTCAAATCTTATATTTTCCCTTTCAGATGTTTTTTTTCACAGACCATGCTGACCTATTCCTAAAATGATGGTTAATCGAGGTTGTAGCTGGTTGTCTACATCACCACGGACAGAGAGGTGTCGTTTGTGTTTTAACAACTTCGCTAGGACGTCCGAATGTCCTCGGCTTTATTTGTCAAGCTGTCACTCATAATTACACGCCCCTCCCAGTTTATGCCCCGCCCCCTACGCCACATCAGGGTCAAAAGTCTGAACGCGAAAAAAAGATCAGAATCTGAAAACGAAGTCTGCAACTGAAAAATATAATACAGTGAATATCCAAAAATAAATACAAAAAATATATTTTATTCAAAACCATATTCAACCTAAATAATTATTATTTTATTTTACAAATACATTGTTGTATTTTTCAATGTTCAACAAAACTTAAACTTTGTTTTTCAAATGACCTGGATTTGGCTCTCTACGTTTTTATGGCAACTCATGCTGGGACGCTCACCTGGTCCAAGGCGCACTGACTATTGGGCTGCACCCACAGATCTGTGATGCTTCAGAAAGCTGGTTGAGTCAAACCCTGAATACTGAGCTGAATAACGCTGAGATGGAACACGTGTTTGGGTCTAGAACAGCTGATCAGAGAGGCGGCAGGAGAACAGCAGCCTCCGTGGAAGTAGAGATAATAATGCATGGAAGACTGTGCACATTTACATTTGATAAAGAGCCCGAAGGGGAAAAGAGAAGTGAGCACAATTATGTTTTCTTCTGAACTTATTGTTTACCACACAATGATAAAACTCTTTAGTCTACTATTTTATATAAATAAATATACAGGACGCAAGCCGCCGTTAAACATCACAGAAGATAGATTAAGAAGGCAGTACGCAGTTGTACGTGAAGGCACCACGCAGCTTTACGTGAGTGCAGCACGCAGTTGTACCTGAAGGCAGCACGCAGTCGTACGTGAAAGCAGCACAACACAAACGTATGACGGAGGGTACAACGTGTCCGCAGGTGTAAACTTCGGGATGGAAACGTCGAGCTGTTTGGTGTAAAATGTAAGTAAAGTTTGTGTAATTTGAGCTGGACGCTTTCACAGTGAGTCTACCCGATAACTCGTAGCGAACTAGCATAGCCGCGAATGAACAACTCTGAAGTCCGCCAACTTTGCATTTTGACTCCGTCAGCTGGCTCGTTACCGGCGGACACAGGAGCGCATTCACTAAACACCGCAGCTGGTCTCATCGCTCCCGAGTCACTATGCCGACCCTCTCTCCTGCAGATACAGACCGCCCGGGTAGTCGGTGGGAAACCGGCTCCACCGTTCCGGGCGCCGAGCCTCCGCCATGGGGATCCGGTGGTCCCGTAGCGGCAGCAGCCTGTCGCTCCTCCCGGGGAGGCAGCGCTCCGAGCCGAGAGATTCTGACGACGACTCCTTGGACGGGCTGGTCAGACGGGAGGACATCGCCCAGTTCCCCTACGTGGAGTTCACCGGCAGGGACAGCATCACGTGTCCAACGTGCCAAGGCACCGGGCGAATACCGTCGGGTGAGTAGGGGCCGTGAAGAGCGGTTACACTTAGAACCGCGCTTAACCGGTGCGGGGCGTTAATGTAGGCAGATATTCAATTTCTGGCTCCAATTGTTAATTCTTTTTAGGTTTTTTTTCTTGCACATTTGACAATTAATCAATATGCCGCATGACCCCGTATCTCCCCTCCGATAGGTCAAGTGAATGAGCTGGTCGCATTGATCCCGTACAGCGACCAGAGGCTGCGGCCCCAGAGAACGTGAGTGACCTCTCGGGTCTCAGGAAGGTCATTCTGATTATGGATGCGGAGTGCGCGCTCTGACGTCAGCGCTCGCGGCAGGAGGCAAGCAGCAGTCGAGCTGAGTGGGCGGGGCCACAATTCGTGAGAACACCTGTAGTTGTTAGGACAGGTCGACTGCACTGAAGCAATTATTTTGTATAAGTTGTAGTAAGCAGACCTTAGAACAGCCATGTTGGACTTTTTTGTTTTTTTTTCGGGGAGGGGGCTTGTTCATTAAAATCCTCCGATCAAACCCCTCCAAAAATAATTGAACAAGTGTAGAAGAAGTGGCTATTGTGGGGTTAAAACATGTGGTCCTGCAGAGTCGAAATAATAAGCTAGCTTAGTTTAGTCAAGTTTTCTGGTGGGATTTGGCTCTTTTTTTTTCTTCACAAAGGTGCATTTTTTTCTGGAGGTGTGGTCACAGTTTCTTTACAGCCCTCAGCGATTGGCTGTGATGCCAACGAGTAGCGCCCAGCTTCGCCCATCTTCCAATCCAAACGATAGCCACGCCCGGCCTGTCTGTTACCGGTCGCACCTGTTCCTCTCTGGCACCATCTTGAGATGAATCTGATCCTATTCTGCATCAATAACACATTCGATGATTATACCGTGGCTTCTTCAACTCGTACAACCCAGAACCACAAAGCTGACTCACAGAACCCTCCAATCTGTACACCTACAACGTCCCCTCTCCCAGGAAGTGAAACTAAACTCCCCTAAAGCCCCTCAATGGGCACAAAACGGGAAGAATCCTGTGGATGGGCAGAGAGTAATAATGTCATGTGCACAGAATTAATCGACCTACAACATATTTAATTCCTACTACAAACTATACACCCATTCTATAATTCCTACCACTGGGCATGCTTTTCTACTTGAAACGCTAACACTATGAAGGGCTGTCCGCTGTCATAACACAGAGCCCAAATTCATCTAAGTACCTTGGATGAACATTAAATAGCTGCACTTTTACTGAACGTTCTTTTCATTATATAAGCTGGTGGTTGTAAATCACTAAGTCATTTTTGTGCAGAGTTTATCCTCAGTTTTGAATCTTTTTTTTTTTTTCCCAAAACTAGCAAAATCATTAGAAAATCAAACAAATGAGAAACTAAACGGGCACCAGGCGAAGTACTGACCGACTCGCCGGCGAGAGACGACAAGCTTTCTGTACGTCTCAAGTTGACTTCATTGATGTCGCTCAGAAGCTCTCCAAGCTTCGGGCCCGTAAGCGAGCGAGACCCTTGTGTTTTTTGTTTGTGGTAGGAAGCTGTACGTGGTCCTGTCGGTGGTGTTGTGCCTCCTTGCTTCCTCGCTCGTGGCCTTCTTCCTGTTCCCTCGCTCCGTGGTGGTGGTGGATGATGGGATACACTCTGTCACCGTGCGCCTCAACCCCTTCACCATGACTGTCCTCATGAACATGACGGTAGGGGGTTAGTTTTTGTCCTCACTTTGAAAGTCCGGCTCGGTTTAGCAGAGTCCTTTTGTACTAAGCAGCTGGATCCCAGCTGAGGAGATTAGGAGATCAATTGAGAAAACCTATGTCTATTTTCCCCCCTCCAATACCATATATGTGTGTGTGTTTATCCCCCCAGAGCACACTGAACCTCAGCAATCCGAACTTCTTCTCGGTGCTGGTGCAGAGTGTGAGCTGCCAGGTCCTCTACATGAAGACGGTGATCGGCACCCAGCAGCTGGACAGCGTCACCACCATCCTGCCGCTCGGCCACAGTCAGGTAAAACCACCGCGTTGTGCACGTTCAACCTCGGCGTGACTTCTAAAGTGTGCGTAGGCTCCTCTGTGTGCAACACAAGCTCCATGTAGACTGTCGAGCTCAAAGTCAAATGTACGCAGGCGAAGCACCGATCGTCGGTAAAAGTAGATCCGCCCCGCTGGCCTGTTTTCCTGGATTTCCTTAATTGCTTCACCGGGTTATTGTCTTTTATTTTAACTGAGTTGATCATTGCTTTTATCGGAGAAACACTCTGCAGTATCCAGCTGATGGAGGAACCATCCTGATCCTTAACGGTTCCCCGGCTGCTCCTCGCTGTCCGAATCTGCAGCGTCCCTTTCCACCGCTCTACATGAGGACGCCTTGTGCTTTGTGTCCCCTGCAGGTCAACTACACCGTCAGCGTGGAGATTGGGAGCAGCGCGCCCTACGTCTAGTGAGTGTCTCCACCCGAACCTGCCTCCACTCCTCACACAGCTTATTCTAGATGCGTCACAGAAAGACAAAACTTTTCTCCATATTTGACCATAATCTCCTTTATCAAGACACCTAACCCCCAACTGCTCCCCGTCCACCTTTACAGCGGCACATGGCAGAGAAACATATCCCCTCAGGGATTAATAATCTAATCTAACCTTGTCTGTTTGCTTCTTCAGTGCCTTCTGCTCCATGCCCATTAAGGTCCACAACATCGTGGTCTACATGCAGTAAGTGTCCCCTTACTTTCTCTCAAGCACTAGCTAAACTTACCGATTAAACTGCATGATAGTACTGGCAGCAAATACTGTCCACTGAATTCATCAAAAGTAAAAGAAGTGTACTGTTCGCTTCTCTCTGAGGTTCTTTATTTCTTTCCCTGGGGGGAAGGATTTTGCAGGTTGCAACACCCACAAAGATAGAACAATGTTTCTTTTAGATAATCCCTTCGACCATTTTCAAAATAAGAACTATAATGCCACTTAGGAAGCCATCACATTTTCCTTTTAAATTAATCCACTTTACAGAATTTGCAAAGTAACTACATCAGTTGGATGAGCACGGCAATAAACGGGTGAAATGTAGTGACGTAGGAAGCGGCAGCACTCGCGTGCTTATCTTCAGTCCCCACAGCGTGACCACACCAGCCACTTCCTGTGCGCTTATGTAGTTCTGACAAAGAACCAACCTGATTCACACGCTGCAGCTTTTCCTCACTAGTTATTAAATAACACACACACACACACACACACAGGTTGTACCCATGGCCCCGTCCTGCTTGGTGATGAATATTAGAATGTCCTGGTGTTCATGTCTCCGTCCCGCCGCTCGCTTCCAGGACCACGGTGAAAACGTCCTACATGGTGCGAACGTCCCAGAACAGCCTGGAGGCCTACCGCTACATCGACTGCGGGTCCAACTCCACCCGCCACCGGACCGCCGGCCCGAACCGGCAGCTCCTGCCGACAGAAGGGCCCTCGCCTCTTCTGCTCCAGGGTCCGGGACGACCCGGAGGACCCAGCGCTGCTTTTTTGTGAGCTTACTCCATTGCAGGGATGATAAACGCCAACTTCTGATGTTGTAAAGGCTTTTAGTTTATTTTTTATAAATCTGCACATTGGTTTTCATCTGACATTCCACAAGGCAGCACGTATTAGGCGTTTATTTGAGTTGCATTATGGGGGCTGATGTTTACAACAAGCTTAACAAAGGTTGGTTCAGCTACTCGTCACTGCAGAACACGACATTCCTGCGTCTGTCTGAGCGACTTTTCTCCAAGTCTCCGCTGCTCTAATTTAAACGAGGGAAATTGAATTTAACGGCTGCTGATGTGTTGTTTTTGCAGTGATATTTAACACATTAATCATATCCCAGTCATCCCATCGAGTCCAAGCACACTGGTTTTAGATCCCCGTGTCAAAAGGTGATTTAACTCTTTTATATATCTATAAAGGGAGTTTTTCAATTCGGGAATAAGTATTTTTAAAAGCATAGTTTATATTGTTAAAGGGACGTGTGAATCAATAAAACTAATTAACTTAATTGCCTGTTTCTTCCAAGCGCTGCATTAATTCGTTTCATGGTACTAATAACTTTCTGCAGCTCTTACACATGTCGACCCAAAATAAGCACTGACCCAAAAGCACTTCAGGTACCACACCATATCAGTTTAATTCTTTTTTTTTGCATACAAAATATCATCAAACTTACAAATGTTTAGTTTTATGTCTCATACGTTGTCCAATAGCTGCATGTGAAAATATATTACTACATAATACAGACATCGACAATAACAAAACAAACAATATATCATTGCTGCAAAAAGTAATATTTTTCTATTTTTATTGTTTTATTCCAAACAAGGCAACACTAAATAAATGCAATAAGTACAAAAATATAGCTGGATAAAAAGCTTATAATACAAGAGTGCTTTGTCTTTGGTTAAGTAGGTGTGTGTTCAGGCCACCGCCTTGCTCGTGCGTGTTTACTGCTCCTCTGTTAGCGTGTGCGAGTTTTATAATAAATTTGGACACCAAACATTTCCCGGCAAACGTCTTCTCCAACACCCAAACGTCCTCTCCACGTCTAGCTTTTCCTGTTTCACATACATTTCTTTAAAAAAAACCAGACTTGATTCCCTTACACGTTATCTTCCGTATATACTCTCACACGCACGCACACACGTTAAGAGTTGAAAAGCTCACGTTCATGTTCGCTCTCATCGTCTTTCTCGCTCCAATTATTAAATGTACGTCAGCTAAAAGAAAACAACAAAGCCTGATTGTCGACTGATTATATGCGTTAACCCTACACTATAAAAAGGCGGGAGTGGCTGTAAATGCTGCTGAACATCTATTTAGAGGAAACTAAATGACATCGTCATATAGTCAAACAAAGAACTATGAACACCGTCTTTGTACGTTTCAGGGCTCCTCCAAACAGACCAAGGAAAGGTGTCGGCTTGAAGCTGCTTTCTGGCACCTCTTGGATGCTGAAGCTGTCTGTAACAGGACCGTCTGTGCCGACGGGCTTCCAGCTGCGCGTCCCTCCGGAGCGCCGCGCTCATGGAGCCCGAGAGCCTTCGGTTGACCTCTTAAAGTACTTAGTGTTGCAAGCAGTGTGCTCTAAATTCAAGCCACTTCCTCATGCTGGGATGCGTAATGCAAAATGTGACCGGGACTGGTCACGAACCGTGACATCTCTGTATTGGGGGACATACTCAATGTTTTAAGGATCAACCCAACAACACTAAAGCAGCAATAATACAAATAATACAACAAAACCTTGTTAAAATCTGGTCTACCTGAGCGGGTGCGGTTTGGTCAGATCACATGAATGAACGAGAAAAAACACCCACAAGGTACACTAAATGTTTACGGACAACCGATTTATGATTAATTTAGCTTATTATCGGTGTGCAAAATGAATACGGATCCATACTTCTGGTAGTGAGGCACTAAATGCCATGTTTCAGGCGGAGGGGAACGAGATCTCGTCCTTTCCTCTTTGTGATCGAGGCCTTTGTGTTTCTTGTTCACGGAAAGCCACTGTGGCAGTTTCCCAATTCCTTGGAGAGGTTCCTAAACTTTACTTCATGGCTTTGTTTTGGTTTTTTACTGCACTATATCAGGGTGTTTTAACCGAGGGGGGAAGCTGAACAAAGGATCAGAAAGCGTCAGTAGGCATCACTCCCTTCCTCCCTCTACCGCCGCTGCGACAACATGACCTTGTTGATGAAGTTGACGATGGCGGAGGCCGGCTGCTCGGGGTCCAGCTCAGCAAACAGGTGGCAGACGTTCTCGGACGAGCTGCCCGGCTTCTTGGCCACGAAACCGAACACTCTGAGAGCGAGAGGGAGGGAAAAGGGATGTGAGACTACGTGTTAGCGAGCATGAGAGGAAGCTCTGGTAAGGCGGGAAATCAGACTGATCCATTTTCCAGGTCCGATCTAAATAGTTTTCTCACTGACTTAAAGGGCCGGCGTGCAGCATTCTATTAGCAGGAATGTAATCAAATGAAAGCACAAAACAGGAGAAGGCTATTTAGGTCACATATAGAAAATGGATCCGCATTTCTCTTTTGTCTCTTCTTCCGGAGTTGACCATCAAACCAGTATTAATGAATGTGGTCACACACTAAACCTGATTTTCATGTTAAATCATTTAGGCTAAACACACAACCCGATGCCATGCAGAGGCTGTGATGTCACTTCTCAGCCACAGGCGTTTGAATGACACCCTTTTATTCATTAAAAAAAAGCACAACACGCGCATGCATACGCGCCTCTTTTCTCGCCATCATCAACACAAACAGAGCACTTACTTATTAGCGGTGCTGTCTGAATTAGTCCACCTGCGGCCGAGAGAGAGAAACCAAACTCAGACACATGCGCACACACACGCACACACACAGAGCTGCTAAACAGGCCGATGCAGCCGCAGCCTCGTACGCGCCGAACGACGCGCCACTTTGTGCACGCTGACAAATACACTCACAGAACAGAAGCAGGGGTCCATGCGAGGGCAGTGAAGGATCACGGGGGCAACAAATTGGGGAGGAGGAATCTAATTCCCGCTGATTGGAGGTTAGTTGTGGTTCAAACTGGAATCAAAGAAGGCCATTTTTGTCTTTTCATTGCCTACCTCCTGTCCTTAGGGTCAATGCTGCTGAAGGTCACGCTGCTCACTGGGTAATGTCTCCTAAAGAAAACCCTAGAAGAAGAACGATGCAGATGGAGCGAGACAGGAGAGACATCACTCAAATGTAACCATGATGTAATCACCTCTGTCGCCACAACGTTGTCCGTTGCTTAACAGGGAATAAGAATTATAAAACATGGATACCCTAGTCTATTTAAATGATATGATTATGATCCCAACACACACGAGAATAAGGTCATACAACACATGTGGAATTAAGAAGATTCTGCACTTTTATTCATGTTTCCCTTCATAAATAAATAGCTCAAATCCACTTCACAGACAAATATTTGAACCAAGTTCAGTCCTGATATAATTACCATATATTCTGTCATTACTGTTGAAGCTGAACATGGTGGGAGGAGCCAAAAGCCTCAATGAAAAGCACATAAGAGACAATAACAGACATCTAACAAGAAGGTAGCAAACCGGTAACAAAAGGTAACACCATTCTAGCAACAAAGACAGAACTATAATAAATACACTATAATAATTAGACGTCAAAGCTCAAGTGGGCCGACACGAGGGTGACAATTGTTATATATTTTATTTAGTCCCCCCCCTGTGCCTGAGTTGAAGCGCCTTGCAGTGTTACTCGTACTAATCCCATCCACGGTGTCTCACCTGCGCTGGCTGTCGGTCAGCGTGATGCCCTGCGACGTCACCTTAAACTGGACCACAGTGCCAGCGGGACGGGGGCTACGACCCAAGGACGCGTCTGTCCCCTTGGCGATGGCCTGGGGGCCGGTTAGAGACTCGGTTTCCACCGAGTTCAGGTAGAGGACGTTACAGGCTGAGGGGGGAGGGACAGACGGAGGAGAGAGAGAGAGAGAGAGAGAGAGAGAGAGAGGGGTGAGCATGATGACCAGGCCTCCAATCGTTTCCCCGGGCTTTAGGAAGAGAAGTCACCTGCTCCTTGTTTCAGCAGGTCAGCAGCCGTGCTGATGTTATTCACAGGCTGAACCTCTGGCACTTCTCCTATCAGATCTGAAACAAATAGAATAAGAATCGTTTTGCTTTAAAACATGTCAAAGTGAGGTTCAAAGATCTCTTCCAATATGATTCATATTGGGAATACTGACCTTTCTCTGTGATCTTGAGGGCGCAGGGCAGAGAGATGGGTGTGATGGCGTGTTGGTAGACCAATGCAGACAGACTCCCTGTGGATAAAAGAAAAGCAACACAAATATTTGACCTTGATAGAAACAACAGAAAAACAAAGAAAAAAGAATGATCTTTTTTTTATTTTTTTTTTATATTGTCCTTGCAGGAAAACTTACCAAAGTAGGGCTCATTCTGGCACCCTTTGATCTTGACTCCTCGGGGGCCGGTTTCTAACAGGAAGTGTCTGACCAGCTGTTCCAGAGGGTCGCTCACTGTAACAGCAGAGATCACTGTGAACACGCTGCAAGGGACATCGCCTACTAAACCACTGGATAGGTCAAAACGTTGTCATGGTTACCCTTGCTGCTGTGGTTGACATTGGAAGGGGGTGTGGCCACCTTCAGGGCGAGGCCGTAGGCCCCCTGGAAAGAGTTACTGTCCCTGATCAGGAAGGTCCCCGGCTCTCTCTCCTTCAGGGCAGCGATTGCTTCAGCGAAACACAACCCAGATGTTAGCAGATCCAGATGATGAAGAAAACGTTGCCATGTGATCATTAGAAAAAAAGACAATGAACATAAACGGCCTACCTTGCTCCCTGGAGATTCCAGGCTTGTACCAGAAGCGTGAACTGTCCTGGACGAACTTCACGCTGACCCTATTTGCGTTCTCGCTCTCAACAGGCGGCGATCCGTCGTTTTGGCCTGCGGGGGCGGCGATTTCCCCCACGGTGGGAGAGAAGGTGACGTGGAGCTGATGCTGGCTGCTGGAGGGAGGCGCGTGGCCCCCGGCCGGCCTCAGGGTAGCCGCCCCATCGCTGGGGAAGCCCGGCTGGACCGGCGGGTGGCGCTTCTCTGGCAGCGGCGGCTGGGGGTGAGGGAGGGGGATGGAGATGGTGGGGTAGTTGGAGTAGGAGGGCGGGTGGAGCTGAGGAGTGTGAGCGGAGTAGCAAGGCTTCTTGCTTGTGTCTTGAGCGTGGGCGTGCTCCGCTCCTGGGTAGTGGAGGTGTGAGGGCCCGTGCTGCTGCTGAATGTGGTTCTGGTGGTGGGGTCCGGCCCGCTTATATCAGCCTCCTGCCCAAAGTGGCAAAGCCGGGAACCGGGGTGTCGGAGACCGGGGAGCTCTCCGTACTACTGCAGGCCGCCTGGGCGGTTGAAGATGAGGCTGGGGTGGGAGATGCGGGGGCAGACGTGGCGTTGGTGGGGGTTATTGTAAGTTTTTCGGCTTCCGAGGGTGGTCCGGTGACTTGTGCTGGTCTTGTGGTTCCGGCGCCTTGGGTTTGAGTGTGGCCCTGAGGCCGGGGAACGGCCTGTGCCACAGTGGAAGGCAGAGCAGCAGCCTCTGAGGGATGGGGGGCCTGCGGAGCGAGAGGGGCAGGTTGGGAGGGGGTGTCCAGCGACGACAAAGTGTGGATCGGGGACGAGAGAGCCCGGCCGAGCCCCTGGCTTGATGCGCTCGCCGTTGCAGGATCAAAAGAAGGCGGGGCCTGCGCTGTCGGAGCGCTTGGGCTGCAGTGCCTCTGTTGGGACGGGTCAGGTGGTGCGGTGCAGTGGTTGGTGGCCTCTGTTTGCACAGGTGAGGTCGCGTGGGGTTGCATGTCTCTGCTTCTCCGGCTTTCCAGGAACTCCTGCGCGATGAGATCAGTGCGAATGTGTTCGTCCTGGGAAGTCTCGTAGTCGCTGCCGATGATGTCTGTGGTCCGGATCTCATACTCCCTCATACTCCTCCCTCCTGGACTGGGGCTTAAAAGGACAGACATGACAACTACTGTCACAGACCTGCTTGTGATTTAGTGAATGTCCTCCTCATTGGTTCTATATTGTCATCAATACTCAGTTCTACTGGATCTGGATCTAATGATAGGAACACCCGATGATGACTCATGTGTACACAGAGAATGCCATGTGATTGGATTGTGGTCAGATCAGCCAGATTGACTTCTCGAGGCAGTCTGGCTCACATTGTGATTGGCTTTTGCCTCTGAAAGGGCCCTTATGTATTTTCCAACACTCATCTTTTTGATATAAGTAACTAATGAGGACAACCATTTCTAAAAATGTCCAGTGGACACAACGGAAACACTCTGTGACTCCTCAAGGTAAATGTTGATCCATTAAAAGTGCTTGTTGTTGCCACTGACAACACTAATAATAATATAATAATATTTATTTTCCTTTCCCTCGATCTGGTCTGTTTGTTAATGTGTCCAACGCCGTCCTGAAGTCTCACCTCACATCCACATTGTCACAATCAGCCAAATATTCAGCCGTGAAACACCTTTTAGACAACACTAAGCCACCGTCTGTAAACACAACAGCCTGACCTGAGGACATGGAGTCTTACTGACGCTCCCCTTTAATACCAGGTGTAATGGATCAGATGCCATCATCCAGATACACTCATTTGTGTTCCTCTTCACCCCGGCGGTGAAGAACATCCCAACCCACGGCTACGCTCCCCTCCCCACTGAGAGAAAGCGTGGAATACCTCTCCTGTGTGCGCAGGGGGCTGCTGGTGTGGACAGGGGTGGACGGTCCAGACATATCGGATGGCGTGGAGCATGCGGCGTGGCCGTCTCTGTGGACCCTCTTAAAGGAACCGTGGGTGATGTGCTCCCTCCAGCCCACACTTTCTCCAGAGCTCCTGAGGCCGTCTGACAAAGGAAGGGACCAACAAGTTACCAACAAAAAATGGGAGCTCGTGGAGACATCGTCAACCTTTACGGGGGCAAATAAAACACGGCGGTGTGAGGAGAGCCATTATGGGCGTAATGTGTAGGGCCTCGTTCTGGTTAATCACTCCTGATTCAGTGCATGCTGTTGTTGGTTATGGACGAGTCAAACATGCTATTCAGGGGAAAACGCTGATTCAGTGTGACTCACCGGTCTGTGAGTCAGAGCCGTATGAATGCTGTGTGTCTGGATGGTTGTGGTCTGCTGGCACATTGTTACGGCTGCAGGGCCCCGTCATGGAGGAAGCCGGGGGCAGCGGGGACGTGGACTCGGACTGGTAGCCCGAAGCGTAGCCCCTGCTTTCAGACGGCGAGGGCTGGTACGGCGAGCAGGGGCACACCTGTCGAGGCGTTTGGTAACCGCTGCTGCTGCTGCTGTACTTCTGCTCCATGTGGGAATGAGCGTGGGACCTCGACGCCTCTGGATAAGCCGGGTGACCCGATGGCAAGGGGTCAAACGTGAAGGCCGGGAGATCGTGGCCCTGTGGGCCGTAAGAGGCCACGGTGGCCCTCCTGCGCCAGTACTCCGCCTCTCTGTCCCGCTCCCACTGCAGCTCCGCCTCCCGGTCCCTCTCCCAGTGGAGGGACATCTCTCTGCCTCGTCTCAGCCCAGGTTCCCTCTCCCAGTGGAGCTCTGACCCTTTGGTTAACTCCGCCTCCCGCGCTCTCCTAAGCCCCAACTCCCTGTGCTGAAGCTCCGCCTCTCTGTCCCAGTCACCTTGGTCCAGCCTCAGGCTGTGATAGGCCGCCGAGTCGTCTTTCCTGATGCTGCAGTCTCTGCAAGGGCAGCCAGGGGCGGGTAGGCCATCCATTAGCACTATATCGTGGTAGGTAGGGCTGGTGGAGGGTTTGGAGTGGTGCGGGTGGAGATGGTGGTGGCTGTGAGGTGGAGGAGAGGGGTGATAGGGGCGGTAGTCGTCCTCTCGACAGCAGAGGCGGCCCGGGGCAGACAGGGGGTGGTGGTGCGGGTGGTTGTGAGAGTGAGGGTCTGGCAACGGGTAGGGGCAGACATGTCGGGGTGAGGGAGCCTCCGAGCAGGAGCGGTGCAGGTAGTGCTGGCGGTCCCACACCAGATCCGGAGGCGGAAGGGACTGGTGGGAGTGGGGGCTGTAGTGCTGGCACAGATCCATGTGCGACGGAGGAGACGCTGGGTTGGGGCTGACAGAAGGCGTCGCCCCGTGGTGGCCGTTGGTGCCGGGGGCCCGGTCGAGGCAGTACCCGTTGGGCATAAGGAGGGTGCGGTCGCAGCCGGGCTCGGCGCACCGCTGTGACCGGTACCCATTCCGGCAGGAGCAGGACCGGCTGAGCCTCAGCGTCCCGCTTCTGTCAGAGGGCAAAGAATCGCCGTCATCCAAGATGGCCGTCTCTCGCTCCCCATCGCGGTTTCCCTCGATGCCTCCGAGAAGACGCGCCAGGTCTTCTCTCTCCTGCCTGGTCGGAGGCAGCGGGCTGATGGAATCCTCCTGGCGCTCTGGATGGACGGATGAATGGTTCAAATGGACGGAGTGGGCCGAGAGGGCGGAGTCTGAACCGCGAGAGAAGACGCAATCTGGCCTGTCTTCCTCAAGGCCCGCCGCCGGGCCGCTGCCGTTGGTTGAGGTGAGAGAACCGGAGCCGGGACCTCGGCGCTTCTTTATCTGAGCGTAGAGGCTGCCGTCCACGGGCCCTCTGGTGTGGGCAATATCTACTGTAAGAGTAGAAGACGACATCAGCTGTCACATTGAAATCCATACATGCGTGAGATCCTGCTGGATCTAAAGAGACGGTTTGCGCGTTACCCTCCAGGCTGTCCTGGTATCGCTGGTTAAAGTTCTCGTAGGAGTCCCAGCGCACCACAGGGTCAGCGGTGTTGTAGTCGACTGTGACAGATGGGTCGTTCTTCTGGTACTCGCGGCCTGGGAAACGCATTCGTTTGTATTCTTTGCTTTTTACTACCTGTTCTACATTTAAAGTAGAACAGGTATGAAGGAGAATTTGAGGGAGAAGTGAACTCACCTTTGATTTTTTCAGGTCCAGAGGAGAAGACAAACTCAACTGTGGCATCAGACGGAAAACGCTCATCTGGGGAGAAAGTAGGGAGAAACAAAGCGTAGAGGGGGAAAAACGGTAAATGACATGGTAAATATCGCTATATCGTAACATGAAAATCTAGTTTCTCTACATCATAGTCATCATAGTAGATGAAAGCGCGCCAGTGCATTTGAAACACATCCAAGACCACATAGAGAAGAGACGTTTTCCATTTCACAGTAAGTGAAACCAAGGAGGAAATGAGGAAATTAGCATTTTTGTTCCAGACTTCATCAGATCAGTACTTACTAAGCCTCTACTCCCTGAGGGGGAGTTAGAGACACTCCCAGCCTGCACACAGCGATACTCCTTCTCTACATACTCACCTCCGGGGAGCTGTTATTAGGTGGAGATTAAGATACTACTATTAAGGGATTTATTCAACCACAGGCAGCAAACCACTGTGAACCCATTCCCACAGTGGTTAGTTTCACTTCAGCTTGTGTATGTGATGGTTAAAATGTTATTTCATTCATATCTCACTAACAATGTATATCACAGTATAGCACGTTTTCTGGTAATTAAGTAATACGTCAATATGGAATAATTGCATGGCAAAGATATTCTTCATTACTCCTGTAGTAAATTGATAACAGACTACATTGAATTAAGAACTTTGGTGCAGAATGAACTGACCACTTTGTTATTGGCAATGAACTGAGCGGTTATGTAACTGTGGGATGTGAAAATGAAGCCCCACTCTTCAAATTATACTCCCCCAAAATATTGCACATCGGAAATCTTCCAAAATATGAGCTAGTACCTACCTAACTAGCTAATTATTAACAATTAAGAGAACAGAACTGTGAATCTCCATATATGTTTTTATCACCATACGAATCAATTGAAAGACAATAAATATTAATAATACAACCATATTGAATGATGGATGAATACCAATGTGCAAATCCAGCAAATAGTCCCGTAATCCATTGTAAATAATAAAAATATTATGAACGGTTTCTATTACACCACACCACTTAAATAAACATACCGGTACATGCTTCGTCCAGCTCCCCTTTGCCGAACCACAGCTGGGACCCGTGGATGGTGCAGGTGTGAAACTGCAACCTGAACACGGTGTCTCGGTCAGCGCTCTGGGCTCGGCGGTGGTAGCATTTGACCTGCAGAGGGCAGCAGAGGGGAGCTCAGAAGTTAGTGGAATAAGGAGGGGTTTGGTGCTGCAAACAGAGCGGCACCGACACTTTCCCAAATGACTAGACGGACAAATTGTTGCTTGTTAACAAAGTGACAAAACCAAACTGTATAATGCAGAGCGGCGATGTGGCTTACAAGATTACAAAAGAAGTCAGTGCGTGTACTATGTATTTATGTAGTTGTCCTGCCCGTTGGAAGATTTAAAAAGGGATTAAGCTGTGATTGCGACCCCACCCACATCCTTCCCATGAGAACTCACCATGATGTCACCCTTTAGCAGCAGCGCCGGCTCGATGGTCACACACAGCCGCCTGCCTCCGGTGCCCTGAAGGTCACTGTCACAACACAAACAGGCCTATTATATAAGTACAAGATATACGGAGCCCCAGCAGATACAGAGTGTGACCGACTGATTAGTTTGTGTGTCACAGATTGCTATTTCAATTACTTTTTCATCATGTTTTTCCACTTGATAACGGCTGTATTCAGTGGTAGACGATGGAAAATGTTCTTGGTTGGGCAATCGAATCAATTCCAGCAAACATCCCTGGTGGATTTAATGCAAAGCAAGTAAAACAAGTATGAAATAATATGTACGCTATGTGTCAGTCGTCTTGTCTGCTTGAATAGCGATAAAATACGTGCCCTTTACTTCCCCCAGATGTCATCCACCCTGTCGATGGCCTGGACGAGAACGCGCAAGTTTGGGGCAAAACCAATGTTGCCCCCAGACTATTCTGTCTATTTAAGGACGCTGATTGACTAACTTGTATTGCACACATTTTCTTTTTAATCAGTAATTGGCCAAAGTTCTCCTTAGACCCGCCTTCTAAGGGCAATCTTGAGGACGCCCCCTAACGCGGCCAGAACGTGCATGAAGACAGGACGTGCGTATGAGGGAAATGTTCTGGCTCAAGGAGGGCGTCCCAGGTGGGGCGACGCCCCCTTGCCAACAACAATCAAGAACCAGTTACTAGAGAAGAGTAGAAAGATGCCCGTTGTTTATTTTGCCTTCAGCTCTATCTCTTTAATCGCTCCCTGTCTGTGTTGAAAACGCCCCAGACCCAAAACGTATGATCAGCATGTGACAGCGACAGAGACTCACTATATGCCTGAAGTGTAGACCAGCTGCATGGACTGGTAGATCTTCAGGAATGGGTAGTAACCTAGGAGGAGGACGAGAAGAACACAAATTCAGACTTTAGTGAGCATTATCAACATGAAGATAGAGGAATGTGCCGGCTGCCGCCCCCCCACCCCTCTGGACTGGATCAGCAGATTAAAGAAAAACAGAATGGTTTGTGTGGGTGGAGGGTGAATGGGACCTCTTATGAGAGCTCTGCAGCCAGTTGCATTGCTGTGATTCAGCAGGGAGAGCCTGTCAAAGAGCATCAATCACATATACATAGAAAAAAAAGCCATGGACCAAAATCCACAATGCCACAGGACGGATTGTAACTATCCACTGACCGATGGTCCACTTTTTAAATGCGGTCCCTGATTGCAGCCAGCTGATAATGGAGCGCACTCGCTTTTCCTTCACCGCTCAATGTTTACATTCCGATTAGCTGCAAATTTGGACGCAAACGTGGGGCTGTGTAGAGCTGACGTACGGAGCTAATCTATTAAAAAGAGATAGCTGAGTATGATTTTTGGAAAAGCTGAATCGTCAGACAATAGCCGTTGGTTCCTCAGCCTGCATTTCGCTCTCCACGTGGATCTCATGCAACAGTATTAATATGGGCCCATTGTTACTACAACTACCCACTACAAATTAACCCCCACTTACATTAAAACGGCTATTCGTACTGTGTTTTGTAAACTTGCTTTTAAATAAATGACTTAAACCATTTCTACCGGCGGTAATACAATCATTGGATATATTTACTCATTATTTTCTTATGAGTGTATTGATATTCTGCACGTAGAATTAGTATTTAATAATCTACGTCATCATTTGGAGGAATAATAACTATCCAGTGATTTGGCTCAAAGGATTCAACACACACACACCTCCTTCGCCCTGGAAGTTTGGGAGTGATGGGACCAGAACTTGGTGGAGGAAGAGGGGGCTGCTGTTCATCTTGATCGCCCCGGACAGAAGGCCCCCGAAGTAATAGATATACCTGAAAGAGACAGATTGATGCGATGCAAAATGACCCACGTAGTATATAGAGCAACAGTTGTTAAAGGTTTCTTACATGACCAAATAACAAGTATAAGGAAGGAAAAAGTCCATAAAAGGATGCCAAAACATTGAGTTGTTACTTGATGTTACGCAGGAGTCCACTTCATGGAGGAAGCCTTCAGCTTAGGGCAGTTCTTTTTATGCTAGTTTAGGTGGTTAGATTTTGTTGTTACGTTACTTTATGTTGCCACAAACCAAGTTTTGTTCCCTAAACCTCATCATCGTATGACAAAGTTAACAATGGGGCAAAGTGTTTCTGCAGGAGACACGAGGCTCAATTGTATCTTATTCCTTGCTTCTGAAACGTCTATTATTGAAGAAACGTATGAGGGAAACATTGGGTCAGGTAACGAGATTACTGTGAATCTGTAAGTGTGCGGTCTACATGCTAAACTAGGCTAAGCTAATCAGTTCCTGGTTTTAGCGTACAACCTTCATCCTGCTTTGAGCAATATTGATCTTCTCTTCACACTCGCAAGAATGCAAATTAGTATATTCCACAAAACAATACAACTATTCTACATATCTGTGAGAATACAGAAGGATGGTTCTGTATTGTTCTCTATAGTACAAAAAGCATACTGACCCACTTTGAACTTGTTGCACATAACTTGCTCTTTACAGTTTATTGTTTAATGTGCATATGAGACATTTTGGTTTGTTAATATCATGTGTATGTGGAACTCCCTCAAAAAGAGGCCTCAACATCCCCCAATATCCTCACCTGTTTTGGGACGGCTGGAGGGAAGAGGACACCTTATCTTCACAGAACTTCCTCATGGCCAAAGTACTGAGAGCCTGGTCCGCCCTGCACATACATGCACGCAAACAAACACACACATAACCTGTAAACTAGCAATTTCCGTCATGGGACCTGCAGCCGGCCCTCCCGACCCCAAAGACTACATGGAGAGGATGCAGCTGCCACAGGCCACAGGATAAACTCGTTTCCACTGTTCCTGCACAAAATCCACTGGGCTTAATTCATAAAACAACTTATCAACAACAGTCGGAATGTCAACCACTGTACTGCGTACACTTGAATTAGAACATATCAGCCACTGCACTACTTTTAAACATACTTGCGTGCCCCTGTGAAAGGTTGACCTTAAACCCAGAGTCAATTCGAAAAGCCTTTACTGTGTTTCATGTGTGGGCGAACAAGAAAACATCAAACAGAGGCTATTGGATGCCTTCACTCACCCTGCAGAGATCTTGCTGTAGTGCATGTAGGCTGCAATAATCACGCCCGTTTTACCTTTGTGGCCCTGTGGGGGAGAATGAGGGAGGTCACGATGTGCTGGTTTCATCCATTGTGGTTGACGCGCAGACGTCTGATTTTCACAGCTTGTTATATGAGACATGTTATTTCTGCCGGGGTCAGACAGAGACAAATGATGGACAAGCAGCTTTGAATTCAAATTAAAAAGCTCCCCGTGGTGTTTTTTTCTTTGTTTTTTTTGTCACAACGGGTGCTCCGCACTTCCTGACACATTCCGAAGAGATTCCAGCCTCAAGTTCCTAATGCGACCCCTCCAGATACCAATAAGGAGACTGAGCCTCCACACGGAGCACAAACTAAAACTTTGGCTCAATTAAAAATTCTTCACTGACAAAAGCATGCGTTTACTCCCTTGCCTGGCGTGCGTGCAAACTGGGAAAAGATCCTCTGTAGCTGGAATGTTCAACCACAGAAGCAGTTTTAGTATTTAACTTCTCCTGACCAAAGTCAAGAAATAAAAAGGTCTGGTTTTGCAGCGGGAGCCCAGTCGCTCTCCCCGGTGTGACCATTAGGATGCACTTGTACTTTATACTTCCTCTTACTTCCTTTCATAACAATGAGCTGGCAGTAATTTAGTTGCTGCTCACTTTGCAAACCAGGATTTTAAACACAACACATTAATTTTCCTTTAAATATATAATGTGGAAGACAAGTTGTTACAGTCTGATGTAATCATGTTGCATAAAGAGAGAGTAAGAGCTCTTACTCTTGACAGTTTAATGATATTTTGCTGTGGTACCATTCAACTTTTCCTTTGTGAAGCTTTAAATTGCATGACTTTCGTCATAACTTCACATATACTCAAAACACTGATGCTATTTGTGGTTTTTCTTGCTTTAAAACGTATCACTTATCACTCTGCCCGTTTCAGTATGCAGAACAGTGTGGACAGACAAACCCGCTCGACCCACTGAACTCTGACCTTGCAGTGCAGGACCACCACGTGCTGGGGGTCGGAGGTCAGCCACGTCTCCATGGCCTTGCAGATGGCACAGATCTTGTCCAGCGGTGGGGCGTGGAGGTCGGGCCAGCCAAAGTCGTGGACCTGTTGGTTCAGATGGAAGCAAAAGGTTAAGGGAGATTAAAACCGAAGGCTGTGAACTGGACTCAGTGACGACAGTCAAAACTACCTTTGCATTCAGCCGGTTGATATCGTGGCGCCTCTCGGAGAGGTTCAGGAGCTGAAGGAGGAAAGGTGCGGCCAGTTATCCTTTCAGTCGTTATATTGTGGGTGTGACAGACCACTAATTCAAGGGTTGCTAAGTAAACTTCCTGTGTCAAAACCGTATTTTCTGTTGTGGAACAAGCATCTGTATCTGAATGAAACTGGAACTCACCAGGAACTTGTCCTGGTGTTTGGACTTTAGCATGGCAGCCACCTCCTTCAGGTTGAGGCGGTACCTCTGCTCCTCAAGCTTCGGGGGGAAGAACACGGAGATGATCCTCTCGGTGATGTAGGTCAGATCGAAGTCGTAGTGGCGCTCCATCACTCTCTCCATCACGCGGTCCACGCTGAAGCTCCTGGTGGAATGGAGAGGACGTAAAAGGGAAGGTCATCGCAGCGGCGCAGATGTGGAAACCCACCGACACGATTTTAATTTGAATAATTATTTTTCCGGTACTTCAGTAAAATGCGTCAGGAGAAATGAATGAGATGACCTTTACCGTGGCAAAGTGTTCCTCTGTTTGGTATAGGTCAGCGACTTGGTGGACCCCTGTGGCAAAAGAGATGAGGTTGGTTAATGTGACCGAGCCAGAACCCAAGTAGACGAAGCAGTCAAGCTCAAATGCTTTCATAATAGTTCCACATAATAAATCAACACACAAGATCAACCACACAGGATTTGTCTACAATCGCAACAAAAAACAAGGATGGAACAATTTACTAAAACATTTAAATTGAGTTAAGATAATCTAGAGAGGAAAGGTTAAAAGTGATAGCAGTCTTTTAAGGTTCTGCAATAACTGTGTATTGTTTGGAGTTGTGACCTGTCCTTGGGCACGACTGGACATTAAGAGTTGAAGAAATTTAGATCTTTAAAGCTAAAAACACACGGTAGCTCAAGGACCTCAGCGCATGCCACATAACCCAACCCTCCCAGGTTTGACTCCAGCCTTGTTGCATAGCATAACCCTTTTCACACAGAGATATGCCCTCACATGTTAGCCCTCAATCAATACATACCAAAACATTATGCAATCCTACTTATTAATGAAATAATGACGTAGTATTCACATCCCCCATGGACGATGGGAACACTTTTGTAGACCGCTGACATTTCCACCAACAGGCCAGATCCTCCCGTCTGAGCCACAGAACATCACATCTGATGGGGTGACTGCCATGAAAGGCAAGGAGCACATTTGTGCTCTCCCAACAAGATAATAGCTCCAACAGCTTTTGACTTTTCATGACTTTTCATGACTCCAGCACAACCCTCAGAAAAAACTGAGGCTTTCCTATTGTAAGAGGTTAAGCAGGTGAATGAGCTTCATCAAATTCATTTATGAAGACAGAAACATCTTTCTCCCTGCCAGGTTTGGACATTTCCATGATAAATAGCATGACACTGGGGGAAGGAGAAATGGAAGATGCAGAGATAAAAGTGTGAGGGTTTGGAAAAAATGAGGGGTGCTCACCAGGTGCTGGATTTGTCGGGACGGGGCGGTCCCTCTGCGCTGCTGCATGCATGGAAGGAGCGGTGACAAGACGAAGGGGAAGGGGAAGAGGAGGGTGGGAAAGAAGTACGGTATAAGGGGGAGGTCGAAAGCAGTTGATAGAGAAGAAGAAAAGAGAAGAGAGATAAAAGGAGGGGGGGGGCAGAGGAAGGAAAGGAGAGTTAATTAAACAAACAGCCTCTCTAATGGATAAACATTACTACTTCCTGGAGAAACATCAACATTTCTTTTTCTTCCTTTGAGGCTGGAATCCTGCAGTGCTCCGGGAATGAACCCGATGTCAAAGCGGGTTGAGGGTTCGGCATCCCAAAAGGAATTCAACCAGAGGAAACCACGTGGTGGTTTTTGTGAAGCCAAATGACGAGGGAAAACATGTCGCTGCAAACAGAACGCAGTTGAGGAAAAGACCTACCAGATCATTGGAAGGGGGCGGGATGCACGCCGAGGTCACCTGGAACACACAGAGAGACATTTGAATGCAGAGGGAAGGAGGCAGAGTAGATGTTGAACAGCAAATACTTCCCCAGACAAAAAAAAAATAGGCGGAAAAATCAACAAATAAAATCGAAAGCTCACATTATAGGTGTTGGGAAATATGTTGATTCAATTTCTTGCGTATAGTTGGAGAGGATGTTGATTCCAATCTGATATTTCCACTCAATATGAAGTATTAATATATGTAGTGGCAAAAGAAATATGTAATACACATAAAAAATGAATTGTGTGAATGCATTACATAGCTTACTGCAATGCTAGCTTGTAACGTTAACTTTCCTAGCTCAGCCAAGCTTAGCCTCTACTAGCTTAGCTTAGCCTAGGCTACAGGAAAGTTCAAGCACATAAAAAAAAGTTTCTGTTCTTATTCCTTTTTTTGTACGGGGTTTAACAAGAGATATAATGCGTAATTAGTGATTTTTATAGGTATTGATAGGTGTATTATTGTATTAGCAGGCTAGCTGTTTCCCGCCGCTTCCAGTATTTGTGTTTAGATAAGCTAACCCTAACCAACTAACACATTAATTCATAATTAAATAAATAGATAGATATTTCTTAAAATGTCAAACCAACATATTCATATGTATTTCAAAGAAATAATCTATCAAATCTGGATAGTATAAATTTAATTAAGCACTGTAGCTATAAATTTTGTCGCTCTAACAGGGAGGATTCTGAAGCCAAATACACAGCTGGAGGAACACCGGGACATATTCAGCATGACACGTCTGACTCCCGTGACTGTTATGGGCTGACAGGTCAGTGAACTGGTACCAAAGGAAGCAGGAGCCCAACAGCAGCCCTAATAAAGGCGAGAGGGGGGGGGGGACACAGTCATGCTTACTGTGGTGGAAACCCCAGCACTTACGTAAGCCCCCGCTCCTCCAAACACACATTAAGCAGTGTTCCCGCAACATAGCCCTTTTTGGGACTGTTTATTTGGATACAGGAAAAAGGGCTTGTGTATATCTCATTGTGCACGAAGGGGAAGTTTCACTGGCCCTGAACCTGCGGGTGTGTCCCCCACAGCGTATTTGTGTGTGCGGGTTGTACTGTGCTGTTAATCCGTCTTTCTGCCATTAGTCTTTCTCAAGCAATCTCCCTCCGCCTCTTACCGATGGGTGTACGCAGCTACAGACATCAACAGGAAGCAAGGGCAGCAGATAATGAGCTAAATTGGGACTCGCCTCGTTTGACAGAAGTCGCAGGAAACAGGTTCAGGTTCGGCCATCAAACAACGAGTTGGACAATGTTCCTGTGTGACTCACTCGCAGTAGGAATGCTTGTTTTCTAATTCCCTGCCTGAACCAATCGTAACAAGATAGTTTGAATCCTGAAAATGAACATTTTCATTTTGTTTTTCAGAGTTTTTTCTTTCCTTCTTAAATTAAAGAATGCTTTGTGTTTAGATTTCATCAAAAAGTCCCGGTCTACAAAGACAGTGCGCTTGACTTTGAGGCGACATCTGCGGTTTTGGATCTGGTGTGTGTTCTTTAGATACCGCGGGGCTGAGCTAGATTTAAAGGGACCTTTGCGTGCTCTTTCTTTACAGATGAATGAATGCTGGATGAATATAGGAGATTTGGGCCCCTGGCTTCTCCAAAAGCTTCCTCTTTCCCAGCATGAATTCCCCTGGGATCCTGGGATTTTTTTCAATGTATTTTGGGGTTTGTTGGCCTCTGCCTGCATCGTACTGCATTCTGCAGACCTCATTGAGGCTTTCGGGCAACTGCAAAGGGTTATTTTTTGGAACAGCTGCGTTGCAAAAAAACAAACATTTTAAAGAAATTGAATGAGTGCAGAATGCTGTTCATAGTTCCTTTGTCTTTCGGAGCAGGTCATCACATCATCTATAAGAAACGGGTAAAGCTGTCGGTGAACATTTGCAGTGGGGATGAAAACAGGTACATTTCAATCAGTATTTTTACTAAGCAAGGATGATGTAAATAGGGAGATCCTGTAGGTTCGGCAAATACTTTTCCCAGTCGTGTTGAAAATTCCAACCAGTGCATTATTTAAACTCAAGACGAATGAAAACCTACTGCTGGTTCCAGTTCCTCCTTAATACTGAAAGTGGCCCAGAGGATGTAATATTTCAATTTGATATGACTGGAGCTTTTTAACTAGAACTGCTCCCACACTCCTCCACTCCTCCGCTTTCTTCACTGGCTACCGGTGGCTGCCCGCATCCAGTTCTAAACATTGGTGCTCACGTACCATGCTGTGAATGGATCGGGTCCAGCTTACATCCAGGACACGGTCAAACACGACATCCCGACCCGCACTCTCCGCTCTGCATCTGCTAAACTGCTCGTCCCTCCCTCACTGAGAGCAAAACACTCGACTAGATCACCACTCTTTGCTGTTCTTGCTCCGAAATGGTGGAACGAGCTCTCTGAAGACACCAGGACCGCAGAGAGCCTTCACATCTTCCGCCGCAAACTACAGACACACCAACTCAACTAAAAGACTAACAAATTGTAGCACCTACATTGTACTTATAATGCCACTTATCTATAGCAAATTGTAAAGTGGCTTATTTGATGAAATTTCACTTTCTTGTTCTTCTGAGTTTGTATCTCTATGGTTGAATGCACATCTTGTAAGTCGCTTTGGATAAAAGACTCAGCTAAATGACATGTAAAAATAATCATAATAATAATAATCACTGTTTGTGTGATAGCAGCGTGAATCAGCCGTCACCTGGGTTGCTATAACTCGATGATTGTTCTAACCTCTGCCTCCTCTCCTACATTGGTTCCTCTCTCCCAGCGAAGGGGCGGCCACTTAGGCAGAGCAAACACGCTGCATCAGATTCCATCCTCCTAGGCCAACGCTGACGCACAACCTTCCTGCTAATCGACCTCCTCCCAGCTGAACACGTCCTGCTCCGTTTTCCCGCCCTGTGCAGTCCCTCTTTGTTGGGCCTTTTTGCAACGTTATGTCTCTGCACACGTCGGCTCTTCTAAATCTTCATCCTTCTATTTCCCAGCTTTCTTTTTTTTCTCTCGTTTCATGCCATTTGTTCTTCACCTCGATCTTTTCATCCCCTTCGTTCTTCATTCTTACTCTGATCGCTCCCAACCTTTCTTCGTTCATCCTCTCCACTTTCCCTTGTCAACACTCGCTGCCCCGGTCTTTTCTCCCCTACTCCACTTTCTAACACCTTCTTGTCTGTCTTCACATTGACGATTCTTTCATTCCCTCTGCCTCCCTTTTTGAACCACCCCACACACAGGTTTGATCCCCGGACCCCAAATATCCTTGAAAAAGACAAAAGAGCCCCGACCAGCTTGTTCTGACTTGCCCTGGATGATTCGAACTGCCCGTTTACATGCCTAAAATGTTCAAAAGGACTAAACTAAACACCCCCTCACCTCCGTCCTCTGTTCTCTTCTCCGTGTGTCCTGTTTTTGTTGCAGTGCTGGAGACTCGCTCTGGATAATGCACAAATCTCTCTGTTCGCAACGCACAACTTCAGAGCTGTGGCTCTGACATGGACAACTAGGAGGTGAGCTAGCAGCTTTGGTATGCGATTAGTGTGAGAAACGGGTTGTGCTTGTGAAGGAAGTCAAAGAACAGTACAAGTCAAAGGTTTGGACACACTGTCTCAATGAATGTGGTCAAAAGGTTTGACTGACAGTAAAAAAACAACATATCAACTTTATCTGATTATCCAAATCTTGTATTTTCCGTCTCCCTCTCTTTTTATGGCGTTTTTTATTCCTCTTTCCTTTTAAAAACTCTTTTCTCACTCGAATTTCTCCCGACTATCCTCTCTTCTTTTATTGATCCTCTCCTCCGTCCCACCTCAAAAGATGTTTTGTGAGAGCGCAGTAACCTTTGACCTTTCACCATCAAATTCCGAGTGACGGTGGATATAAGTTGAAGAGACGTCGTCCAGGAGTCCCTGTAATATCCCTTTCAGGAGAATGGACGAACAGACTCTAACATCCAGAGCCGCGGAGATTAACGGGAAAAGTTCACTAATTACTGACACGCCAATAAGGGCGGGCGCTCACAGTTAATGTACCGAATAAGATAACTTTCTGAAACAGAGCCCTGTATATTCAAGACGATATTACTCAAAGCCTGTGAAAAGTCTGAGCAGTAGGATTTGTTTCAATGTCTGACAGCTGTTTCCTGTCACAAGTAGCTCAGATTCCAAACAGATGAACGGCAAAAGGAATGCATGTAAAGAAAAGCTGCCTGAGCCAATTAGAATCATTTTTAAAAGGAGGAATGTGTGCGTGTGTGTGTGTGTGTGCGCATTGGGACTCAAGGTTGGCAATTATGCGCCATTTTTGGACCTTTGCACATGTGCCTCCACCTGTTAGCTGAAGCCGCATGGTTGATAATTCCTTTGTTGTCGCTCCACTCTGTCGCTTAAAATCCCACGTGCAGGCGGGTGGTCGGTCTTCTGCACCGAGGAACCTGGCTTGGCTTCACGACTCCTTCAAATGCGCCCCACATGTCAAATGCCCCTTTAAAGTGACATGGTGGGCTTTGGGAGCGAAGCAGAAAAGCACTATAGCGCTCTATAATGGCTGATCAAGAACAACCCCTCTGGGTGACCTTCTTTCTGTCCTCCGGGTGTTTTCTTTCCTTCTTTTTATTTTTCTGTACGCCCTCTCAGACTTTTGTCCCTCGTTCCCTCTTTCCTTTGACCCACGGAAAGGGATGAGTCTCGGTCTCCAGTCGTTTCGCTTCTCGCTCCGAGCAGCTGCGAGGGAGGTCAAGTGGGTCCCCTGCAATGGAGCCTTTCTAATTGCTGAGTGTTGTGAAATTCTCTGTTATGTAGCTTTTGGGGAGGAAGGGGGGCAGGGGGGGGGTGTTCAGATGGACTGCAAAAGATATGCAGGCGTCCGACATCTTCTCCCTCCAAACCTTGCCGGGAAGGCCTGAGTCGGACCAGAATAAACTGCTGGTAAATAAACAAAACTGTGCACCGACCGACACGGTTCCATTATCACAGATCAGACCGTCCTTCCATCGCTCGTTGGTCGAGTTTGGGCTTTAATTTACCATTTTAATAAGCAGATACATTAGCACATCCCCTACCTCCAGTCTCAGTGTTTACCACATGGATAAAATGTGGCTGCATAAAAAACGCATTCAGACAGACGGTGCCCACAGCTCACAAACAGCGCAGCCGTATCGTCTTTATATTATGTGATATTCCTTTTTCGTCTTCATTGGAGGTCCATTTGGAAAGACAGAGAGACATTTGCTATCGCTAAGATCGGTGACTCGTGTCCTGCCCCCGGAGGTGACCCATCCCATCAGCCGATCCGTGCGTTTCCCCCCCCCCCTTGGCACGAGTCCCAATCAGCTGAGTCATACTTATAGTACTTATAGTCTCATCGACGTCTCTCCGGGCTTCAACTAGAATCACCACGGTCTGTGATGTTGAAGCGTTGCAGTTGGATGGAAGCGTTGCAGTTGGATATTTGGTGAAGTGCATATCCAGCAGGAGGGAAGTCTGTCCCCCTCTCATCTAGAATGCTTTTTCTTTACTAAGAATAAAGAGGGGCTGCAGAGAGTGGGACTCAAAACCACAACTTTCCTTTTATGTTGGAGGAACATCAAGAGTTGTTCTCTAAATCCTCCCCCACTTCAGCTCCATTTGTCTGCGTGTTCCCCGTCCGTATATATGTTGTCCGTGTGAAATGAGTCAATGCTAGTTTATTCGTCACGTAACTTGTGTGGTGTGATTACGGCACTTGCGTGGTCATTTGAACTCAAACAAGAATTGCTTTCTTAATCTAACCAGGTACTTTCTTGCCTAAAACCAACTATGTAGCATTAGTTTCTGTGTGCATGTAAGGCGTGGGAATGAACATGTCTTGCTTGTGTACAAAAACCTTTCGGAAAGATATCATGCAAACTGTTGTACTAAGTGCATGTAAATATAGAGTTAAGTTTAAGACCATGCTAAGGTGCAATATTGGAAATTGAAAACATCACAGGACTTTCACCCGGGATGCCACTGTTAGTGTGAAACCAAAAGTGGAGTGTTTAATGTTATGAATGTAACTACATGAAACACTCATCTCATCCTAAACAAATTGCTTTGAATCCTAAATCTAGCCGAGTAGTTCACACCATTGTTCACACACACTGATTTCACAACGCTATAAAGAACAGTGTCATGTGCCAAGAACCCATAAGATCATTTAAGTATTCTGTTGGTCCAAGTGGTCAACCGTGGTCTACTTAGGCACAACCGTCAGCCAATGGCCAAATCATTTCAGTCAGTCCGTGTCAATCTCTAGTCGACTCGTAAACCAGCCAATCAGAGTCCAGGGTCTTCAGTCACGTGGTCTATTAGCGAACCATTTCTGCTGGGTCTCTCAGTGTCTTTTTCACCCCGACCAGCGGAAATACCTCTTCTTGGCTAATTAGGCCGGCATGTCATTCAAGTCGTCACGGACTGCATTTCACTCATTTTAACCCTTCCTCCTTACCTCCCCCCTCGCCATGACTTTCAAGTCCCCGAAGGCTAGATGTTCCTCTTGGGATGAAGACTAAGTAGTAAAGGTTATCTCAGAAGGAGAACATGCTGAGATTCTGTAACAGAATAGAGATGAGTCAGCTGGAGGCTGTTGTGGGCAACTACCGGTCGGTGTGCCATCAATTAGAAAGATTCGTCCCCCGGTTTAAGGTTCCAGCCGGGCGGAAATGTGAATAGAAGCTCTTGGGAGAGCAGGATGGCAGAGGGCAGCTCTCCAGATGTGCGAGCGAACACAAAGAAACGGAACTCGTCCGAGGGAGGGTGAAGGTGGAATGATTCGTACACAAGCTTATTGGTAATAACTGCCAAATGTGAATGAGGGTGCAAGCGAGGGGGAAACCAACATAATTCACACGCAGTGCTCCTCCAAGGGTTTTTGTTCCAGAATTTTTTTTTGGAGATGGGGGGGGGGCGCACTACAATGTTTTCAGAAGCACAGTATACAGATTATGGCGTCCCCCGTCTCAGATTCCCCCCACGCTCCCATCACATACCAGCCCAGATAACAGCGGAGATGGACACAGCAGCCTGCTTATCCAACCGCTCCCTTCCTGGGCAGCGGAGATGGAAATCACTGTCTAACAACCAGTCAACAACAAGACCGTAGCCAGCCGCAGTAAACAACAACCCTCTCCTTTGTATATATATTTTTAGCATAACATGATATTTCAACTTTTAAAAAATACACGTCAAAGCCATCTTTTGAAATCTGCAGTCGACCTCGGAGCTCTCCTCACATAGAAGCTAGGGGGACGGAGCGCTGCTAGAGGAATGAAGAGCGTCCTTGCCACGTGCCGTGGCTCCCTGGCTCCTCACCCCCTTTCTCCCTGGCTCAGCCTCCATACACCCTCTCCACGGCTGGCATTTCCCCCCACCCACCCCTCTGCGTCCCTCTGTCTATTCATTACGCCGTGCCCTCCGTCAATGATCCTTTCACGGGGGCACCGGCGTGGGGTCGGAGAGGCTCGCAGCGCTTTCTGAGGAATGCCACCGAGATGTGGAGACTCCTGCCCGGCACTGAGCCGGTGTCACGTGTCTTTACTCGCCTCACTGGCCGCATGGGGATCGAACAAACGGTTCAGATAAGCATTCACAGGTGATTCCTTACCACAGGTTTAGCATCTGGGATAAACCTTCAATTTGTGGAGTCATTTAACCTGCTACAGAGAAGCATGTGTCAATAATAGTGACCAATAATAAATAATAATATGTATAATAAATGAATATCCAATATGAAACTCCATTGCATTTGGTAGAGCATGACAAAACGGGACGGGACATGCCCCCCGGGACCTTTGAGAGAGTTGAAAAGTGAGCCAATGTAGAATAGTATGTCATACGAATTAGGCTGAATGCTGTTTCTTTAAACAAACTTCACATTGCGGCGAACCATGTTTGGCCAACACACCGCATCCACGTCACGTGATGAACCCTCGGTATAGTGATTTTCGTAAGCCACTCGGCAGGGTGCAGGAGAAGATCCTGTTCCTTACTCGCTAACACACCTGCACAGGTCTTCCGTCTCTTTGGGTGAAGTTCATAATACACTGTATATGCATTTGCTTCCTGATCTCCGTCTGTGTGACGTGACCCATGCGATGTCCCCATCGTAAAAAGAATTAGGGCTGTCAATAGATTTAAAAAAATCAACTAATTAATTTTAGTTGCTAAATATTTTACAATACTAATGTTCGCTGTTTACAGCCCATTCCCGTACATATGCCAACTGATGATAACTGGATAATTCTGATGTGTGAAGTGGATTCTTACCTTTGCCTCACACTTCCTGTGGGTGGCTGTCTTGCATACTAGAAGGAATGGGAGGAGGGACGGCAGGAGGACAAGAAAAGGCAGACAAAATGAGAGTATAGTAGGAGTTAAGTGTACACATGATGTAATGGGGTCAACCTGATGTGTATTTGTTTAGCTCCATATCAAATTGTAAATCTACCCTCAACTCAAAATCTTCCTGATATATTGCGATTCAATACATAATCTCCCCATCCTATGTTTTACATACAGAAACACACACAGAGATTATGACAAATGTTTTTTTAAATGGGCTCTTACAATATCGACGCATCAGGATATGTGACTGTTCACCAACAAATGGGTGAAGCTAAGGTACTAAGCCTACTTCATTTACATAGTCAATGATAGAAACTTCTAAGCATCCAAACATTATCAGAATGTAATGGATTTACATGGATCATGTGACATGATCACAGCTTGTGTGTGCGCTGCCCTTCAATCACTCGTACTTGACACATCCTACTTCCTGCCTCCTGGCATGATGATGCTTACGTTTATTCCCTTCAGACTCAATTGGTCCTGAGGGAACAAAATTCGACTCCACAATGCTTGCACCATTTACCTCTGCAGAAAGAGCCGGTGTTGTCCACGTTCTGGCGGCACACGCTGCACTGGCGCTTTTTCTTGAAGGTTTTTTCCTTAAAGACGTGGGGCTCTCCCTTCCCCCCCTGCATAGACAAACACACACAGAGGAAACAAAGTTCAGAGCCTGGTTAGAAACCTGATACAGCGCAGTAACAGAATGTATCAACGCAGCCTTCCAAAGCGAAGGGGAATAAATGCACAAATCCTTGTTTGACCTCTGACGCCAAGAGTTTAACTCTCTATCCACTTTCATCTGAAAGGATGACAACAAGGAAGAAATTGGACCTTTCCAACTCCCGGATAATGACAGGAGCTCCGACGTGTCAGCTTTAACCTGTGCGTAAGACCGACTCGAGTGCATGTACGTGCACAATGTGGCTACATCCAGCCCTCACTCTCCACTTCCCTCATGAACTCCTGTTCTGGTTATGTAACGGTCTTCCAGTAATAATCCTTGTGGTGCCCGCCCATACCACACTTTAATCCTTTGTGTGTGTGGACGTATGTTTGGCAAAGAAAAAAGGAGCACATGTGTTGGGTCTAATCCTTCTTTGCATTTCCGTGTCATGGCGATATTTGTCACAATGTGAGTGTGTCTACCTTTTCTGTGTATATGTGCTGGTTCGTCTGTCTGCGGACCAATTTGCGTATGGTCGGAGTGTCGAGGGTTTGGACTTGTTTCTAAGAAATG